AGAGGAAGTGGCTGTGGGCGGTGACCGGGCCTGCTACCATGGCACTGAGCTGGCTGTTGGCCTGTGTGGGTCAGGAGGCCAGGTGGGCGGGAGCCAGGGCCTGCCCTCACCCACAGCCATGTGACCTGGCTGAGTCCGCCCGAGAACCTGGAGGTGTGGCCGTCGCTGTCCTGCCTCTCCACCCGGCTCCGCGCTCAGCCGCCACGTCTGGGAAATGACCGGGCGCCGAGTCCCACCCACGCTCCCAGCTGGGCCGGGCCCTGCCTCTCCTGTCTGCCCTTGGCCATCCCCTCCCTGCAGAGGGCACGGAGCGGGAGGCTGTGCCACCCCGGGAACCCGGCATGGCTGGTCTCTCCCTCGGGCCGTGGCCTCTGCATCCTGGGCGGATGGCGGGAGTGCTCCCCCCTCGCCTCTCCTGGGAACGAGTCAGATGGAAGCGCTCACTGGCGGCCTGGGGCACCTGGGACTGAAGAAGCCGCGCAGGAGCCAGTCCTGAACCCCAGTCTGGACGCATCGGGGCGGCTCCCGCAGGCCTGGTTCCGCCCGCGCTCTGAGGAGGCTGCTGTGCCCACGGGGCTGCTCAGGCCGCTGGTTGTCTCTGCCCTCGTGGTCCCAGCCTGAGGGCCTGAGCGCGTTTCTGGACTGAGGGGCCCCGGCGTCCGGGCACAGCTGGGCCCGCCGGTCACACTGGTCAGAAAGCCGCCCGGGCGCTGTGGGCAGGGGCTGGGCCCGCACTTGTCCGCTGTCCCGGCCTCTGCCAGCCCCGGAGCAAACCCACTTACCACAGGGACTCAGATGCAGGGCTGGCCGCGCCCCGGCTGTGCCCCCAGACCCCTGCGGGCAGCGATGGCCTGGGCGTGTGGTCAGGGTGGTCCCCAGGCCACTGTGGGCAGCGATGGCTGGGGGGTGTGGTCAGGGTGGTCCCCAGGCCCCTGCCCTGCAGGTGGGAGGAGGGACGCCATTCCTTCTGGGAGCCGAGGCTCCGGGAATTCCGGCCCCGGCTGCTGCCCACCGCCTGGCAGCCTTGACCTAAGGCACAGTGACCTTGCTTCCCAAGGAGCCATTGTTCTGGCCGAAGGTGGGCTTGGGGGGGGAGGGCGGCTGGGAAGGCAGCTCCTGGGGGCGGGCCGGCGGTGGCGCCCTGCAGGGGGCTGTGGGCTTCGGCCTCCTCACCAGGCCTTGCTGGTGGTCAGTTGGTGCCCGAACAGGTGCTGGAGCTCAGCGCTGGGGCTGGAGGGCGGGCGGAGCCTGGCCTGCACCGTGTTCTGGGCCTGCACCTCGGGGTGCTCAGCTCACGCAGGCAGGAGGGCCCAGCTGGGCTCAGAGCTCCTCCCCCCTGTGCTCCCCCTTGTCTCCCCCACCCCACTCACCTGTGCCGTCCGGTGGCCCGGGAACCTCAGCCCGGGGGTCTGTTTCCTCACCCATCCCCCGCCCCGCCCTCCAGGACGGCTCCGTGGTCTTCACCAGGCGCGCACTCACCGCGTCCGCCAGCTCCCGGCCTCCCCGGTCTGCAGACCCCACGGAGCCGGCCGCGGCCTCCTGCCGGTGCCTGGAGGCCAGGGCAGCCTTCCTAGGCCGCTGGGCACTCCTGTCTCTAACACACCGGGTGTGGGGGTAGCGGGAAGCCAGACAGGAGCCTCCCCAGGATTATAGAGGAAATCGGCCCCAAACCCACCCTGGCCACCGCTCAGAGGACCCGCCCTGAGCCGCAGCCCAGGAGGAAGGAGGCCGGGGCCTTTAAAAAATATATCATTTTTTATTTGATTTTAGAGAGAGAGGAAGGGAGAGGAAGAGGGAGAGAGAAATGTCCATGATGAGAGAGAATCACGGATCGGCTGCCTCCTGCACGCCCCACACTGGGGATGGAGCCTGCAACCCGGGCCTGTGCCCCGACTGGGAATCGAACCCTGACCTCCTGGTTCATAGGTCGATGCTCAACCCCTGAGCCACGCTGGCCGGGCCAGCCCAGGGCCTTTGCTCCAACACCTGCACTCACCCCGGGACCACTGGGGGCACAGAGCCCCAAGGCTGGGACGTCCTGCTCCTGTGCCGGAGACGCCAGGACAGACAGACAGACAGACAGACACGGCCCCCTTGCCTAGAACTCGCATCCCCCGGGGACGAGCTAACAGAGCCACCAAGTGTGTGAGGGAACGTGTGCGAGGGAACGTGTGCGAGGGAACGGGCGTCCAGTGCGGGGAGTTCCCCTGTGAGGGGCGCAGCCCCTGGGAAGTCCTGCTCAGCTCCGCGTGGAATTGGGGGATTCCAGGGGCTGGGCCGCTGGGCAGGAGGGCGAGGGCCTTCGGAGGGGGAGGCAGACGCCCTGGGGGTGGCGGCGAGCTTGGCATTTTCAAGGAACACAGAGGGCAGTGCGTGGGGCAGAGGGTGCCGGGGGAGGTGGGCGGAGCGAGCAGGGTGGTGCAGGAGGTGGAGGCTCGCCTGTGCTTCCACCAGCGAGGGGCCGCGGGGGAGAGGAATCCGCCTCTGCAATGAACAGAAAACTCCCCCATAACCCCACAGGGGTAACCCGCCTGCCCAGGGGGTGGAGGCAGCCCTCAGCCCCGGGCGCCAGGACTCGGGGGGGGGGGGTGGGGGGGTGGGGGGGGGCGTTGGGAGGACCTGGGACTTGTGTCTTCGGAAGAAACATGTGGACACTGTAGCCACGGAGGTGCCACCTCCTGTCTGAGCCGATGCTCGCAGGGCCCTGAGCTGGGGGGACAGGAGAGGGGGCATCACCGGACTCGCCTGTATCGCGTTGGAATTGGTGGGCGTCTGTCCCAGGCCGTCAGTCAGTCATTTGAGTGTCACTTCTGATGTGTCTGATTATTGGGTGATAGGAAGGAAGCGGGGAGGGAAGACGGGAAGTCAGATGCTGGGGGACTGGCTAGAACAGTGGTTCTCAACCTGTGGTCACGACCCCTTTGGGGGTTGAATGACCCTTTCACAGGGGTCGCCTAAGACCATCGGAAAACACATATATAATTACATACTGTTTTTGTGATTCATCACTTTGCTTTGATTATGTTCAATTTGTAACAATGAAAATATATTCTGCATATCAGATATTTACATGACGATTCATAACAGTAGCAACATGACAGTTATGAAGTAGCAACGAAGATAATTTTATGGTTGGGGGTCACAACATGAGGAACTGTATTTAAAGGCTCGCGGCGTTAGGAAGGTTGAGAACCACTGGGCTACAAGGAGCCACAGAAGGAGGGAGGGAGGGGAGGATGAATGGGGAGATGGTGGATAGATGGAAGACAGGCAGATGGGTGGATGGATGGATGGTGGATGGATGATGGATGGGTAGATGGATGGATGGATGGATGGATGGATGGATGGGTGGATGGATGGATGAATGGGTGGATGGGTAGATGGATGGATAGAGGGATGGATAGTGGATGGATGGATGGTGGATGGATGGGTGGATGGATGGATGGATGGATGGATGGATGGATGAATGGGTGGATGGGTAGATGGATGGATAGATGGATGGATAGTGGATGGATGGATGGTGGATGGATGATGGATGGGTAGATGGATGGATGGATGGTGGATGGATGGATGGATGGGTGGTGGATGAATGGGTGGGCAGATGGGTTATAGGCAGGTGAATGGATGGGTGGAGAGATGAGTGGATGCCTGGAGGTTGGGTGGGTGGATAGGCCGGTGGGTGGAGGGGTGATGAATAGGTGAGCAATGGATAGATGGATGGGCACATGGCCTGTCATTAGCCCCGCTGGGCTCAAGCATGGGCATTGCCAATTAGCTGTGTGACTTTGGGCCCAAATCCCAACCTCTTAGAAATGAGTTCCCCCACCTGTGAAATGGCCAAGGTAACAAGTCAGCCAGGTGGCAGGATGGGACGAGGGAGAGAGGGGGGGATGGGGGCTGGCCAGTCCCGCTGAGCCAGGAGCCTCCCTCTGACCCGGGCAGTGGGCACAGTGGAGGTTTGGGAGCTGCCGGGGGAAGCCACCAGGCCCTGGACACCCTGTGCCACCCTGCCCACCCCCGAAGGCCCTCCTGCTCGCCCGCCCGCCCTGTCACAGAACAGGCTGTGCCTGCACCCCGCCCGCCCGGGAGGCTGGGCCAGGGAGAAAGTGGCCATTGTCCTGGGCCCTGCAGGAAGTGCCGGCCACCCCGGGAGGCGGCAGGGCAGGCTGTGGGGAGGCGGGTCCGAGGGCCTTTCTGGAGCACGTCCTGGGGAGTGGACAGACCCCAGGGCTGGGAGGGGACCCTGCTCCCCGACACCCACAGGCGCGACCACAGGGCAAGGCCTTCGGCTCCGGAGCCATGACTTTCTCATCTAGGAAACAGGCTGACGTCCGGGGACGGGGGCGGTGCCCTCAACTGTCCACGACCCCCCCTGCCCCCCCATCGCCACCCCCTGTGGGGTTGGGAGTGAGGGAGATGGGGAGGGAGCTGCTCTCCTCCATGGGACGGGAGGAGGCAGGCGGGGCAGGGCGGGGAGGGGGCGCCCTCTGCTGGGCCGGGAGGGTGTGGGGGCTGGGCTGCGGGCAGGCGGAAGCTCGCCCTGGAGTGTGGGCTAGACGGAGGGACGCGGGTGCACACCCGTGGGCGCCCTCCGGGCCTCTCCCTGTGCCGGGCGTTTCCCCACAAGGAGGGGGCGGACGGGCGTCCTGGTGGCTCACCCCCAGCTCTGGGTCTGCTCCACCCACAGAGCTCCCTCTCTGGAAGGAAGGTGCTGGCCAGGGTGGGGCCGTGCCCACCTCAGGGCCATCGGGTGGGGCCAGGGGCCCACAGCCAACTGGGGACGGGGACGGGGGCGGGGGCGGGGGTTAGGGGTGGGGATGGGGATGGGGGCGCTCAGAGAAAGACGGCACCATACGGCCGCCCCTCGCGGCCTGCAGGCCCTTCTCTGAGACGCCCCTGCGTGGGGACCTGAGTGTACCATGGGCGGCCCCGCCCTCAGCCTGACTCTCGGGGGGTGGTGGGGGTCCCCACTCGCTGAGGCCGCCCCGCGTCTCCCGCAGAAGCCGCCCAGCGCCCAGGCCATGAAGGAGGAGGCCATCCTGAGGCGACGCTTCTCGCTGTGCCCGCCGTCCGCCCCCCAGAAGGCCGAGCCCCGCAGGCTGGCCCGGGCCCTGCTGCTCGGAGGCGAGAATGAGCTCGACCCCCTCAGCCCAGGTCAGCGGGCACCAGGTCAGGGGGGCTGGTCGGGGGGGGGGGCTGGTCGGGGGTGGAGCCTGGTCGGGGGGCTGGTCGGGGGGGGCTGGTGAGGGGGGCTGGAAGGGGGGCCTCTCTAGCCTCTGGGCCCAGCTGGAAAGGGATGAAGACACCTGCAGGGACGTGGTCAGCGCGGCTTCCTGCCACCACGGGCGGCCCTGCCGTGCGCTCACCGGGCTCTCTTGCAGGGACGGACGTGGAGCACAATGGCCCTTCGCTGCCCAGGGATGAAGGGCCCCCGACCCCCGGCTCCGCCACGAAGTTGCCACCGGTAAGAGCCCAGCCACGGGGACCCAGGGAGAGAGCCCGGCCACGGGGACCCAGGCAGAGAGCCCGGCCACGGGGACCCAGGCAGAGCCCGGCCACGGGGACCCAGGCAGAGAGCCCAGCCACGGGAGGACCAGGCAGAGAGCCTGGCCACAGCGACCCAGGGAGAGAGCCCGGCCACGGAGGGCCAGGCAGTGAGCCCGGCCCCGGGGACCCAGGCAGAGAGCCCGGCCACGGGGACCCAGGCAGAGAGCCCGGCCACGGGGGACCCAGGCAGAGAGCCCGGCCACGGGGACCCAGGCAGAGAGCCCGGCCACGGGGGACCAGGGAGAGAGCCCGGCCACGGGGACCAGGGAGAGAGCCCGGCCACGGGGGGCCAGGGAGAGAGCCCGGCCACGGGGGCCCAGGGAGAGAGCCCGGCCACGGGGGCCCAGGGAGAGAGCCTGCCCGGGGGCAGCAGGAGGCTGGGGAGGGGACGCAGGGCCCCGGGAGCCTGTCCTTCCCAGCTCATTGTGCGGGACCCGCGTTGAATCCCAGACTGAAGCTGGGAGGGCTGCTGGGAGCCGGCGGGCACAGCCGTGTGGCAGCTCCCTCCTGGGGTGACACGGGGTGGGGGGCGGGGGACAGGGAGCCGGGAAAGGTGTGGCTGCAGGTGGCGTTCGGGACAGAAAATCATGATGAAAGGAGCCCTTTGTCGTAGGGACACCCCTGGGGTGAGCCTTTCCTCCCTCCGCCTGTGCCTGTGGGTCCCCCCCGTCCCCCGCCACCAGGTACACACTCAGCAGGGGACGCTGTGTGGGGAAAAGTGCACACACACTCACTCACGTGCACACTCACACACTGACATACACACACTCGCTCACATACACTCACACACACCCATACAGACACACACTCCCCACTCAAGGCAGCCCCTCAGCGTGGCCTGTGGTGCCCTCCAGGCAGGACGGTCAGTCCCGGGAGGGGGGGTGCGAGGCCCGTCTCCACCTGCAGTTTCAGCCCTTCTCCTCCCCCCGGGGTCTCGGGGTCCCACACTGATGCTCAGCTGGTGGCTCTGGTCCCGGCGGTGGGGTTGGGGGCAGCCCAGATAGAGGCCAAGTCCCCCTCTGCCAGGCCACCTGCGACCCGTGACCCAGAGCACGGCCTGCTCCTCTGGGACCCCGTCCTGGCCACGCCCGGGGCTGTGGGGGGTCCCGGTTCTCACGTCCGTCTCAGGAGAAGCGGCAGCCGGGCCTTCGGGGTCCCCCAGCCTCCGGTTCCCGCCTGGGCCGGGGCTGCGGCCGGGGCAGGAAGCAGCTGCGTGTGTGCGTGTGTGTATGTGTGTATGTGGGTGTGTGTACATGTGTGTGTGTGCATGTATCTGTGTGCATGTATGTGCGCGTTCTCTATGTTAATGAGATGAAGCCAGTTTAACCATCTTAAGCGCACAGCTCAGTGGCATCTGGGGCACCCACAGTGCTGTGCAGCCCCTCCCCCCGTCCAGCTCCAGAACATTCCATCACCCCAGATGGAAACCCCGCACCCACACTCCCGCCCTCCCCTCCCCCAGCTGCTGGCAACCTCTGCACCCCTCCCACCCCCACGGACCCGCCCACGTCTGTGTAAAGGGAGCCGTGCCCGTGTGGTCCCGCCTGTGGGCTTCTCGCCGTGAGCCGGCCGTGCTGAGTCCCGTCCTCCCGTGGGCCACAGGGGCCTGTCCACCCAGCAGAGTGGACATTCCAGCTGCTTCCACTTGGCGGCTATTTTGAATGTCGCTGCCATGTATGTATGCACATGTGTGCATACGTGTGCGTGTGATGCGTGTTAGGGTCCCTGCTCTGGGTTCCCCATAAGTGCTGGGCACAGGGACACGTGCTGTTCTGTCCACCGCGCCCTCTGCGGCCCCAGCCCAGCCGACGCCCCTGCCCCCGCACCTGGGTCTCTTGCAGGCAGAGTCCAGGCTGTGCAATGGGTCCGACAAGGAATGTGTGTCCCCCACAGCCAAGGTCACCAAGAAGGAAACTCTCAAGGTGAGCACCTGGGCCCGCGAGGCCACGCCCCCAGCCTGCCTAAGGGAGGGGGACAGACCAGCCCGCCCCCCCCACCCCGCCTTCCCTCCTCTCCCTGGCCCTGTTCCGGGCGGAATGGTGCGGGCCCCGGTGGGCGCCGGGAGCCCGGGGGGCGGGCCGGGCTCTGCCCCGACTGCTGGCTGGTGCCCGAGCAGGTGCAGAAGGAGAACTACCGGCAGGAGAAGAAGCGCGCCACCAAGCAGCTGCTCAGCGCGCTGACCGACCCCCGCGTGGTCATCATGGCCGACAGCCTGAAGGTAGGCCGGCCCACGTGGTCCCGTGTCCACGCCTCGCCCGACGCCTCCCGGGGGCGCCTCTCCAGACTGAGCCCCTCAGGGGACCGTTCAGGGCGTTTGTTTTGTTTTTTGTTTTAATAGATATATGTTTTTCTTTTAAATATATTTTTACTGACTTCAGGGAGGAAGGGAGAGGGAGGGAGAGAGAAACATCAGTGATGAGGGAGAACCATGGACCGGCTGCCTCCTGCTTGCCCCCCACTGGGGACGGAGCCTGCAACCCGGGCCTGGGCCCTGACTGGGAATCGAACCCTGACCTCCAGGTTCACAGGTTGACGCTCAGCCACTGAGCCTCGCCGGCCGGGCCGTTTAAGGCGTTTGTTACTGCAAATCTGTGTCCGTGTCCCGGGGCTGCCCTGACAAATGGCTTCAAACCAGAGAATTTATTCTCCGGTTCCGGGGCCCAGGCCCCGACACAGGTGCCTGCGGGGCCGCGCTCCCTCCCCAGGTGCCGGGGAGGCTCCCTCCTCCCCCAGTTGGGGCTCCAGGGTCCTGGCCGGGGCCACGGGGCCTCCCCGGCCTCTCTGTGTCCCAGGCACAAGGACGAGTCACCGGGTCAGAGCCCGCCCTCCCCTGGGTGGTCTCCCCTTAACTTGTGCACGTCCGCAAAGACCCTTGTCCCGCTAAGCCGGGGGGGGGGCCCACTGGTGGGGGTCCCCGAGGGCCGGCGGAGTCCTTGACTGGGGCACAGAGGAGAGGGGGGGAACGTGTGAGAAAGGACCAGGGTTGGGGCGCGAGGCCTGTGGTCAGACCTCGCTGAGGCAGTGGTGGCTCCCGCAGCCCCAGCGTTGGTGCCCCCTCCATGCAGTGCGGGGGGCGGGGAGGGGGCGCGGGGAGGGGGTGGCCCCTCCAGACGAGTGTCCAGGCCGTCTGCAGACCCTGGGCCTGTGTGGCCGCCTTTTGCCTTCTATGTGTTTACACAAAACTACGGATAAAAAAGTCAGGTACAAAAGCGAGTGCATTTCACAATGAGAAAAGAAATGGCCAATATCTAAATTTACAAAGCCGCCCGGCCGGCCTGGCTCAGTGGTTAAGCGTCGGCCTGTGGACTGAAGGGTCCCAGGCTCGATTCCCAGTCAGGGCACAGGCCCAGGCTGCCGGCTCCGTCTCCAGTGTGGGGTGAGCAGGAGGCAGCTGACCCATGATGCTCTCTCCTCATGGATGTTTCTCTCCCTCCCTCCCTCTCCCTTCCTCTCTGAAATCAATACAAATATATTTTAAAAAGAAAAAGTAAAAGACCTCTCCCTGCAGCCAGAGCCCCACCCTGCTCTGCCCGCCCCCGAGCCGCCCCGACGCCCCGGGCACGGCCTCCGGGCCCTGACATCCCGCCCTGCCCGCCCGCCCGCAGATCCGGGGGACCCTGAAGAGCTGGACCAAGCTGTGGTGCGTGCTGAAACCCGGCGCCCTGCTCATCTACAAGGCGCCCGACGTGGGCCAGTGGGTGGGCACCGTCCTGCTGCACTGCTGCCGGCTGCTGGAGCGGCCCTCCAAGAAGGACGGCTTCTGCTTCAAGCTCTTCCACCCGCTGGACCAGTCGGTGTGGGCCGTGAAGGTGCCGCGAGGAGCCGGGGGGGGGGGCGGCCTGGGCCCCGGGGGAGGCACGCGGGACACGGGCGCCATGAGGGACGCGGGCACTGCTGGGTGGCCCGGCTGGAGGGGGTCGAGGAGTGAGCTGTCGGTCCCAAATGGGCTGGGCACTGCCCACGGGGGGATGGGGAGAGGAGGGGGCTGGGTCAGGTCTCTCGATGGTCATCAGCCATGGCCCCCGGCCCTCGGGGTGGAGGACCCGTGGGGCTCAGGCCGAGTGACACACAGGTCACGATCACAGGTGCCTGGAGGCGGAGTTACGGGGCCGTGGCGGGCGGCTCCCAGCCCAGCCCTCACCCTCCCAGGACTCCGGGACTCAGGGCGCCCGGTCACATCCGGGAAGCCCCGTTAAATGGGTTCCGACAGACCTCGGAGCTCCTTCAGGATCAGTCTGTCCCAAATGTTGCGTGGGATATACTTAAACTTTTAAAGAAAGGCAGTTATTGCTCTGGCCGGTTTGGCTCAGTGGTTAGAGTGTCGACCCACAGACTGAAGGGCCGAGGGTTGGATTCCGGTCAAGGGCACGTACCCGGGTTTCGGCTCAATCCGCTCCCTGGTTCCCAGGCGGGGGGCCTGCGGGGGGCAAACAATTGATGTGTCTCTCTTCTCTCCTCCCCCTCTCCCCTCCTCTCCGCTTCCTCTAAAATCAATGGGAAAAATATACTCCCACAAAGGATTCACCCAAAAACCCCACAAAACCACAAGTTATTTCTTATTCCTCTGAGATTCTGATTTCACTGGGCCTCCTGGACTTGCATATCCCGATTCTGACCACCCTACGTCGGGGAGCTCAGAGCTAGCAAGTCGGGGGGCAGAGCTCCCCGCCCACTCCGCTGCCTTGCTGCCCCCCCCCAGGCCAGGTGCAGGCTGGCTGCCTGGCCCCGCCCGGGGACCCCGAGGCCTGGAAGGGCAGTGTGTCTAAGTGGCTGATGCCTGCGTGTGCTCCCCCTGCCCCGCGTGTCCTGGGTGACGTGGGTCTGTGCCCCCCCAGGGACCCAAAGGCGAAAGTGTGGGCTCCATCACACAGCCCCTGCCCAGCAGCTACCTGATCTTCAGGGCGGCCTCTGAGTCAGACGGTGAGTCCCCACCTGCTCGCAGGTCTCCCGTGAGCCCCGCAGTGGGTTCCAGACCAGGCACACGTGGGACCCGGTCAGGCCCTGTCACCGCCACTCAGGAAGGAGGCAGCCTGCCGGCCGGCGTGACTCAGTGGTTGATTCCGTCAGGAGGTCATGGCTCCGTTCCCGGTCAGGGCACGTGCCCGGGTCGCGGGCTCGATCCCCAGCGTAGGGCGTGCAGGAGGCAGCCGATCCATGATTCTCTCTCATCGTAGATTTTTTTTGTTTGTTTTTTTGTGAATCCTCACCCGAGGGTACTGTTCCATTGATTTTAGAGAGAATGGAAGAGGGAAAGACAGAGAAACATCGATGTGAGAGAAACACATCGATGGATTGCCTCCTGCATGAGCCCCAATCAAGGCCCGGGCTGGGGAGGAGCCTGCAACCGAGGTCCATGCCCTTGATCAGAATCGAACCCGGGACCCTTTGGTCCACAGGCCGACGTCCTATCCACTGAGCCAAACCGGCCAGGGCTCATCATTGATGTTCTCTCTCTCTCTTCCTCTCAAATCAATTTTAAAAAGTATTTTTTTAAAAAGGAGGCAGCCTGCTGTCCTGGGCCAGACCTGGGCAGGCGCCTGCCCCTCAGTACCTCTCTGAGCCTCGGTTCCCGTGAGCAGAGGTGGACAGTAGCACTGTCTCCCCAGCTGTTAGAGAGGTTGATAACCTCACACACCGCAGCCGGGCCCCCCTGGATCAGGGGCCCGGGAGTGGGGTGGGGTGGGTGGCTCCCTGGGCCGGGCGGGCGTCCAGGTGGATGGGTCGGGGCTCCGGGTCTGGGCAGAGATGTCTTGGTGAGGAAGGGGGTGGGGGTGGAGAGCCGGGCTGTGGGCGGCTCACGCCCCCTCCCCCCCAGGCCGCTGCTGGCTGGACGCCCTGGAGCTGGCCCTGCGCTGCTCCAGCCTCCTGCGGCTCAGCGCCAGCCGGCCTGGCAGCGACCAGGAGCCCGGGTCCTCGCCCGACGGGTCGCCCTCCTCGCTCTGCGGGCTGCTGCCCTCAGCCGCCGTCCACGACCAGGACCTGTTCCCGTGAGTGGGGGTGTGACGGGGCTCGGCCCTCCGGGAGTCCCCCCCGGACCCTGCATCCTGGGGGGGGCGTCCTCGTGTGTGTGTGTGTGTGTGTGTGTGTGTGTGTGTGTGGAAACGCCACAGGGGGTGCCGCTGGGCACCGAGCCTCCCTCCAGGGGGACCTGGGAGCCTCAGCGTCGCCCTCTGCAAACTGGGCCACAGTGTCCGACGCTGGCTGCCCGGGGACTGACCTAGTGAGGGCCCGGCCCGCGGGCTCAGGGGCTGAGCGTCGACCTATGAGCCAGGAGGTCACGGCTCAATTCCGGGTCAGGGCACTTGCCCTGGTGCGGGCTCCATCCCCAGTGGGGGTGTGTGTGTGTGTGATGTTTCTATGTCTCCCTCTCCCTTTCTCTCTGAAATTAATTTAAAAATATTTTTTAAAAATAAAATAGTGAGGGGCGCCCAAGTGGGGAGTTCCTGGGGTGAGGTGCCCGGAGTGGGGGTGCCCGGGGTGGGGTGCCCAGAGTGGGGGTGCCCGGGGTGGGGGTGCCCGGGGTGAGGTGCCCGGGGTGGGGTGCCCGGGGTGAGGTGCCCGGGGTGAGGTGCCCGGGGTGGGGTGCCCGGGGTGAGGGTGCCCGGGGTGAGGTGCCCGGGGTGGGGTGCCCGGGGTGGGGCGCCCGGGGTGGGGCGCCCGGGGTGGGGCGCCCAGGGTGGGGTGCCCGGGGTGGGGCGCCCGGGCTGGGGCGCCCGGGGTGAGGCGCCCGGGGTGGGGTGCCCGGGGGGGGTGCCCGAGGTGGGGGTGCCCGGGGTGGGGGTGCCTGGGGTGAGGTGCCCGGGGTGAGGTGCCTGGGGTGGGGTGCCCGGGGTGGGGTGCCCAGGGTGGGTGCCTGGCCCCACCTGTGACCGGGGCGCGGGGCCTGCCCCCAGGCTGAACGGGTCCTCCCTGGAGAACGACGCCTTCTCGGACAAGTCGGAGAGGGAGGCGGGCGAGGACTCGGACGCCGAGGCCCAGGACCTCAGCCAGAGGACCAACGGGAGCGGGAGCGACCTGTCCGAGGCCCCCGCCCCTCGAGGGACCACGTACGTGGAACAGGCCCACGAGGAGCTGGGGGAGGTGAGAGCCGCCCCCCTGAGCCCCCCGCGCCCTGTCACCCGCACCTCGTCCCGCCCCTGCAGCAGCCACGGGGAGGGGGAGGCCTGGGGTCCCCGGAGGAGAGCGCAGGGCCCCAGGGGCTGGGAGCCGGGAGCTGGCAAGGGCCCCGCGGGCTCGGGCTGAGGATGTGGGGGGCCCAGGTGGGCTGGGCTGGGGGGCACAGCCTGTGGGCAAGGAAGGAGGCAGCAGGTTGAGGGGGCTGGCCCGCTGGGTAGAGACACAGCTGGGGAGGGTCGGGGTCAGGGGGCCAGGCCAGGGGGCCAGCCACCACCCACAGCCCAGCCAGAGCCCAGCCTCTGCCCCCCCGCCCCTGGCGCCCCCCCCGCCCCCCCCTCCCCCCGTCCCCCGTCCCCCGCGCGGCCTGCGGGAGCCTGACGCCCTCTGCCGGCAGCTGGGCGAGGCGGCCCAGGTGGAGACGGTGTCGGAGGAGAACAAGGGCCTGATCTGGGTGCTGCTGAAGCAGCTGCGGCCGGGCATGGACCTGTCCCGCGTGGTGCTGCCCACCTTCGTGCTGGAGCCCCGCTCCTTCCTCTGCAAGCTCTCCGACTACTACCACCACGCCGACCTGCTGTCCCGGTGAGGGCGCCCGCCCCCCCGCCCTGCCCCTCTCCCCCAGCCCTGCCCACTCCCCTTCCCTGCCCGGACCCCACCCCCGCCGGGCCCTCCCCTGCCAGGCCCACCCTGCCACCCACCCAGGTGTCTGAAGGGTCCCCGGGGTGCTGACCTCCTCCCACTGTCCCTGCCAGCAAGGTGGGCACGGGTGGGGCCGCCCCAGCACCTCTGTGTACCCTGAACCCCCACCCCTCGGCGCGGGCCACCTGAGCTGATTGTCTGCGCTGCTGCGAGGCAAAGGGCCCTGCGGCTGGAGCCCCCGCAGAGGGAGTGGGGTGAGGGCGGGAGCATCGGGCAGGAGGGGGTGCAGGCGGAGTGAGGGAGCTCTTTATCCGTCCGTCCATCCATCTGTCCGTCCGTCCATCCGCCTGTCCAGGGCCGCGCTGGAGGACGACGCCTACAGCCGCATCAAGCACGTGCTGCGGTGGTACCTGTCTGGCTTCTACAAGAAGCCCAAGGTGAGCACAGAGGCCCACCCAGCCCAGCGGGCGCCACCCCGTCCCGGGGACCCCTACCCCACGCGGCCCTGAAGGAGCCTGATCATCCCCCGGGCCCGGGCCCAGGCCTCAGAGATGGGGGACCCGGGCTGGCTGCAGGGTGGCCCCAGGCACTGAGAGGTGGGGAACAGGCCCTGACTGGCTGCAGGGGGGCCCCGGGCACTGAGAGGTGGGGGACAGGCCTGGGCTGGCTGCAGGGGGCCCCTGGCCTGGCCAGGCCTCCAAAGGTGCTCCTGGTCCTCGAAGAAACAGCTGCCACGCACATGGGGCAGCAAAGGGCTTTGGACCCTGGGCCCCGGTTTCTGGTCCTGGAGCCTTTGAGAACCCGCACCCAGCTCAGAGGAGCACAGGGGGTGCCGGGAGGCCTGCGTCCCTGCCAGGACCCCACCCTGCCACAGACCTGGGTGCCCTGGGACACCGTGTGAATCCACAACTCTGGCTCCACAATTCACTGTGCAGGTGGGGAAACTGAGGCTCGGGGAGGCCCAGGGCCAGCCCAGGGTGAGCCAGCAGGCTGGGTGTGGAACCAGGACGCCTGAGTCTGCCCGAGGGCCCCACAGAGGTGGACCCCACAGCCCTCGGCAGACTGAGCACCTGGGCTGTGGGGGCAGAGGGGGAAATCCAGGAGGGCTTCTTGGAGGAGGCGGTGCCCTCTCTAAGGCTGGCTGGGACAGGGCAGTGGGGCGCACCTGGGTCAGTTCAGAGGTGGATCTGGGAAGCTTGGCAGAGGAGGAATGATGGGCAGCTGTGGGCAGGTAGGAAGGTGACGTCCTGGCCTTGTGCAGATGGCTGTCACTCAGGAGCCCACAGTCTGGGGTGAGGTGAAGGCAACAGCTACAAGTGATGGGGGGAGGGGGGGTTTTAAGGGTGTGGCCCGGCAACGTCAGATCAGGGGTCTGAGCTGGACCACATGGGGACCCAGAAGGAGGGCTCTCCCGTCTAGAAAAGGCCCCCCTGCAGTGGGGATGGGATGGGGCTGTTTGGGGAGCACAGAGGCGGCCAGCCTGGCCGAACAGGAGGGAGGGGGCAGCGCCAGGGGAGTAAAAGCCACTGTTGTTGTTGTTTTCTTGTTTTGTTTTTTATTAATTTTTTTAATTGATGTCAGAGAGGAAGGGAGAGGGAGATAGAAACATCAATGATGAGAGAGAATCACGGATCGGCTGCCTCCTGCAGGCCCCGCACTGGGGATCGAGCCTGCAACCCAGGCCCGTGCCCTGACTGGAATTGAACCGTGACCTCCTGGTTCACAGGTCAATGCTCAGCCCCTGAGCCGCGCGGGCCGGGCAGAAGCCATTGTTCCTGCCCAGAGTCCGGGGGGGGGGGGGGGGCGGTGACCGGGTCAGGGTCTCGGGTCCCCCCAGGAACCAGAAGCGGAGACACCAGGGCGAAGCGGTGTCCCCCAAGCGGACGGGTGCTGCTCCCAGGAGCTGGCAAACCAGCTGTGGGTCCGGAGACCTCGGCCGGCCGGACGCAGGGCCTGGGCTGCGAGCACCCCACCTGGCCCTGGGTCCCCCCCCCCCCCCCCCCCCCCCCCCGCAGCCTGACGAGTGCCTCCCTCCTCACGCAGGGGATCAAGAAGCCCTACAACCCAATCCTGGGGGAGACCTTCCGCTGCAGCTGGTTCCACCCCCAGACCAACAGCCTCACCTTCTACATCGCCGAGCAGGCAAGGCCCCGGCGCCTGGGCCAGGGAGTGGGGGCTCTGAGCCCAGGGCACACTTCCCGGCGGCCCCTCTCTGCCCACTGGGGCCTCGTCTCTGTCAGTCACATGACTGAGACTGCAGGAGGGGGCGTGCACCCCCTCTCCCCTGAGCATCTGGGCCGATGGGGGGATGCAGTTGCCTGGGGGCCCAGGACTCAGGCCAGGCTTCCCTGGGCCCTGGTGCAGGAGGGATGCAGGCGTGGGGGGTGGAGGGGGCAGGGGAGCGGGCTGCCCGCGGCTGGGGCTGTTCCAGGAGCCACCTCTGCCCACAGGTGTCCCACCACCCGCCCGTGTCCGCCTTCCACGTCAGCAACCGGAAAGACGGCTTCTGCATTAGCGGCAGCGTCACGGCCAAGTCCCGGTTCTACGGTGAGGCCTCCCCTGGGCTCCGCGGGACGGGGACCACGCGGGCGGAACAGTCCTCACTTTGAGCCAGGCGGAGCCGGCCTCCCCCTTGTCACCCGCAGGGCTGCCTGAGGGTCACGGGACGAAGCTGCCGGCTCCGTGCCACCAGCCACACGTGCTGTTGACATCGGCAGGGGGTGGGCCCAGCCCCGAGGGCCCCCTCCGCTCACCGGCCCCATGGCCTGTCTCTGCAGGGAACTCCCTGTCGGCTCTGCTGGACGGCAAGGCCACGCTCACCTTCCTGAACCGGGCGGAGGACTACACCCTCACCATGCCCTACGCCCACTGCAAAGGTGAGAGGCCCCCAGGGCCCCGGGCACAGCCCGGCTGCGCCCCTGGGAGGCGTCTGGGCGTGAACTCTCAGTGGGGTTACGGGAAGGTGCTGCGACTCCGTCCGCACCCTCCATGAGCTGAGCTCAGCCCGCATCCGGCGTGTTCCTCTTCTCCTCTTGGAGACGTTGTGTGGCCTCAGGCTTCCCCTGTGGGTGGGATCCTGGGCCGTCAGCCAGCTCGATGCTTGTCTGTAGCTGCCTGTGCGTCTTCCGTTGTTCGTGGTGTAAGTCTCAGCATAGCAGGCCAGGGTTTGGACTCCTTAGGTTACTTTTTAGTTAACGGAGCTATTCTTGTTTAATAGATTTTTTTTATTGATCTCAGAGAGGAAGGGAGAGGGAGAGAGAGAGAGAGAGAAACATCCATGATGAGAGAGAATCACGGACCGGCTGCCTCCTGCACGCCCCACACTGGGGATGCAGCCCACAACCCAGGCCTGTGCCCTGACTGGGAATCGAACCTGGGACCTCCTGGTTCCTAGGTTAACGCTCAACCACTGAGCCAGGCGGCCAGGCTGGACTTTATTCTTTATAGCGATTTCAGGTTTACAGAAAATATTAAGCAGGAAGTACGGAGTTCCCATGTGCGCCCCCACATCTCACACGGATCGGATCCCCTGTTATTAGCAGTGCACATCAGTGTTACACAAGCTGATGTTGATACATTATTGTTTATTTTTTTATTTCAGAGAGGGAGGGAGAGAGAGAGAGAGAGAGAGAGAGACATCAGTGATGAATCATTGATTGGCTGCCCCATGCACGCCCCCTACTGGGGGTCGAGCCCCAACCCGGGCCTGTGCCCTGACCGGAATCGAACCTGGGACGACCCTTCAGTCCGCAGGCGGACGCTCTGTCCACTGAGCCAAGCCGGCCAGGGCCTGCCCCTTCACTATTAACTCACGTCCACAGTTCACAGCAGGGTTCGCCCTCTGCCCGCACGTGCTGTGGGTTTGGACCAACGCCTCGCGTCACGTTTCGCCATTAGGAAGCCACAGAGCAGTCGCGCCACCTGGAAGTCCGCCCTGGTTGGCCGGACAGATGAACTCCCCTGTCCGGCCCCCCTCTCCCCGCCCCCAGCCACTCGCCTTCCGTCTCCACAGCTTGGCCTTTTTCAGAAGGCGGTAGAGTCGGGCGGAGTGAGTGGTGGGCGTGCAGACGGGCTCCTTGCGTGAGTTCCCCACCCCCCACCTCTTCCTGCCTCGGTAGCTCCCGGTTTCTCCTGCTGGTTCGTCCCCTCCTCTGAGAAACTGACCTTTAGATCATTTCGCAACCGACCTTCGCTTTCGCTTCCCCGGACACATTCCATTGGCTAAAAACAGTAACTTTTCCCGTGGCCTCGCCTGGGATCCGGACCCCCCCCCCCCCCCCCCCGAAAAAGCCCGCTGGAGCCCTTTAGGATCGCCGATTCCCGTCCCTGGCTGCTGGCGCCATGTTGGGCATCCGCCCATCTGGGTTCCCAGATGACCCAGTGCATGTATTGATAAGCCCTTGCCACTTGGCCTCCTGGGTAACAGGAGGGAGGGGGAGAGACAGAGAAACACCGTGTGAGAGAGATCGGCGACTGGATGCCTCCCTCATGTGCCCTGACCCCAGCCGGCATCGAGCCTGCAGCCGAGGTCCGTGCCCTTGACCGGGATCCATCCCAGGGCCCTTCCGTCCTCAGGCCGGCGCTCTGTCCGCGGCGCCAACCGGCAGCCCTCTGGGTTTCATTTTATTCTTGCTGTTGGAGGGCTTTGGGAGGTTTAAACTTGTTGAACTTCTGTGTATTGATTGCAGAGAGGCCCGGATTTGCTCCTCCCCTTATCTGTGCGTTCATTGGCCGATTCTCGCATGTGCCCTGATGGGAGCGAACCCCTGACCTTGGGTATTGGGACGACGCTCGAACCCACTGAGCTGCCCGGCCAGGGCTTGTTTGAACTTTTTCAATCTAAGGTTTCCTGGCTCTGATTGCTGTATCGCAGATCAGCGAGCTGGACAAGACACCTTTATCAGCCGATTAGTTAGGGGTCATCTTTATTGCGCGCAGGTTCAGAGCAGATCACCTCTGTCAGAGTCTGAACCCGCAACGGAGGAAGCATTCTCTTTTTATATCTTTCTTAGGTCCTTGTGTCAGTTATTTTTACAGACAGCTTGTAACCTTGAGTACATATCATATCTCGCAAACACCTGTCATATCTATACAGACAACTTGTAACTTTGAATACATATCGTATCTATACAGACACCTGTAACCTTGAGTGCCATGTCTCTACAGGCACCTGGCGTCAATATCAGCGTATCAGTTAGATGGCTAGCTTGCAAGGTCAGACAATTAAGTTTATCTTTTCTATTATCCAAGCTAAAAACAAAGTTATTTTACAGCCTAAAAATAACAGAGTTGATCTATAGAATAAGAGACTAAGAATAGCCCTAACCAGTTTGGCTCAGTGGATAGAGCGTCTGCCTGCGGACTGAGGGGTCCCAGGTTCGATTCTGGTCAAGGGCATGTACCTTGGTTGCAGTCATATTCCCAGTGGGGGGTGTGCAGGAGGCAGCTGATCCATGTTTTTCTCTCATCGATGTTTCTAACTCTCTATCCCTCTCCCTTCCTCTCTGTAAAAAACCAATAAAATATATTTTTTTTTTTTTAAAAGAAGAGAGACTAAGGATTACAGAGTAGTTCAAACAGCAGTTTTCCCAAAGGAGGGACCACTATGCTTCATGATCAGGTCTGGAAGTTTTTTAGCCATTCTCCTTTTTCTTCTTTTTCTTTTCTTTGCCATTCTTGGAATACCGCCTCATCCTCGTGACTTCCAGTTAGATATGTTAAACCAGCGGCCCCAGGTCCCCGGCCTTTTTCTGGCCACGCCCCACCTAAGCGTCTCCAAAATCCCAATGCCCGCCCCCCGTGACGTATAATTCTCATTATTCAAAAAGCGAACCCCTATTCACGTGGAGGAAGCCTCAAAGGCCACAAACTGGGTCCAAACCAGCTTCCCAAGAACATGGCGTCCACGAAGGAGAAAACCAAAGAACGGAAGGACGGTGGGAGTCCTGGGGAAGAAATCACTAAGAAACTGTTAAAAAAATAATAACATGAAGTGATAGGAAAAAATAGCAAACAATGTTTCAAAACATGTAATAGAGACCGGAAATGCATAAATGTGTCACAGTATATATTTATATTCTGTAGACGAGGCCCCTAGAACCGTAAGAAATGCAGAAGGCTCACTGTGAATAACTCACTCCCGAACTGCCCCCCTTAAACGGCACATGGCCCCTGCGGGCAGGCGCCCCACGTGGGTCGGTCGGAACCGTGCGTGAAACCCTCGCCGCGCTCCGCCTCTCCGGCCTCGCGCCTCTTTGCGTTCTGGATCATCGGGGCCTTCCACGCTGGCGGCCCTGAGCTCAGTGTTGAAGTTCTGTGTGTGTTTTTCCCTAAAAGTTCTACGTGGTTCCATTTCCAACCTGCCTGTTTATACTCGGACCTTGTGTTCGGGTTTTTTGTGTGTTTTTTGGGGCGGGGGGTGGGGGGGGCAGAGAGGTGAGCTGTGGCAGAATTCACAACGGAGAGAAGAGACAGAAGCAGAGAGAAAGTTCACGTTTACTTCCCGGTGCCTGGCCGGTCAGTGCGAGGCCAAAAGGGCAACAAGGGCTCCTCTCTCAGAGCCTCAGGCCAGGAGGGGAGGGGCTTGGGGCCTGAAGTTGAGACATGGGGGGGGGGGGGGGGCTTTGTTAGTTCTTCAGGAGACAGTCAGGGCACAGGCCCCAGGGAGGTGTCTTATCGTATTCCAAGCCCGTAGACCAAGCCCGTCAAACTCCCAGGCTCACACGGGCCACACAAACAGGTGTAAGTGTCTGTGGCCACAGAAAAACAAAAGCTTCCATTCTCACAGAAACGTGGTTTATTCCGATAGAGACATGCTGACGCAAAGGGCTGAAACAAATGAGTCACCGTTAACATAATAGAACATTGTAATAAAAATTAATATTTTTTCTTGAACATTCACTGACCAGACACTGATTAACTGCACAAATTAATAAGCGTCACACAAATAAACCTATTTTTCTTGTTCTCCGAAAGCGAAATATTTCCTGTTGCGCACACCCAACAAGTCAGTCCGAGACTAATGACTTGGCCATCGGCTGCTAAAACATTCGCTGCTAGTGTTAGTGGAGAGAAATGGTGCGCCTGCGCGTAAGGCTCGTAAGGGAAATGAATGCAACACTACTATAGTAGCCAGTCATTAGTGAACGTTGTAGTTCATTATTAATAACTGTGACCCAGTGCACTAATTTGTGCACAGTGAAAGGAAATTAATTAGAAGAATATTTTAATGTTGCTATTCGCCCTTTCTCTATAGAAGTGTCAACCAAATTCAAGATCGACAATGACAGATCAAAACACACGCATGTGATTGGCGCTAGCGAGAGCTTTATATGTATCACGCATGCACGAGTCAACTTAGCCTTTGATAGATATAAACTTGCTTAATTAGGCCTGCTTTCTGATGTAGCTAAACTTTTTCCAGCCCAGGGAAGCACCCCAACTTCTCTTTCAGGTAATTGTCAGCAACACAGCAGTAAATATCAACACGAAGCAGATTATTATTGTAGATCACGCAGGGAGAACAAAGGGTGGAATATTTACCTGCAGCTGTGTTTGACTGTATTCTGCACAGTGACAAAACCTGGAGTCATTGTCAAGGTCCTCCATTTCTTTTTTTTTCTTTTTTTTTAATTAAATCTTTATTGTTCAGATTATTACATTTGTTCCTCTTTTTTCCCACCATAACTCCCCTCCACCCAGTTCCCACCCCACCCTCCGCCCTCACTCCCCACCCACTGTACTCATCCATAGGTGCACAATTTTTGTCCAGTCTCTTCCCGCATCCCCCCCACCCCTTTCCCCCCCAAGAATAGTCAGTCCATTCCCTTTCTATGCCCCTGATTCTATTATAATCACCAGTTCATTCTGTTCATCAGATTATTTATTCACTTGATTCTTAGATTCACTTGTTGATAGATGCATATTTGTTGTTCATAATTTGTATCTTTACCTTTTTCTTCTTCTTCCTCTTCTTAAAGGATACCTTTCAGCATTTCATATAATCCTGGTTTGGTGGTGATGAACTCCTTTAGCTTTTCCTTATCTATGAAGCTCTTTATCTGACCTTCAATTCTGAATGATAGCTTTGCTGGATAAAGTAATCTTGGTTGTAGGTTCTTGGTATTCATCACTTTGAATATTTCTTGCCACTCCCTCCTGGCTTGCAAAGTTTCTTTTGAGAAATCAGCTGACAGTCGTATGGGTGCTCCCTTGTAGGTAACTGGCTGTTTTTCTCTTGCTGCTTTTAAGATTCTCTCTTTGTCTTTTGCTCTTGGCATTTTAATGATGATGTGTCTTGGTGTGGTCCTCTTTGGATTCCTTTTGTTTGGGGTTCTCTGCACTTCCTGGACTTGTAAGTCTATTTCTTTCACCAGGTGGGGGAAGTTTTCTGTCATTATTTCTTAAAATACGTTTTCAATATCTTGCTCTCTCTCTTCTTCTGGCACCCCTATAATTCTGATATTGGTACGCTTGAAGCTGTCCCAGAGGCTCCTTACACTATCTTCGTATTTTCGGATTCTTTTTTCATTTTGCTTTTCCGATTGGGTGTTTTTTGCTTCTTCGCATTTCAAATCTTTGACTTGATTCCTGCGCTCCTCTGGTCTGCTGTTGGGAGTCTGTATAATATTCTTTATTTCAGTCAGTGTATGCTTAATTTCTAGTTGGTCCTTTATCACAACCTCGAGGGTCTCATTAGATTTCTTGTAGATCTCATTAAGTTTATCGGCAGTTTCTAGAAAATTATTGAAAGACCTTAAAAGTGCGGTTTTGAGCTCTATATCCTCCATTTATGTCATGTTTCTTTGTCTCCACATTTTTAATGCTTTCTTGGTGCACCCCCTTGTGGTCTTTGTTCGCAGTCTTGTTGTAGTTAAGCCTTGATTGTGGTAGGTAGTACTGGCGGGATTTGACCTCCAGGCCAACTGGCTATGAGAATCAGCTGTGCCTGCAGTGGGAGAACTTCTGTGCTGGGTCTCTAGGGAGGTGCTAATCTAGCCTTTGCCTAAGGCTATCCCGCAGATGCCTCTGTGCAGGGCTTGGGTGGGGCGGGTCCCAGGGGATCTACAGGGCTGGCGGAGCGAGCAGTTATGGCTGCTCTCAGTCCCGTCCCCAGGGGCTCTGCCTCTCAGAGTCCCAGCAACCGCTGCAAACCTCCGAGAGAAAGCTGCCTTCGAGTTCCGACTGAAGCCAGACAGTCCTGCTTCTCCCGTATGAGTCTGGGTCCCCAGAGACTCGCCCGGAACTGGAGCTCAGAGCCTGAGACTCCCTCCCGATTGAAACAGACAACCACGCCCTCAGCCGCCAGCCTGCTCTGCACACACCTCCGCACCTGAGTATTTGACTTCAGCACTGCGCCTCCTCTGAGTCTCGGTATGCTATTCTCTTTCCTCCTAGTTGTAGAACTTCCACTCGGCCAGCCTTCCTGTGGTTCTGGATGATGTCCATTCTGTCTTTTAGTTGTATTTTTGAAGTGGTTGTGCGAGGCAGCAAACTCTGGCATTAACCTATACCACCATCTTGGTTTCTCCTGTTCTTTCTTGAGGTCCTCCATTTCTTACTTCTTTCCAGTTGGGTCAAGTTTCTAAGCTGGGTCCCAGTCCTCCCCCCACTTGGTCCTGCCCCTGCCTTCCCAGCTTCCTTCTGTCTCCTCAAACAGCATTCTACATTTTCCTCACCGGTTTGTTGTGGGGTGCCACCCGCAGCACAGCTAGCCCCAGTCTGGGCTCCGTTGCGCCCGCACTCTCCGCCTGACTGATGGGAGCACATCCCACAGCCGGGCACCTGCTGTCACTGCGTCACCCAAAGACAAGGATCCTTCCTAACCACAGCCCCGTGCTGTCCTCACACCGTGAGCACAATCAAGGCTCTTCCGGCAACACCATCCCACAGCCCTCCCCCCCCCCCCCGCCAGCCTCCCTCTCCGCCAGCCCCCCCACAGCCCCTCACAGCTCCCGGCCTGCACGTGGGCGCATCCCTATTGTCAGATCCCTGCAGCGAGGCCAAGAGACACGGAGAGCTCAAGGAATTGCATGGCGTTCTCTCACCGTGGGCTGAGCCCAGTGTGTGGCCGGCAGCCCCCCAGGGGCGGGTAGGTTCCCGACTGAGTAAAAGCCGCCGGTGGGGTCAGGCTGTGAGTCGGTGGAGCGCAGGAAGGGGAGGTCTCTTGCGTCTGCAGGCGCAGGCCGCCGCCCTGAGAGGAGGGAAAGGCCGATCTGATGACAGCAGACACAGCAGGGCGGGCGGCCTGCAGGGCCCCGGGGTTAGGAGGTCCTCCTCCCGCACCGGGGGTCTCTCCTTCCAGCTGTTCTGTTTTGGGTCTGGAAGAAGAGAGCCACGCAACAGGTGGCCTTTGATGTAGGGCCCAGGGCTCACCGAGGGGCAAGATCGGGCGCCCGGAGGCGGGCTGGGCAGCAGGGAGCTGAGGCAGGACAGAGGCCTGTGGGCGTGAGAGGGGCCCGGCTTCGCAGAGGCTGTGCCCGTGTGGATGCGGGAACTGCTTCGAGGAGGTGTGTGCGGACCAGCTGGCTGGGAGGCGCGCCTGTAACACGGGGTTTGCTTCGACACCTCCGTGAGCAGCAGTCCCTTAGACGTTCTCTGGGGGACTCTACAGGTGGCCACCGAGTTTGTTCCCCCGATTCCCTCTCGTTACGTCTAAACCGCAGTCCTTTCTCCCCTTCCGTGTTGAGTCAGTCACTTGTTTTGCTTTGCGAGTATACGTCTCTTGATGTGGGGGGAAGTGGGGTGTCTGAAAGAGACCAAGATGCTGCTGTTCTTTTAGTGACGAGGTTGTGCCTCATTTAGGATCTGGGAGGCTTTGAGGGGAAGTGGAGGCCTGGGATGCACCTGGTGACTGTGACCTTTAAACTCACATTATTTGCCCGGCCGGCAGGGCTCAGTGGTTGAGCTTCGACCTACGAACCCGGAGGTCACGGTTTGATCCCCGGTCAGGGCACTTGCCTGCGTGTTGCTGGCTTGATCCCCAGTGGAGGGCGTGCAGGAGGCAGCTGATCAGTGATTCATTAATGTTTCTATCTCCCTCTCCCTTCCTCTCTGAAATCAGTATATTGAAATTCGTGCACTGCGGGGGGGTGGGGGTGGGGGTGGGGGGAGTGTACGCGGAATCCCTCGGCCTGGCCTGTACCCTCTCGCAATCTGGGACCACTGGCTCCTAACCACTCGCCTGCCAGCCTGATCGCCCCTAACCCCTCTGCCTCGGCTCCTGCCACCGCAGCTTCGTCCGGAAGGACGTCTGGAATGACATCCAGAAGGTCGTTTGGCTGTCCAGTCTAATTAGCATATTACGCTTTTATTATTATACATTTTTAAAAAGGTTGAAATAGACTATGAATTTACAGGCTTTGTCAGCGCCCGTGTCCTGACCTCTGAACCATCTTCCCCTGACACGGAAATGTCTCTTTTTAATACATTTTTATTGATGTCAGAGAGGAAGGGGGAGGGAGAGAGAGGGTCATCCATGATGAGAGAATCACGGATCGGCTGCCTCCTGCACGCCCCCTCCTGGGGACAGAGCCCGCAGCCCGGGCCTGTGCCCTTGACCGGGATCGAACCGGGACCCTGAGTCCGCAGGCCGACGCTCTCCACGGAGCCACACCGGCCGGGCCGGACATGTTTCTTTGGCGAAGGCCTCGCAGCCATTACTCCGTGTCGTACGCAGTCGGAGTGGCCGGCCCTGCAGGGAATGGACCGGCCGTGGCCGCGCCTCCGGGCTGTCCTGTCCGGAAGGCCTCCCGCCGGGGCGGGCGGTTATGCAGCCGTTTCCCCCCAGGCGGGGCTGCTCTGGGCCTTCAGTCATATGACTGTGGGTTCCTAGAAACGGCTTTTTCGTTTCATTCTTTGATAATTCTGCACATGACAGCGTTCCTCACCTGCACAGTCCCAGGTGCGTCCCCAGGCCTCGGGACTAGAAACCAGGTACTGTGTCCGGGTAGTCCAAGGGGTAGGGTCCCTCTCGGACTCCACGCCCCCGGCCACGCCCCGGCCACGCCCCCAGGCAGCACAGCGCCCCTCCCGCTCTCCCGGCAGGTGCCAGGGGGACCCCGGCTCTTCCCCGCCTTTTGCTATTTCGTCGCTTGCTTGCGGCTCCCCTGAAGGGGACAGTGTGGCCCCAGTCTCAGCATTTCCGAGCGGAGCCGCGTGTTTAGATCAAGCCCCGCGGCCCGCGCCGGAGGCCTGTTCTCCCCTTCGGGCCTTAGGTCACCTGCGTGTTAGTTACAGTCATGCGATCGGCTGTCCAGGCCGCTGTGAGCGGGGGAGACCCCGCCTGCCTGGCCGCCCGCAGGAGCCCACGCTGGGCAGGACCTGTGGCGGGAACCAAGGTGACCCAGCACCGGGTGGGGCGTCTCCTGCACGGGCACCTCACATGAGCAATGGTGGTGGGGGCCCCGTTGCCGGGAGTGGGGGGTTGGGGGGGGCACGGAGGAACCAGCTCACCGGCTCCACTCCCCGCAGCTCCGTCCTCCCCACCCGCCTGCCCGGGCCCGCTGACCCCTGCCCGCTGTGTTGCAGGGATCCTGTACGGCACCATGACCATGGAGCTGGGCGGCCGGGTGACCATCGAGTGCAAGAAGAGCCACTTCCAGGCCGAGCTGGAGTTCAAGCTCAAGGTAGCTCGGCGCAGCCCCTGCAGCGCACAGAGGGCCGTGGAGGCAGGGCCCGGGCTGCAGAGGACGGGGGGGGGGGGGGGGGGGGCTGCGGGGGGGGGGGGCTGCGGACCCCTCCCGCCCTCTTTGTGCCCCAGAGCTGGTTTCCTGAGCAAGTGCGCCTGGGGGAGCAGCTCTGCATCTCCGGGAGGGCAGGCGCTGCCCGCAGGCCACGCAGGGGAGCTGGGACCTGCCCTCCTGGGGGGCACCCCCACCCCCCGCATCTCTGAGCTCAGGATGAGGCACTGGCCAGTGGCCGCCTCTAGCTGGGGGCCCGTCCCACCGGGCTCCTGTCCCCCCGGGAGGGTGCCCACTCCGTGCCCCACAGCGAGGGCCCGGGGTCTGTGGCGAGGCCGCCGCCCTCACGGACACCCGTCCCCTCAGCCGTTCTTTGGGGGCAGCGCCAGCATCAACCAGATCTCCGGCAGGATCACGTCGGGGGACGAGGTGCTGGCGCATCTCTCGGGGCGCTGGGTAAGAGGCCGCCCTGGGGCCGGCGGGGGCGGGAGGGGCCTGGCCGGGCTGGCCTGGGGCCCGCTGACCGGCCGCCTCTGCCGCAGGACGGCGAGGTGTTCATCAGGGAGGAGGGCCGTGGCGGCGCCCAGCTCTTCTGGAACCCGAGCCCCGAGGTGCGCGGGCAGAGGCTGAAGCTGCGCACGGTGCTTCTGGAGGAGCAGACGGCGCTGGAGTCGGAGCGGTGAGGCTGCAGGACCGCTGACCCCCGTGGGCGAGCCGACGGGCAGCTGCTCTCCCAGTGGGCGGGGCTGCAAGCAAGTCCCAGGGCGTCGCTGGAAGGGAGGGTGCCCCCCTCCCAGGGGAGCGGTCCTGCGGGGGAGGGGAGCAGGGGAAGAGCTGGTTGGGTGACCAGCGGCCCCAGGGTGGGCCCTGCTGGGAGGGTGAGCTGGGGGTGGGGGGGAGCTTACCCTGCGGGGGGTGTGCACGGCGGGAGCTACTGTCTTCTGGGGGAGGTTTCGCTTTCTGCGAGCCTCCCGGGGTCGCACCCTCTGAACCGCAGTTTCCTTGTCTTTCAAACGAAGACCCTGTGAGACGGTGGGAAGATGGTGGGACGGGGAAGCGGGTGGCGGGCACAGTGCCCCCGGGCAGCTCTCCTGAGTGATGGCTGGCGAGCGTGTGCGCCTTCCAGCCCAGCGAAGACCCGGCCTCGGGGCGGTGTGGTCGCCCTGCCTGAGAGCCGGTCGCGTGGGGCCCAGCAGTGAGTGGCCGCGGACACGTCGTTGGGCAGGCGCCCTGGCCCCATTACTCCCTCCCGTGGCCTCCACCCATGCCCCCCCCCCAGCCACCCGAGAGGACAGGTGTGGGCAGGGACCCCCAGGTCAGGGCCCTCAGACAAGGTCACGTGACCTTGAAGCGTCTGCCAGCTGGACCCATTGTCTCTGTTCGTGGAACAGTCACCCCGGGAAGGGGACGGGCAGGGAGCAGAGAAGAAACCCCCACTTACTGTTCCGTGTGCCGACTGTGGGATTCAGTTTCCGCGGCCACGGAGTGTGCCCAGCGCGCAGGGCCGGCTCCTGAGGTGCCGTGGAGAGGCCGGTGTATTCACCTGGTCCCCAGGGACCTCTCCCTCACATGGGACAACATCTATGCGAACAGACCCCAGGGAGGGAGGGAGAGACAGAGAAACATCAGTGAGGAGAGAGAATCGTGGATCGGCTGCCTCCTGCACATCCCCTACTGGGGACTGAGCCTGCAACCGGGCCTGTGCCCTGACCTGGAATCCCACTGTGACCTCCTGGTTCATAGGTCAGTGTTCAACCACTGAGCCACCCCAGCTGGGTCGTTGAATCTAATTTTAAAAATGGGGTTTATGTTTAAAAAAGTGTCCCAGGAGACACAGCGCCGAGAGGCAGTGAGCTCCCTGTCGCTGGGGGCAATCAAGTGGAGAGTGTGCTAAGCCGCCCCTCCGACACTGGGGGGGGCATGGCCGCCCAGGCCCCCGGCTCAGAGCGGTGCCCGCCCGCAGGCTGTGGCAGCACGTCACCAGGGCCATCAGGGAGGGTGACCAGCACACGGCCACGCGGGAGAAGTTCGCTCTGGAGGAGGCCCAGCGGCAGCGGACCCGGGAGCAGCAGCAGCGCCTGGCCCCATGGGCGCCCCGGCTGTTCCACCTGGACCCCGCCACCCAGGAGTGGCGCTACCGCTTCGAGAAGTGAGCGCGGCGGGCGGGGGCCCGGGCCCGGGATGGGCGGGACCGGCACTGCCCTCACCGGTCTGGCCCTGGGCCTGAGACCTGGGGCTCCTGCTCCCCCGGAGGAGCAAGGGATGGGGCAGGGCCGTATCGGGGCTCCCGGCTGTCCTGTGTGCGGCCCCTGCACGCGGTGTTGGCGGCAGGGGTCCTCGGTGGGGGGCTCTGGCTGGATGGCATCCCCTCCCCCTGAGGAGCACGGCCCCCGCTCACGGACACCCTCTGGCCCCGCAGCCACAGCCCCTGGGACCCCCGGAAGGACTTGGCCCAGTTTGAGCAGGACGGGGCTCTGCGCACCCTGCAGCGGGAGAGGCGGCCCCCACAAGGCCATCTGGGCGGCAGCCCAGGGCCCAGGCGCCAGGTCAGCACCCAGGGCCCTGCTGGGGCGTCCTCGGCAGCGAGGGGGGCAGTCAGGCTGCTCCCCCCGCCTTGCCTCCTCTCTGCCCCCTGCCTGTCGCCCTCTCACCCCCCAGCAGGGCCCCCCGTGGGCCGCGCCGTGTCCCTGCCCGCCCTCCCCATGGGACCCGAGGCGCCAGGGCTGGTAGGACACTCGGTGCCCACGGGCCCCAGGGCGCCCTCAGGGGTGAGCGCCTGGTCCCTTCCCGGGGAGGACACTGAGCTCAGGACGGCCGGGGGCGGGCGGGGCAGCAGGTGCCGATGCGGGGCCTGGAGGGTGGCAGGAGCGGGGAGGGGGGGAGGGGGGAGGGCGGGAGGCCAGGCTTTCTGAGCGGCGTCTGCATGGCCTCCACGGTACCACGTGGGTCCTGGCCAGCCGAGTGCTGCAGGCTCCCCTGGCAGCGCACCCTCAGCAGGTCCCCGTGGGGTGCGGGGGGTGTGGGGGGCTCCCAGCCCAGCACCTCCGTTTCCCTGCAGAGGCCGGGCCCTGACCGGCGACTCCGCAAGGCCAGCGACCAGCCCTCCGGCCACAGCCAGGTCACCGAGAGCAGCGGCTCCACGCCCGAGTCCTGCCCGGAGCTCTCGGACGACGATGGGGACGGAGACTTTGTCCCCGGTGAGCAGGCCCTTCTGCAGGGTGGGCAGGTGGGAGGGCACCTCTGGGGGGCAGTGCCCAGGACGACCCCCCACCCCAGTGGCCTCAGGGGCCTCCCTGAGCCCAGGACAGACGAGGGTGTGGCAGGCGGCTGGGCTCCCCAACCCTGTGCTCAAGGGCAGGCACTGCCCATGGCTGACGGGGGTGGGGGGGGTCGGGGGGTGTCCCTCGGCCGGGACCCTCTTGTCCCCGCCTCCGCAGGGGTGAGCCCCCTTGGCCATTTCTGTCTCCCGGGCAGCTGAGCCTGGGGTCCCCCTGAAAGGTCCCCCGTGCCTCTCCCTGCCCCCTGGTCCTGGTAGCTCTGTTCCCAGGACTCCCGTGAGGCAGGCAGGGGCTCAAGCTGGGCATCACCCCGGGACCCCACTCACTGCCCCCCGACATCCCAGCTCATCCTCCATTCTCCCCTCCCCTGCGTGTCCCCTCGTGCCCTGGTCCTGTGGCTGGCGGTGCCCCCCAGGCAGCGAGAGCGCGTGCCCGCGGTGCGGGAAGGAGGCCGGGCGGCTGCAGGCGCTGCACGAGGCCGTGCTGTCCATCCGGGATGCCCAGCAGGAGCTGCACAGGTAGGAGAGGGCGGGACCCGAGAGCCGGGCGGGGGACACGGAGGGGACATGCATGGCGGCCGCTGGGAGCTGGAACCCTCCCGGGTCCGGGTGCCGTGGGGGCACAGGAGGACGCCTGGGCTTCTGCCCCTCGAAGGACGGCGGCCACGGGGATCCTGTGTGAGCTGCTGCTCGGTGGGCGGCCAGCGGGCAGTGCGGGGCCGAGGAGGTGCGGGGCCGAGGGCCAGCAGGAGCCCCGTTGAGTCGGCACCCAGGGCCCTCTGAGCAGAGGCCGGACACAGGCCGGGACCTGGAGGACAGCCCAGAGCCTGTCGCAGTCGCCTGCCCGCAGCTCAGAGTCAGGGCAGCTTCTGCATGTCCAGGGGCCACGCAACATAAGTCCCGCAGACGTGGCTCACACCGGCCTCTCCCTGGGGTCCCCACGGCCCCTCCCTGTCCCTCGGTGCGTCCTGGCCTCAGCTTGTGAGGACAGTCCCATTGGATGAGGGCCCAGCCATGACCTCATTGGACTTTAATCTTCCCGTTAAAGGCCCTTCTCCAAACGCGGCCCCACGCAGGTCCTGGGGTCAGGGCTCCGACACATGGCGCTGGGGTGGGACCCATCTCACCGTAAGGGGGGGAAGGGGAGGGGTCCAGTTCCCCTGGCACTGACCCGGGTCCCGGTCCCTCGAGCACATGCTCTGGGTGCCCGCCCCTGCCCGCCTCCCCTCGGCCAGCGCCCCTGAGGGTGGACGCGCGTCCCTCTGGCCGGCCTGGCTGAGCCGCCCTGTCCTTGCAGGCACCTGTCGGCCATGCTCAGCGCCTCGGCCAGGGCGCGGCGGGCGGTGGCCCCGGGCCTCCTGCAGAGCCCACGCGCCTGGGGCCTGCTCTGCGTGCTCCTGGCCTGCCAGCTGCTCATGAACCACGTCCTCACCTAAGAGCCCCGCGGGACGCGGCGTCACCTGCAGACCCGCCACCGCCTCCCGCCACCCGCCCGGCACCCAGCACTTTACCAGCCCCGGGGAGGCAGGCGGACGGACACTCCGAGCTCGGCCGCGGTGGACAGAGGGGTCCCGGCAGCCGGAGGACAGCAGGAGGGACCTGGCGGCCACCGGCGCCCCCGGGGGAGGGGCTGGCCTCTCGGCAGGGCCCTGCCCAGCGCCGGCCTGGATGCTCCCGCCACAGGCCACTGCCTGGTGCCCGCTCCTGGTCACTGCCTCTCACTCCGGCGCAGCGTCCACCTGCCGGGGCCTGGCGTGGGGGGTTAGGAGGGCCTGCCAGGGTCAGACAGTCCCATCCCAGCGGGGCTGCAGGGGGAGGAGCCAGCCGGGGCCCCCAGGGCCTCCTCGGGCCTGAGGCACAGGCTGTCGCCCCTGAGACCCTGTCCCTGTCGCCTGGAGCGGCCTCGGCCGGGACCCTGGGGCCCCCTGACTCGGCTCGTGGGGTTCACGCTGCCCGTGTGCTGCTTGGACACATGCTCCGTGAGAAGTGCAGGGCAGCCGGTCCTGTAGGCGGTGGGGACACGTGACCGCGGTGCCAGGGAGAGGCTGGTGTGCTCAGCTGCCCACACGGGACACGGGGGCTGTTGGGCTGGGCTGATGCGTGCTCTCCCGCTCTGAGCTTCTTGTTGTTAATCCTCACATATTTTTCCATTGATTTTTAGGGAGAGTGGGGGGCGGGGGGGAGACAGAGAGAGAAACATGGATGTGAGAGAGCCACATGGACTGGTCGCCTCCCGCACGCACCCCGGCCAGGGCTGGGGACGGAGCCTGCAGCAGAGCCTGCAGCAGAGCCTGCAGCCCTTGACCGGAATCGAACCCAGGACCCTTCAGCCCGGGCGCCGATGCTCCGTCCACTGAGCCGCACCGGCCAGGGCTCCACACTTTTTAGATAGACACGATTGCAATGTTTTAGGCAGCGCGGGGCCCCTGTTCCTGTGTCCGTGCCCCGTGTGTGTGCGTGTGCGTGTGGGAGTGTGCGTGTGCGTGTGGGAGTGTGCGTGTCGTGTGTGTGCATGTGCGTGTGGGAGTGTGCGTGTGCCTGTGGGAGTGTGTGTGTCGTGTGTGTGCATGTGCGTGTGCATGCGTGTGCGTGTGTGAGCACCTGCACGGTGGGTACACACGGAGCCTTAAACTTGGTGGCCGCGCCCTCTGAGCCGATGGCCAGACTTTGTATCCATGTTCTTGTTGTCCCCCCATTCGGGGTCACGTCTGTGCTCCATCCTTGAAATAAAGGACACACACACATTGCCTGGTGTCTTCTTGGGGGTTTCTGGGAACGAGGGCTCCTCTGGGGGCGGACTCCGTGCCAGCCGGGCGCTGTCTGGGGCTGGAGGGGCCGGGGCAGGAGCGGGCACTGAGCCGCAGGCCCGCCTGTGAGGCGAGGGCCAGGAGGCAGGACGGAGGGTGTGGGCGCCCCTCCTCCCCCTGGAAAGTACAAGTGAAAAATCTGGGCTGGAGCCCGGGTGCCGCCCCCGGAGGGCGCACCTGCCGCTCCCGCAGCCGGACACGGGGAGGAAGGGGGAGGGGCAGTGGGGCTTGGTGACCCCTCGCAGGGGCGGGAGGCGTGGCGGCTACAAAAGGGGTGCGGACGCGCCTCACTCACCGTCCAGCCGCCCCGGGCGGGGAGGGCGGGCCGGCGGCGCGGTGCGGAGGCACCGGGGGCTGTGAGAGGGCGGAGGGGGCGGAGGGGGGCGGACCCGGAGGCGGGGGTTGGAGGCGCCCGCCCCGCTGACCGGCCATAAAACGGGCTGCTCTCAGCTGCGTCCCCGTCTTACTGTCCTGCGCGCCCCCCGGACCCCGAGGAGCGCCATGGCCGGGATGTCGCTGCCGCTGCTGCTGCTGCTGCTCCTGCTGCCGCTGCCGCCGCCGCCCCGGCTCCTGCTCCTCGGGACACCGGTGGGTGCGCGGCTGGGCTCCGGGAGGGAAGACCCCGCCGGCCGGGAGGGGGCAGAACGGAGTCTGAGTTCCAGAGTCGGGAGGGCGAGCTGCACCCGCACCCCAGGCCCCCGAAGCTCGGGGCTCAGCTCGGGGCGGGGAGCAGCTCGGGGCGCAGCTTGGGGTGGGGAGCAGCTCGGGGCGGGGAGCAGCTTGGGCGGGGAGCAGCTCGGGGCGGGGAGCAGCTCGGGGCGCAGCTTGGGGCGGGGCGCAGCTTGGGCGCAGCTCGGGGCGGGGAGCAGCTCGGGGCGCAGCTTGGGGTGGGGAGCAGCTCGGGGCGGGGAGCAGCTTGGGGCGGGGAGCAGCTCGGGGCGCAGCTGGGGGCCGGGCACTCCACGAACCCAGGCTCCGCGCGCAGGGCATCGTGGCTGAGCCGAGCGCGGGGACAGCGCAGGCCCCCGCGGCCCCTGCCCCGGGCGGTGTGGGGACCGGATGGTGACCCCGGGGGCTGGGCGGGCACGGCCAGGCCCACGTCCTCCCACCGCGCTATGGATTCGGAATTTATGGAATTGGCGCGGAAGAGACAGTTGGACACTGAGGTTTCAGGAAAAGCCTTCATTCAAAGAGCTGCCGGTCCAGGGACCCCAAGATCCAGGTCCTGAGCCCCGTGGACAGTGAGATGTTCTCCTCATGTGCTCCTGAGCCTCTCTGTTCCCCAACCCCCAGCTTCTGTAGGGACTCCCCCCCCCCCCAATCAGATGGTTAACTTAGACTGTAGTTAATTCCATCCTGGAGGGCGCCCTGACCTCCCTCCCGCTAAGCCAGTGGTTCTCAACCTTCCCAATGCCGCGACCCTTTAACACAGCTCCTCATGCTGTGGGGACCCCCAACCATAACATTATTTCCGCTGCTGCTTCATCACTGTGATTTTGCTACTGTTATGAATCGTCATGTAAATATCTGATATGCAGGATGTATTTTCATGGTTACAAATTGAACATAATGAAAGCATCGTGATTAATCACAAAAACAATATGTAATTATATATGTGTTTTCCGATGGTCTTAGGCGACCCCTGTGAAAGGGTCGTTTGACCCCCAAAGGGTCGCGACCCACAGGTTGAGCTGTAACATCCCAGGGTCGGGGCCCCGCGGGTTGGGCACATTCAGGTAAACAGCTCTTGCGAGACCAGATGGGGACGGAGGGGACCCTGAACGGAATGTGCATTTGGGACACTGGTACAAAGTCAGGCGCTAGCCTCCTATTTTTTTTTTTTTTTATCACAAATGGAGTTAATTATCAGCTCGCAAGATTGAGCAACAGCGAGCAGGTTACTGGGACACATTCAGATTGCCAGCCCCCCAAAATGTCTTATGCTCCCCATCCCCGGGGCCGCGATGCTGGTGGGAGGCCATGGGGCCATGGTAATGAATTCTTTTTCTTTTTCTTTTTTATACTTTTTTTTCTTTATTGATTAAGGTATTACATGTGTCCTATTGCCCTTTGCCCCGCTGTATTCATTTGTTTGTGGTTGGGGGACGGTGCTGTAACAGCTTTATTGAGGAGTAATCGGTAGGTTTAAAGTGTGGAGTTAAAGTGCCGGCCGCCTCGCAGCTGCACACACAGGCCCACCCTGCTCCCCACCAGCCGGCACCGCTGCCTGTGCAGGGCCTGCTCCGCGGCGGGCAAGCCCCAGGGGCAGGTTCGCTTTCTCAGGATTCTGTCGCCAGGAACATGCCAGGTGGCCCCTCCTGGGCGCCTGTGTTTCTGGACCCTCTAAACCAGTGGTTCTCAACCTTCCTCATGCCGTGGCCCTTTAAATACAGTTCCTCATGTGGTGACCCAGCCAGAAAATTATTTCCGTTGCTACTTCATCACTGTCATGTTGCTACTGTTATGAATCGTCATGTAAATATCTGATACGCAGGATGGTCTTAGGCGACCCCTGTGAAATGTCGTTCGACGGCCAAAGGGGTCGCGCCCACAGGTTGAGAACCGCTGTTAAACCAAAGAGCCCGTTTGGGGGGCTGGGGTGCCCCCTCGACCAGAGTGTTGTGGGTGCACCAGGCACCCCCCACTCCCGTCGTCTGCACGCGTGTCGATTGCAGGGGACCGGCTTGGGGGGAGGGAGAGTCACGGAGGCTGGGCTGAGGCCACGGGGTCCTGGCTGCGTTCACACTGGGTGCCAGGGCCTGGCCGGCGCCCCACCCGAGAGCCTGCGGAGCCCCTCGGAGGAGGAGCTCGTCCTGGCCCCACCCGCATGCCCCACGCAGCGCCCGCAGCCGCCCGGACACACGCCCTGGCCACGGCTCCTCCGGCCATGACGCCCTCTCCACGCGCACCCACCCCGGGATCCCCATACACTTTTTTTTAATAGATTTTTTTTATTGATTTTAGAGAGGGAGAGGGAGAGAGAGATGGAAACATCAGTGATGAAAGCGAATCATTGATTGGCTGCCTCCTGCACGCCCCACACTGGGCATGGAGCCTGCAGCCCGGGCCTGTGCCTTTTACTGGGATTGAACCCTGGACCCTTGAGTCTGCAGGTCGACGCCCTATCCACTGAGCCAACCAGCCAGGGCGCCATACACTTTCTTTATTCATAGACTTGTGTCCCGCTCCAGCCCGACCTGGGGTCAGTACTTACTTGTCTGGCTTCGCGGAGGCTCCTCCGTGTTTGTGCCCAGGTGGTCTGTGAGCATCTTTCAGAAAACGGTTCTTTGATATGATTCGTCATGGAATTTGTTCTAATAAATCTTTCTATCATGTGGCCAAGAAAAATGTGCAGTTTGGCATTTTGACATGTGTTCACGGTGAGTGCAAACATCCCTGCAGGAGAGTGGGTGCAGCCCTCACCCCCAAAAGTGTCCCCCACGTCCCCCCCTCACCGGCCGGCCCCCAGGGAGCTGGCTCCCAGAGGTTCCTCACCAAAGCGTGAGAGCAGGGTCCAGAGTCTTTTAAAATCGATAGGAACCACAAGCTTCTTCCTGTTTGTCTGTGTCGGGCGCTAAGCCCTGGAGCCGGGAACAGTTGCATGAAACCTGCACCTTGGCTGACAGTGGCCTCGGGGCCTGTGCCTGGGTGAGGGGCTCTGTCCTGGGGTTTAGAACATCGTTGCCTTTCGCCGTGTCTGCTTTGGAGGGAGGCGAATTTAATATTCCATTTGCACATACACATCTGGCCTCGCACGACTTACAGTGAGATGACCGCGCTGAAACGGTCATTTTTTAAAGCGCTCGAACGAGAATGGGCTACGGCCTTGGCTTCGAGGTGCCTGTTCATCCTCACCCGTTTCCCGCTGACGTTCAGCGAGAGGGGGAGGGAAGACGGGGAGAGAGACATGCATCCATTGGTTGCCTCCTGCACGCGCCCAGACCAGGGCTGGGGATTGAGTTGGAATCGAACCTGGGACCCTTCAGTCCACGCGGTGAAACACGGTTCCCGTCTTTGCAGCTGACCCTGAGCCCCTCGAGCAACCTGTGGTTGGAGCTGAGCGCGGCGAGCCTGAGCCCGGGCAGCAGGTGCGGGCCCGACGAGTACTGGTCTGGGAGGCGCTGCTGCCAGCGCTGCCCCGCAGGTGAGTGGGGGCGGGTTCTGTCCGCTGGGCCCGACCCAAATGCACGTCCAGCCATGGCTCTGACGGGGCCGCAGGGAGGAAGCGGCCGGGCACATGCTGGCCAGCGGAGCACGTGTCCACCTCGGGGCCTTCCGGGCTGGGCCCTGGGACCCCATGGCGACCTGGACGCTGGGCTGGGGTCCTGCCGCCTTGACTGACCCTGGACCAGAGGCGCGTCCTGGGGGCCTCAGAGGTGTGTCCTGGGTGGGGTCGGGGTCCCGGGTGCCCCACCACACAGCTGTCGGGGAGCAATTGCTTCGTCATTTCCACGACCTGGTGACAGGCAGAGATTACTCCAATGCTGATGCCCAGGGACAGGGATTTGCATTTTCTCCCCGGAGAGGCCAGCCCAGGGCCTGGCGTGGAGGCCGCACATTGGGGCGCCGGGCGTGCCTGGTGGGTCTGACCGCACCCCAACCTCTTGCACAGGCCACTATGTCCACAAGCCGTGCAGCAGCCCCCACACCCAGAGCGAGTGTGAGGCGTGTGACACAGGGACCTACACGGGGCACGCCAACGGCCTGCAGTCCTGCCTGCTGTGCACCATCTGCCGTGAGGGTGAGTCCCGGACCCTTGAGTCTTGACCTTGACCCCGAAGCCCATTTTTTTAAATTTTTAAAAAATATATTTATGTTTTATTTTTAAAATATTTTTAATGATTTTTAGGGAGGAAGGGAGAGGGATAGAGAGATAGAAACATCGATGAGAGAGAATCATCGATTGGCTGCCTCCTGCACGCCCCCTACTGGGGATTGAGTCCGCAACCCCGGGCATGTGCCTTTGGCCGGAATCGAACCTGGGACCCTTCAGTCCACAGGCCAACGTTCTATCCACTGAGCCAAACCAGCTAGGGCTATTTTTATTTTAAAAAAATATATTTTATTGATTTCAGAGAGGAAGGGAGAGGGAGAGAGAGAGAGAAACATCAATGATTAGAGAGAATCATGGATCGGCTGCCTCCTGCACGCCCCCCACTGGGGATGGAGCCGCAACCCGGGCCTGTGCCCTGACCGGGAATCGAGCCGTGGCCTCCAGGTTCATAGATGAACGCTCAGCCACGGAGCCACGCCGGCCGGGCGGGTTGTGTTTCTCCCAGGACACCCAGCTGGCCTGGCACCCGTGTGGACGCGGCCTGCCCTCTGCGTCACTCCCAGGCCAGAGTGTCCTTGCGGGCTCTGGGCGGGGCTGCCTGTGGCTCCTTCCAGACCTGTCCCAGCTGCGGCTGTGGGAGACCCTGGGCCTGGGAGGGCCTCCGTGCACACCCCCCACTAGGAATCGAGCCCGCAACCCGGGCCTGTGCCCTTTACCTGAATCGAACCTGAGACCCTTCAGTCCGCAAGCTGATACTCTATCCACCGAACCACACACCAGCCAGGGCAAGAATATCTATATTTTTCTTAATTTAAAAAAAAAAAAAAGCGTTTTCCAAAGATCTAAACTTAAAGATAATTCAAAAAAAAAAAAAAATCAAGGGAAAAATATCCTGGAGTGAAGATTAACCAAATAAATAAATAAATAGATAAATAAATGAATAAATAAGTAAAATCAATAAAATATAATTAAGAAACAAAAAGAAAGGGTCTCTGAGAGTGAAGAGGCGGACTGTCCTACGTCCGCCAGAGCCGGTGCCGCACGTGGGGGGCAGGGCAGTGGGGATCCTGGCCCGACTGGAGACGTGGGGTCAGTGCCGGCCTCTGAGGAAACACTGGGTGTAGTGGGTGACGTTCCCACGGCCAACCCCATTCCCCACCACCCGCCCGCCCCCGTCTAGACCGGGGCCCGCTCCCCCCTGTGTCAGAGCCCGGCCGGTGTGCGGTGGCATCACCGGGAGCCTCCCATGTCCACTGGCAGAGAAGGCGGGCAAAGCGACATGTGAGTTCGCACCGTGCCCCCCACGGAGACCAGCCCCGACGACAGGAGTGAGCCCAGCGCCAGCCCAGAGGAGTGTGCACGGGGGTCCCTCGGGGCCACGCTGCACCCGTGGCCAGGGGTGAAGTCACGGACGCTGACCGGGGATGGGGTCAGGGCCGCAGGTGAGTGGGTGACGGGCTTGATCTCGGGCTGGGCTGTGGCCCCACCTTATTCCCATCTCACCTGCAGTTCAGACGCTGGGCAGAGGGGGTTGGAGGTCTCTGCTCTGTCCGCCATCGCGCCGCCTCCTGTCTGCGTCTCTGCGCTGCTCCCTGCTCCCCGCCTCCTCGATGGAGCCGTGCACCCCGCAAGGCTTCAGGGCCCGGCCTTGGCGGCCATCGGCCGGGCTGTGGGGTGACCGCCAGCAGGTGGGGCCAGGGGCTCTCTGCAGCCCCATTCACTGTCTGCTGTGTCACTCACAGCTGCCCCCTGCACCCCCACACTGGGGGTGTTGACCTGCCCTTTAGGGGACGAACACGATGAAAGGGATAATTTGGGGGTATCTCTGAGGACAGAGCTGGCTTTGTCCTCCCAGCCCACATCGCAAGGGCACCTGCTGCCCCTCCACAGACACCCCAGGTTTCAGGGTCCCCCTCTGGCCCGTCCATAGGCACCCCAATGCTGGTAATAGAGTCTAGTCGTCACCTCGTCGTCTGTAAGTGTGAGGGAGGGAGATTGTGGATTTGGTGCCTGTGACTCGGCAGCCAGAGGGGCCGGTATGGGTGGCACAGAGTCCCAGCCCTGGTGCCTGACCCCGCCTCCCCTCCCCCCGCAGATCAGGAGATGGTGAGTGACTGCACCCCGAAACAGGACCGGCGGTGCCAGTGCAAAACCGGGGAGTTCTACTGCGACTCTGAACCCTGCCCGGAGAGCTGCTACCGCTGCACCAGGTACGGCCTCGGGGCGCGGGCAGCCGTGCAGCCTGGGTCCCCCTGTCCCCCCCGCCCCCCGTGGCGTGTCTGCCTCAGGTTCTGCCGCAGCCCCTCGGTTCTCCATCTGTGACCTGGTAGCACCTGCCACGTGGAGGCGCCTGCAGATGAAATCCAACCGGTGGCCTGGCTGTTCCCACCGGGGGCCGCCTGGGGCCAGGGCTCCGTCCACCCAGAGCCACACCCGCTCGTCCCACCAAAGCCCCGTGGAGCCGGCACAGAAGCCAAAGCACAGAACCTGCCGGGGCCCCGAGGGCTGGAGGGCGGGGCTTGGGAGACGCAGAGGCCGGAGGAGGGAGGAAGGTGGGAGCCATAGACGGTTCCAGAGGAGGCGGCTCCGGGCAGAGGAAGAGCCGTGAGCCCTGCACCCTGTCCCAGCTGCAAGGCCGTCCCCGTAGCAGGGCCCCGGTTCTGTCACAGGCGCCGGTCCTGGCGGCTTCACAAACCTCGGGAATAATTCTCTCCAGGCCCGCAGCCCGGGAGCCAGGAACCCGGGTGTGGGCAGGGCCGGCCCCGCGGGCTCTGGGAGGACCCTCCTGCCTCCTGCGCTCTGGGTGGCGGCGCCCCTTGGCGCTCCTCCTAGACCTGCCGCTGCGGCCTCTGTCTGTCCGCCATCGCGCCGCCTCCTGTCTGCATCTCTGGGCCGCTCCCTGCCAACAGGCTCCCCTTAGGAGGACGTGGTCACGGGAGGCCCGGCTCCCCCGCGATGGCCTCCCTTTAGCGCCGTCACACGCACAGATTTCCTAAGAAGCTTCATCCTGAGGTCCCGGGTGGGCTCGATGGGGCACCTTCTGGGGAGATGTGACAGCGGTGAAACACCTGGAAAAATAGCTCCCTTTTTAACAGAAATGGATTTGTATTGATGTCAGAGAGGAGGGGAGAGGGAGAGAGGAACGGCAATGATGAGAGAATCATGGACCGGCTGCCTCCTGCACGCCCCCCACCGGGGATGGAGCCCGCAACCGGGGCCTGTGCCCCGACGGGGACTCCACGGTGACCTCCTGGTTCAGGGGGCTGGGCTGCAGGTGTTTCACGCTGTAACCCTGGAGTGTGGGGTCTCAGAACCAGCCTCCCACACTCAGACAGAAGGTGGGGAACCGGCGATGGTGGAAGGCGAGGGGCCGGTGACGTAGAGGTCCCTCCAGGGTCCCCCCTCAGGTGTGCGGAGAGCTGTGAGCACGTGAGGCCTGCGTAAGCGAGCATTGGTCCTGGGTCTAAACACGCCTCCCTGTGACCTCGGAACACGGGACAAACAATGACCAGCCCCTAACTTTGCGACCACGAGGAAGGACACCTGAGGGCCGAGCCCCTCACACGCAGGACAGACCCCCGCTCCCCGCTCCCAGGCCTGCACACGGGGCCGAGCCGGTTCCCTGGAGGGACCTCCGTGGCTCCCCCGTGGGATGAGGGCCATGACCTCTGAGAGGCTGGTTTGGGGGTGAGCGCTGGGCTGTGGGTGCCCTGGGCCCTCGTGGGCCTCGGCTCGGGCACACGGTGCTCCCACGGCGGTCAGGGAGCTCTCCGCGGGAGCCCGCCCCGGAGCCCACCTTCTGCCGCTGACAGTGCCCCTGGGCCTGTGGCCCTGGGAGACGTGGAGGGAGGAACAGTGTGGCGTCTCCCTCCCCAGGTGCCCCGAGGGGAAGGTCGTCCTGCAGACGTGCAACGCCACGGCGGACACCCTGTGCGGCTGGCCCGGCCCAGGTAAGAGGGTTCCTGTTGGGCCCAACGTGTATGTTCTGGGGACGAGAACCACATTATAGAAAATTTATTTATTATTTTTTAAATATATTTTTACTGGTTTCAGGGAGGAAGGGAGAGGTAGAGAGAGAGAGAAACATCAATGAAGAGAGAGAATCATTGATCCCCTGCCTTCTGCACACCCCACATGGGGATCACGCCCGAAACCAGGATCGAACCATGACCTCCTGGCTCATAGGGCCACGCTCGACCACTGAGCAACAGCTGAGCCACACCCGGCTGGGCTCCAGTGAGCAGTTCAGGGGCTCTTAGCACCCACCTCTGTGTCTCCCCGAAATATTCGCATCCGCCCATTAAACAGCAGGTCTCCTGTCCACCTCCCTCCGCCCCCAGCAGGCCCTGCATGCACATGTGGCGTGTGTGCGTCCATATGTGATATGTGCGTGTGCATATGTGATGTGTGTATGCATACGTGTGGTGCATGTGTGTGCATGCATGTGCACGGATGTGTGCTACACATAACTTCTCTGTACTTCTCGGCCCACGAACACTGGGGGTGGCAGTGCTGTGGCCCCGTGGACACGGGGTGCCGACCTCCTCAGCCTCGTGTTTGCATGTCCTTCAAGCATCTTCCCAGGCTCAGGGCTGGTCTGTGGGTCTTCGTCTGTGGCTGCAGGGACCGGGGGGTGTGGCTGCTGAGGCACAATCTGTCCGCAGGGCCAGGGAAACGACACCGGTTCTGCTGGATGGCAGGCTGGCTCTTTGCCGCGGTGGCCGGGGCCCTCGTCATTCTCTGCGTCAGGAAACCCGGAGACGGAGGCGGCCGGGCGGCCTGCTGCTGTCCCCATGCAGGTGAGCACAGAGCTGGAGCCAGGGGACGGGAGGCCGTGACAACCGGGCCGGTCCGGGCGCCTGAGGGAGGACAGGGCTGGGCCTTAGCTGGCCGGTGCCTGGGGCTGAGGGATGGGCCTGGCTGGAGAGGGGGTCCCTCAGGCGTCATTGACGGGTGTCAGCTCCATCTCCCAGTGGCAGCCCTGGCCGAGGCCAGGGTGTGGGCAGGTCTGTGGGGCAGAGCCCGGGCTGCTGAGCTCGGGACGCTGGGCTCCTGGCAGGTTCTGGAAGCTGTGCAACCAGGAAACAGGGGCGAGGCACAGTGGCCCCTTCCGGGAGCTCCCTGATCTGGGGGTGGGGGGTTGGGGGCTGTGATCGCTTCTGGAACCGCCTCAGCTCAGAGGAACCTCCTGGCACTTTCCGGTAACCCCCTGCCGTCTGTCTCCCAGGACCCGTCTCCACAGGACGCCCTTACAGAAGAGACAGCCTGGTGAGTGCTCCAGGCCAGGCCAGCCCCGGGCTGGGACGGGGGGGACCCACTCCAGCTGCGGTGAGCCCCTCGCTGCCTGAGCGTCAGCCGAACACGAGCCGAGGGCTGAGCTGGATGCGCCTTAGACTCTGGAGGGAAACTGAGGCACCGAGGCCAGCGGAGCCAGCCGTGAGGGCAGAGCCGAGACCAGAGCCGGCCCGGCCCCACTGAGCATGGGGTCTATGGGCCCCTGTCCTCTTGCCGGGGCACCTGGGATGAGCCCCCGACTCCAGACACGTCTTGCCTTTTCAGGAGAGCTCTGTGGCCTTTGTGTCATCGCCTGAGACCCCAGATGCAGACTCTCCGGTGCCCACGACGGGGGCCCTCCACCGGGCCTCTAGTATATGTATATAAATAGAACAGTTATTAATTTTTATTTGACAAAGCTTCCCATGTAATATCAAGTATATCAAATCGGCCTAATTTAGTTCAAAATATTTTTTTTAGAAGAGAGAATAAATCCCAAGTCATTCCAGGGCCATGGGAATGTCCCAAAGCTATCTCTTGGTTAAAGTCACAAAATTTAACTTGGAAAGACTGTTAAATATACACAACCCAAAGATTACATCACACACTCTTTGTAATTATTCTAAACACATCAGTTAAGCTTAAACCAGTTTTAATATTAAAAATTTGGTTTGGTCCTGACCTGTTTGGCTCAGTGGATAGAGCATCGGCCTGTGGACTGAAGGGTTCTGGGTTCGATTCCGGTCAGGGGCATGCACCTTGGTTGCGTGCACATCATGGATGTTTCTCTCTATCCCTCTCCCTTCCTCTCTGTACAAAAAGAATCAATAAAGTATATTTTCAAAAAATTTTGGTTTGGACTATAGAATTAATCCCCCCCACACTTTTTTAGGCCAATAAAATATTATATTCTAGGTTGAAATTTCACCACAGGTAGTACACAGACACAGATAAACATAAAGACTATAATATATTTTGAACTACTAATTTTTCGAGGGAAAATGCAAGAATTATTCTCCTCAAAAATGAATTTCCATACTTCATGCCTTCTGTTATCACAACCATATAATTTCTCCCAACTTAGTTTGAACTTTTAACTCCTGGAGGCCTCAAATTTTTAGGTAGCAATTTAAATATGTAGCATTTCTGAGATTAGTAATTCTTTCAATTTTTAAGGATAAATTTCAAATAAAACCCAAGACTTATTTCATTAATAGATTCAAATCTATCCTCTAGGTTTTTCATAGGAGGCAAACTCAGATGAATATTTCAGTATTGTGTTATTTCAAAATACCTACATATTTAATAATTTTTATTTTTTAATTCAGCAGACTTCAAAGTTTGAAGTTACCGAAGACTCTGGAAAACTATGTGTAGGCATGTATAGCATTGCCGCTGAAAAGGTGGTTTTTTGTTTGTTTTTTTACCAAATACTCTTCATTTTAGTGATGTATTTTTGCCTTAACAACTTTGAGACTTTAAAGCCGGTTATTCCCGAAGGCATTTCCTCGCCCAGTTGTGTAACAGGTCCTTCGGCGCGGTAATGAGAGGGCGCGGTTCTGGCTCCTGTGGAACCGGCGGGGGCGGGGGCGGGGCGGTGTGCGTGAAGTGGCGTGACGTGGCGTGACGTGACGTGACGGCGGGGGCGGGGGCGGGGCGGGGCGTGGCGGTGTGACGTGAAGTGGCGTGACGTGGCGTGACGTGACGTGACGGCGGGGGCGGGGGCGGGGCGGGGCGGGGCGGGGCGTGACAGAGAGTGACAAGGGTTTTCCATTTGCCCCGCGGCCCCGGAGGACGTGCGACACGTGCTGAGCCGCCGCGGCTTCTGCCGCTGAACGAGCGGGACTCGCGGGACCAGAAGGGCCGGTCTCTTCTCTCTCCGTCTCCGTCTCTCTCCTCCTTGAATTTATGGGGGAGACACCGGTTGAACCCTCTCGGGCTGTAAATAAAATAAAAGAGGAATAAACGTTTGCTGTGACCCCACCCGCGGATGTGGAGAGAGAGAGTGGAGGGGGGAGGAGAGAGGCGGCGCCGCAGCGGATCAGGCCGGGTCGCCGCCGCCCGGGTGGGTGCCCGCCTCGGTACCCGCCCCGCCTCGGTACCCGCCCCGCCTCGGTACCCGCCCCGCCCGGGTCCCCGCCCCGCCTCGGTCCCCGCCCCGCCTCGGTCCCCGCCCCGCCCGGGTCCCCGCCCCGCCTCGGTCCCCGCCCCGCCTCGGTCCCCGCCCCGCCTCGGTCCCCGCCCCGCCTCGGTCCCCGCCCCGCCTGGGGACCCGCCCCGACCCGCGGACGCTCTGCCGGGAAGGAAGCCCCCGCAGGTTGTTTTCTTTTTTACTCAGAGTGTCTGCTTTATTATTGTTTTGTTTGTTCTCTGCAGATTTTTGCTTCGTCATCGTGGATCGCCCGGGATGGGAGTCTCCGTCCGACCGCCCACATCTGGGGGCGGGACTGGAAAGGCCTCGGTATGTAGTCCTGCCCGGGACCGCCCTCCATCCGGACCGGCGCCATGCGCCGCTCGCTGCGGCCGCTGCTTCTGCTGCTGCTGCTGCCGCCGCTCCTGCTGCCCCTGCTGCGGGCCCGGGTGTGTGACCCCAGACGGCGCGGGGACCGGGGTGAGGGGGCCGAGCGTCAACTCTTCCCGGGGCGGCGCGGCACCGGGGGGCTGGCGGGGGATGGGGTCCGGGGGGGGTGCGGGCGCCCGGGTGGACGTGCGGCCGCGGGGCGGGCAGGTGGCCTCGGTGAGTGTCTCTAAAGCCGCCTTTTTAAAACTGTTTTTGCGTCTGAGAGGAAGGGGCGCATGGAGCGGGGACGCGGGTGCGAGACGTGGACCCACAGGTGCCCTGCCGCCCGCGCTCGCGATCGGCCCGCAGCCCGGCTGGTGCGCTGACGGGGGGGCGGGGGCTCTGGGTCTGGGGGTCGCCCTCCCCCCCAGACACGCCGAGGGCTGGACGCCGGCTCTGGGGGCAGCTGGAGATTGGGCCCAATTGGGGCCTTCCCGCGGCGGTGCCGCCGGGCCGCGCGCCCCTCGCCCCTGGCGGGGCCCCTGGAGGCGGCGGCCGGTGGGCAGGACCGGAGGGGGCGAGGGTAGGACCCCCAGCCCTGGAGGGGCCGAGAAAGGAGCGAAGGAACCCCCGCTTCTCCCCCGGCCTCACTCGGAAAGGGTTCCCGCAGGCGCCGTCTCACTGCTTCCTATCCTCCCTGCCCCTTCCCTTTCTTCCTTTTTTTCTATGAGAGAGAAGCATCGATCAGCCGCCTCCTGCACACGCCCCACTGGGGATGAGCCCGCAACTGAGGTACATGCCCTTGACCGGAATCGAACCCGGGACCCTTCAGTGCGCAGGCCGACACCCCATCCACTGAGCCACACGGGTCAGGGCTTCTTTCTTCTTTCCCTTCCCTCTCCCCTTCCTCTCCCCGCTGTGTGCCTGGCCTCGCCTGGCCTCTCTGTGTCTTGCCTTTCTGTCTTGCCTTTCTTTCCTCCCTTCCTTTATTTCTTTATTTCTTTTGTTGGTTAATCACCCAAGAATATTTTTTTCAGGTTTTCAATTTCTTTTTTTAGAGACAGTGGGAGAGGGGGAGACGGGAGGGCGGGGGAGAGTGAGGGAGAGAGAAGCATCTATATGAGAGACGCACACCCCCGCCTGGGCTGGGGTGGGACCTGCAACCCAGGTGCATGCCCTTGACTGAGGATTGAACCCATGGCCCTTGGGTGTGCGGCCGACACTGACCACTGACCACTGAGCCCACCGGCCAGGACCAGCAGGCTAGTTTCTCAGTGGGTCATTGTGTGTGGCCCGCGGATGGTGTGAGAAATCTCCCACCGCCCCGGGCAGGAGAAGGGCTCCCCACCCCTGCCTCTAAGACAGTTCAGGGGTGCTTGCCCGCATCAGGGGCTCACGTGAGAGCTCCCACTGTCCCCCGGTGATGCCCAGGGGCGCTGTGGGGCGTTGCTTTGAAACGATGGGAATTTCCTTCCTTGTCCTCACTCAGTGATGTCGGTTCCTCCCGGGAACCGGGCCTCCTGTGCTGTTTGCAAACTGAGTTTCCTTCTTTTTTAAAATATATATTTACTAGTATCGCCCCGGCTGGTGTGGCTCAGTGGGTAGAGCGTCAGCCTGAGGACTGAAGGATCCCGGGTTCGATTCCAGTCAAGGGCACATGCCCAGGTTTTGGGCTCCATCCCCAGTGTGGGGAGCATGCAGGAGGCAGCCAATCAAAGAAATATATATATATATGTATTGATTTCAGAGAGGAAGGGAGAGAGAGAGAGAGAATCACGGATCGGCTGCCTCCTGCAAGCCCCACACGGGGGATGGAGCCCACAACCCGGGCCTGTGCTGTGACCGGGAATCGAGCCGTGACCTCCTGGTTCATAGTTGGACGCTCAGCCCCTGAGCGACGCTGGCCGGGCCGGAGGCCGCTCTGGCTAAGCCCGTCTCCCTGGCTGATTGCAGGCGGCCCTGGCAGCCGGCTCAGAACTGGGTGGCCCCAACCAGAATGCAGCCGGGAGCCCCTCCAGCGACCTCTGTGAGGCCGGTGAGTGAGCGTCCCCGTCTTCCCGAGCCTTCGCCTTCGGCTCACCTGACCCCGCGGGCTCAGCCCTGGTGCAGAGCTGCAGGCGCCTGGGGCCCTGGGGGGTGGGGGAACCTGGTTGGCGGGGCCCTCCCAGCTGGTACCCTGGCACTGTATGCTCACCCCCCTTCCTCCCCCAAGCCTGGGGCTCTCTCCTGACAGAGGGACTCTGTGCTTACTCAGACGGAAGTGGGGGGCGTGCCCAGGCTCCATGCTCCCCAGGAACCCCTGTCAGGAGCCCGTCCCCTCAGGGCGGTGATGGGGACCCCCAGGCTCGTTCACTCTCAGGAGGAGGCTCCGAACCAGCCCCCAGAGCAGCCGGGAGCCCCAGCTTCCAGGACCTGCTCTGCCCCCCTCCAACCGCCCCCTCCTGGCCAGTCCCCGCCAGAACCCTGGCCCCTGTGGAGCCTGGTCACCCTGCAGCCCCCACGCCTGCACCCCCTCTGCTCACAGACAGGGGCGCACATATCAGTGAACCTGCCTTCAGGGGTCCCCTCTTCGTAGGGGCCGACCACACACCTGCTCCTATCACCCTCCACCCCCACTCACCCCACCCCACCCCACACATGCCTCCTGTCAGCCAGGAGCTTCCTGGGGCGCCAGCTCAGGGACTGAACCCCCACCCTCAGCCCCGGACCACGCACCTGCCCTCCTCCGGCACACACGCCATGCACACCGGGCACCGTCCCGCGTCCGCACATCTGTGCGCACCCGCAGGAATGACGGAGACACAGCTGCCCACAGGCCGCCTGAGGGGCTGGGCAGCTGCAGGGACATGTGGCTCTGCCCCAGGACAGCCTTCGCGGAGGGGCTCGGGGCCAGGCGGGCTCCTGCGGGCGTGGCCAGGCTTCTTGGTGCGTCAGCAGGGGGTAGAGGCGGGGTCGGCGGGCCCCAGTGTGCACACACACCCCCTCTGAGCCGAGCTGCGGGGGATCCGTAAAGGCCGAGGGGGACTCAGGTCCCCAGTTCCTGGGACACATGGAGCCGATGCTCAGTCCAGAACATTCCAAGGAGACTGGAGGCGAGGGTTGGTGCTGTGCAGGGGCCTGGCCTCAGGGACCAGGACGGGTGGGTGCCGGGCCCCACCTCACCTCTGTGCCACCCCTGCCGCAGGCCACTACGTCAGCGCGGACTGCACCATGGGCCAGGCTGTAAGGTGCTGTCCATGCCCACCTGACTCCTTCCTGGCCCACCCCAGCAGGGCACAGTCCTGCTCGCCGTGCACGCAGTGCCGGGAAGGTAAGTGGGCACCGTCGGGCGGGGGGTCTGTGTCGTGTAAAGCAGCCTCCCCGCGACCTGCCTAGGGGAGTCGCCCCGAAGGCAGTGATGACAGAGGCCCAGGCGCTGGGCCGTGGACGCCATCACGGGGCACTGCGTGCTTGCTGAGCACAGGAAGCGAAGCCGCGATGGAGAGTGTGAGGGCGCGGCAACGCACAGCCTCGCTCCCAGGACACACAGGGGCCTGGCCCTCTGCGCTAGGAAGGTGTAAGTGAGCTAAAATCATAGCAATAATAGTAATCTAATCTAATAAAATAGAAACATGCAAATTAACCTTACCTTGGCTATGCCCCAAGCCACGCCCACCAGCTAATTAGAGTGACTATATGCATATTAACCCAACCAAGATGGCGGCCAGCAGCCACGGAGCTGGAGCAAGCAGGAGGCTTGGTTGCCCCGGCGATGGAGGAAGCCAAACTTACTGCCTGCCCTGGCCTGCTGTGGCCTCCGCTAAAGGCAACAAAGTTTCAATTATAGAAGATAAATAAATTCCAGATACCTCCTGCTTCCAGCCAGCCTCCACTGGGAGCTTGGGTTGCCGGGGGCCATGGCCAGCCTGCAAGCAGCCATCAGCCCCTCACCCAGGCTGGCCACACCCTTAAGGGGTGAGGGTCCCTGCTGGAGGGCTTGACCAGCCTGCAAACAGCCATCAGCCCCTCACCCAGGCTGGCCAGGCACTCTAGCAGGGACCCACCACCCTGAAGGGGGTATGGCCAGTATGAAAATGGCCCTCAACTCCTCACCCAGGCTGGCCAGACACTCCAGAAGGACCAGGACACCCTTCAGGGCCAACCAGCCAGCCCCCACCCATGCACCAGGCATATAATAAAAGGGTAATATGCAAATTGACCCTAACAGCAGAATGATAGGGAATGACTGGTCACTATGACACACACTGAGCCAATGCTCAATGCAAGGGCTGTCTCCTGGTGGTCAGTGCGCTCCCACAGAGGGAGCTCTGCTCAGCCACAAGCCAGGCTGATGGCTGACAGCAAAGCAGTGATGGTGGGAGCCTCTCCTGCCTCCTCAGCAGCCCTAAGGATATCCAGCTACAGCTTAGGCCTAGTCCCTGCTGGCAAGTGGACATCCCCTGAGGGCTCCCATGCTGCCAGAGGGATATCTGACTGTCAGCTTAGGCCTGATCCCCCGGGGAGCGGGCCTAAGCCAGCAGGTGGACATCACCTGAGGGTCCCAGACTGCGAGAGGGCATAGGCCAAGCTGAGGGACTCCCCCGAGTGCACAAATTTTTGTGCACCGGGCCTCTAGTGATAATAATAAAATAAGCTGCAGTGGAGAGAGACGCAGGCATGGCAGAGAGGACGAGGCCTCAGTGGTGGGCGTGCCTACGAGGAGCCTGAGGTCATTGGTGTGCGGGGCTCTGTGCTTGGGCGTCGCCCCGTGGAGCAGGGTCAGGGCACATGCCTAGGTCGCTGGTACAATCCCCCGTCGAGAGCGGGAGGAGGCAGCCGGTCAGTGTTTCTCTATCATCGAATTTCCTATCTCCTTCGCCCTCGCCCTCTCCCTTCTCTCAGAAGATCAGTGAGAACACCCTGGTCGGTTTGGCTCAGTGGGTGCGGGTCAGCTGGGGGCTGAGGGGTGCAGGCTGCACACCCCTCATGGCGGGCTCAGGCCCTGGCCGCAGTTGGGTTGTGGGAGGGAGGCTCTCATCACTGTCTGTCTCTCTCCCACATCCATGTTTCTCTCTCTGCCTCTCCCCTTCCCTCCACTCTCTCTAAAAACATCAGTGGGGCCCGGCCGGCTTGGCTCAGTGGTTGAGCATCAACCCGCCAACCAGGAGGTCAGGGTTCCGTTCCCGGTCGGGGCAGATGCCCAGGTCTCGATCCCCGGTAGGGGGCGTGCAGGAGGCAGCCGATCAATGATTCTCTGTCATCATTGATGTTTCTCTCTCTCTCTCCCTCTCCCTTCCTCTCTGATATCAATAAGAATATATATATTTTTTAAAAAAGCTTTTTCCAAAAGTCTGAATTTGAAGATTTTTTAAAAAATCAATCAAAATATAATTAAAGAAAAAGAACGGGTCTCTGAGAGTGAAGAGGCGGACCGTCCTACGTCCGCCAGAGCCGGTGCTGCACGTGGGGCGCAGGGCAGTGGGGATCCTGGCCCGACGGGAGACGGGGGATCAGTGCCAACCTCGGGGGAAACACGGTGTAGTGGGTGACGTTCCCACGGGCCGACCCCACTCCCCACCGCCCAACCACCCACCTCCGTCTGGACCGGGGCCCGCTCTCCCCGTGTGTCAGAGCCCGGCCGGTGAGCAGTGGCATCACCGGGAGCCTCCCATGTCCACTGGCAGAGTCCCAGCCCTGGTGCCTGACCCCGCCTCCCCTCCCCGCAGACCAGGAGATGGTGAGTGACTGCACCCCGAAACGGGACCGGAAGTGCCAGTGCAAGACCGAGGAGTTCTACTGCGACTCTGAGCACTGCCTGGAGGGCTGCCACCCCTGCACCAGGTACGACCTCGGGGCGGGGGCAGCCACGCAGCCTGGATCCCCACACACACCCCCCACCCCCCTGTGGCCTCGGGTTCTGCCGCGGCCCCTCGGTTCTCCATCTGTGACCTGGTAGCACCTGCCACGTGGAGGCGCCTGCAGATGAAATCCAACTGGTGGCCTGGCTGTTCCCACCGGGGCCGCCTGGGGCCAGGGCTCCGTCCACCCAGAGCCACGACCCGCTCGTCCCACCAAAGCCCCCGTGGAGCCGGCACAGAAGCCAAAGCACAGAACCGGCCGGGTCCCCGAGGGCTGGAGGGCGGGGCTTGGGAGAGGCAGAGGCCGGAGGAGGGAGGGAGGTGGGAGCCATAGATGGTTCCAGAGGAGGCGGCTCCGGGCAGAGGAGGAGCCGTGAGCCCCGCGCCCTGTCCCAGCTGCAAGGCCGTCCCCGCAGCAGCGCCCTGGTTCTGTCACAGGCGCCGGTCCTGGCGGCTTCACAAACCTCGGGAATAGTTCTCTCCAGGCCCGCAGCCCGGGAGCCAGGAACCCGGGTGTGGGCAGGGCCGGCCCCGCGGGCTCTGGGAGGTCCCTTCTACCTCCTGGGCTCTGGGTGGGCTCGATGGGGGGACCTTCTGGGGAGACATGACAGCAGTGAAACCCCTGGCAAAATAGCTCCCTTTTTAAAAGAAATAGATTTTTATTGATGTCAGAGAGGAAGGGAAAAGGAGAGAGAGGCGCGTTGTGGGCCCTTCAGTGCAACTCAGACCATGTGAACTGTGGCCCTGGGACCTGACAAGTCCGAAGTAGGGGCCGCCTGCAGGTCCGGTTCGATCAGGGCTCTGCTTCTCTCGGCTCCTTTGCCCGCCCGTCTCCATGGGCTTCCTCTCGGGGCTGCTCCCTCTCGGTGCAGCTGTGGCTCCCGCAGGTGCCGTCCTCAGAGCCGCACCCCAGGGGCCCCGAACTCCCTCGCTGTGCTCTCAGCGGTCCCGGAGCCGGGGGGGCCAATGGTCTGGGAAAGCCCGGCACAGGCTGCCGGAGCCCGGGGCCCTCCGGGGCGGGGGCCGGCCTGGCTGGGAAGTGAATCTCAGGGTCCTTCACTCCTTCCTCTCAGGTGTCCCGGCGCCACCCTCCGGACCTGCAACGCCACGAGGGACACCGAGTGCGCCCCAGCAGCCCAGCCAGAGCCAGGTAAGCGGCCCCGGCTCTTCCACGGCAGCCAGCCTGTGCACAGAGGGCGCCGTATGGCTCTGGGCCGGGGGTCAGTGCTCAGCTCTGCCCCGTAGAAAAGAGGCTGCAGGCAGGAAGGGGTGGGTGTGCGTGGCAGGGTTCCAAGAAAACGTTATTTTATTATTAATATATTTCTATTGATGTCAGAGAGGAAGGGAGAGGGAGGGAGAGAAACATCCATGATGAGAGAATCATGGACCGGCTGCCTCCCGCACGCCCCCCACTGCGGATCGGGCCCGCTAACCCGGGCCTGTGCCCTCAGCGGGAATCGAACCCTGACCTCCTGGTTCATAGGTCGATGCTCAACCACTGAGCCAGGCCAGCGGGGCTTAAAGCACATTTAATGCCCATCCCCCCACAAAAAGAACATAGTTAGGACCTAATCTGTGGTTAAACACAAGTGGTCAGAGCGCTGGGTGTGTTGGGTCAGTGGTTAGAGCATCGGCTGGTGGGTTCGATTCCCAGTCAAGGGCACGTCCCTGGGTTGCAGGCTCCATCCCCAACCCGGTCGGGGGGTGCGGCAGCCCATCGATGTGTCCCTCACACTGTCACATCCACGCTTCTCTCTGTCTCTCCGTCTCCTCCCTCCCCTCCACTCTCTACAAAAATCAATGGGAAAATGTCGTCGGGCGAGGATTCAGGAGAAATAAATGCACTTCAGGAAGCTGTCGGGGGAGCAGCCCCGTGGCAGGGTCACTGCCGTCCCTCCGCCTCCTGGGCTGGCCCGGCGCCGGGGCCACAGCTCTGATGGGCCTGCCCTCGCCCGGGTCCCTGTGGAGGTTCCACCGGGTGCTGTAATGTCACCAGGGAGACCAGCCCCCGAGCGGCCTCAGCAGCTGGCTCCTGGGTGTCCCTGCCCCGTCCCTCGGGCCACCTGGCCGGGCCTTCCCGCAGTCACCATGGGGTCCTCTCCCTTGTCCCCACCTTCGGGGGGGGGGGGGCTGCCTTCCGGGCCGGGAGTCCGTGATGCTCACCCCAGAGCCCCACCCTGGGGCAGCGGACCTTCGCCCTCTTCTGGGAGGGCGGACCCTGCGGGCAGCGAGTCCTTCCGCGAGGGACGTGCTTACCCGCTACCGCGCTCTGTGCCCCCAGGACCCCCAGCCGGTTCCCTGGCTGTCAGCGCCTTGGCTGTGTCTGTGGTTTCCATTGTCATCGTCGTCATCGCCATTGGCATCGCCATCGCCTGGTGGAGAAGACGAGGTAAGCGGAGGAGAGCGCTCCGGACGGGAGAGCAGCAGCGCGGCCGGGGTCCCGGCAGGCTCTTGACCGGCGTTTTCCATTTAAAATACAGCTGCACTCACTTTCTTATTCATTTTTAAAAAAATATATTTTAGTGATTTTTTACAGCGAGGAATGGAGAGGGATAGAGAGTTAGAAACATCGATCAGCTGCTGCCTGCACACTCCCTACTGGGGATGTGCCCGCAACCAAGGTTAATTCCCTTGACTGGAATCGAACCTGGGGCCCTTCAGTCCGCAGCCGACGCTCCATCCACTGACCCAAACCAGTCAGGGCTGTTAATCATTTTTAATATATTTTTATTAGTTTCAGGAAGGAAGGGAGAGGGAGAAGGAAACATCAATGATGAGAGAGAATCATGGACCAGCTGCCTCCTGTACGCCCCACACTGGGGACCGAGCCCGCAACCTGGGCCTGTGCCCTGACCTGGAATCCAACCGTGACCTGGTTCCTAGGTCGATGCTCAGCCACTGAGCCACACTGGCCGTGCTGGGCTCACTTTCTCACTCGGGGCCCCTGTGCCGTGTGCTGCGTGCCGCTGACCAGGTGCAGGGCTGCAGAGCTCAGCCCCGCGGCGGCTCAGACGGCGCACATGGGGGGGGGGGGGGGGCATGGTGGGGAAGCAGGGAGAGCCCGGGGGCTGCTCTGCCTGGGTCGGGGGCAGGGGGGTCGGAGGGTCGGGGGGCAGGGGTGTGCACCGAGGTCACTCGCGTCCCTCCGTGTGCCCACAGGGATGCTGCTTCCCCAGTGGCTGTGCCGGTTCAGGACAGGTAAGTGCTTTCCCTGCTGTGAATCCCAGGCCTTGGCCTCCGAAGTCTGCGTGCGGTTCACGTCAGGGGCAGCCCCGTGCCCTGTGGGTCGTATTTCGGATCTCTCCCACTTCTCCCCGCGCCCTCCTCCCGCCCCCCCCCCCCAGGCCTTCACCGTGGTGGTTCACTGTTCCCCAGTATCCGGGGGTGCGTGCCTTTATCTGCCACATGTCTGCCCGGCTGGCTGTGTGGTCGGTTTGCTCGCACTGGCATCGCCAGGAGCAGGCCTGTGCCGCGTGGTGGCCCCAGGACGCGCGGTCACTGGTGATGGGAGTCCAGCTGCACTGCCCTCTGGTGGGGTCAGGGCCGGACAGGTGGCCCCGCAGTGACCGACGGCATCAAGCGCGCTGACTGTGTCTTCACTTGCTTTTCTTCTGTCTGATTTTCAGCGACGTCGGGGGAGCTAGGCAGCCATGTAAGTGTCTCCCTGGGCTGTTCCCGGTGGGGGCTTCGGGCCTGGAGGGCAGGGGCGACAGCAGGGTGGGGGAGGCTGCCGGGCCCCCGCCTGCATGCACAGCTCAGCTTCCGGGCGGCGTCTGCACCCCTTTACTCGAGCCCCGAATGTCTGCTGGAAAGAGACCCACACTCCCCTGGTCGGGCCCGTGTGGGATCGGAGGCGCAGGGGCCAAGGGCTTTGTACGGGTTTCCCGGGGCTTAAAAACCGCAACTTACTGCCCCCGACCCGGGGCCCAGAAGCCCACAACGCAGGGGCCGGGGGGGTGGGCTCCCTGGGAGGCCCTGGGGGATCCTCCACCCCTGCCCGCCTCCCCTGGGGGTTCCGCCGTCCCGGGCGCTCCTCGGCCTCCGCACTCACCTGGCCGCCTCCAGGCGTCGCTCTGAGCAGTCCTCACAGGGACACTCGGCCGTCACTGGGTTTGGGGCGCGCTCTCACCCGGTGTGGCCTCTGCCGCAAAGACCCCATTTCCAAATGAGGCCCCTTCACAGGGCGGGTAGGCTGGGGACACGTCTTTCTGGGTCACCATTCAGCCCTGTCTTTTAAGAAATAATGTTCTTACTGATTTCAGAGAGAGGAGGAGGAGGAGAGAGAGAAAGAGAGAGAGAGAGAGAGAGAGAGAGAGAGAAGCATCGATGATGCCCTGGCCGGTGCTGCTCAGGGGATAGAGCATCGGCCTGCAGTCTGAAGGGTCCCGGGTTCGATGCTGGTCAAGGGCAGGTACCTGGGCTGCAGGCTCCCACCGGCCGGGCCCTGATCAGGGCTGGTGCAGGAGGCAACTATTCCATGTGCTTCTCTCACATCAGTGTTTCTCTGTCTCTCCCTCTCTCTTCCACTCTCTCTGAAAATCAGTGGAAACATATCCTCGGGTGAGGCTTAAAAATTAAAACAAAAAAAGGTGGAAGCATCGGTGATGACAGAGAATCATGGACCGGCTGCCTCCTGCCCGTCCCCCACTGGGGATGGAGCCCGAAACCCGGGCCTGTGCCCTGACCTGGAATCCAACCTGACCTCCTGGTTCATAAGTTGACGCTCAACCACTGAGCCACGCCGGCCGGGCGCCACCCTTGTCTTGGGCCAGAGCTGGAACCTGAGCCCATGAAGTGTTTTTCTCTCAACGCACAGCCCAGGCTGACCCTCAGGCACTGCGGCCTTTCCCCATTCACCCCTACGCCAGAGAGGCTTGCGGGTATTGGGGGGCTGTGCTGCGGCTCCTGTCACCACAGGGATGGCTTTGTCCTTTAGGCGATACTGCGACCCACGGACCCTGAGAGGGGGCCCCTGGCCCCCAGCGCGGATATGACGCCGCTGCTGCAGGAGGAGGCCGATGCCCTGACGCCCAGTGCCCTGACCAGCCCGGGACCCTCAGGCGACCCCGACCCTGACCCCGACCCCGGGGCAGGAGCGGAGCTGCAGGTGGAGGTGACGGGAGGCGGCGGGGTAGCCCCAGAGCCCGCGCCCCCGACTCCTGCTGCCGCTGCCTCCGCGGGCCCAGGCCCAGGCTGAGGCGGACGCCGGCCTCCGTCATCGAGCAGGTGAGGGCCGGGGCCGGGGGGGGGCCAGTGGGGGGGGCAGTGAAGCTCGCTTGCTGAGCACCTGCTGAGTGCGCTCCGTTAGGGCTCTTGTCAGTGCTTGTCTGCGCCTCCCGGGCCGCCCCCCCCCCCCCCCCCCCAGGCCACGGACCAGCCGCTGGAACCACAGACTGTCTCCCGGCCCTGGAGGCCATGGCTGAGGTCACGGCGTCCGTCCGTGGGCTGGTCCCCCCGGGGCTGTGAGGGGCCTTGGCCTCCTGCTGCCCGTGGTGTCGGGCGATGTGTGGGCTTCCTGGGCGTGTGGAAGTCCCCGCTCCGCCCTGCAGTTCACGCTGCGTCCTCCCTGCCAGCGTGTCTGTCCATCAGCGGGACCCGTCCTGCTGGACCCGGGCCTCCCATTCACTCCTCCACCTGCGGCCTCCTCTCTCCACATCCGGCCGCGTCCACCGCTCGGGGTCCAGACCTAATGTCTTTGGGGACAGGACTCAACCCATTGCAGTCCCCCCCCCAACCTGTTGTCCACGGGGACAGTGACCCCGAGGGGCACAGACTCAGCGAGTGTGCCCGCCGGGTGCCGCCCTGGGAGCCACGGGAGGAGGGGCCCCGCTGCCAGGGCTGACGCCTCCGCTGCCCCCACCACCGTGCCCCCACGAGGCCGCCAGGCTGTCCTGGGACCACGCTCTCTTCCCTCCTCAGGATCATAAATGAGGATTTTGTGACGGACACGCCCCGCCCTGACGGTGATTCCTCCGGGTTCTTGCTCCGCGGTGACGTCCGGGCTGAAGGCGGGACGTTCTGTGGCCTCAGCACTCGCTCACCTTCTCCGATGACCTTGGGGAAATGGGCTTCTTCAAGGATAAGTTTTGGTCCTAAAGGAAGGTCGCGGTGCTTGGTGTGAGCGGCTCGCGCCTTTCTGAGGAAACACGCGTGGCTGGTAGGGATGCTCTGTCCCCTCGGCCGGCAGGGCCCTCCTGGCTTGCCGGGAGCCGGTCCATGCTTGCTGTTTCAAGGGACCTGGCATATATGGCATACTGTTCTTAATATGTTTGCTCACCTTCTTGGCACTATGTGTTTTAACCAAGGTCTCTGAGAAAGGTTGTTTCCCCAGGTAGGGATTTTCCCCTGAAGTTAGGGAGGGAATAAAACCTCTTAACTAAGTGCCAGGGGGGTAATTAATCACTTTAACTACGAACAATCATGCTTAAGCTACATAATCTTTACTCCCTGGAATGGAGATAAGAAACGCCCTAACCTTTGAAATAGAGATTGATAGGATTGAATCAACTGGTATAAATACAGATGTAACAAGACAGCAAGACTCAGAACTTAGAATACAGAGCTTAGAATACAGAGCTCAGAAGACAGAACCTACACAGAATCTACAGACAGAAGAACTTCGCTGGAGAGAACATGGCAAAAGATCCTGGACTGAACCTGACTACAGAAATTGGCAAGAGAACCTGACTAGAACCTGGTGACTGAACCTGGCTGGAGAACCTGGACAGAACCTGGCTGGAGAACCTAGCAAGAGAACATGGACACAGAACCTGGCTGGAGATCCTAACCAGAACTTTGCTGGAGATCCAGACCAGAACTTGGCTGGAGATCCTGGTTAGAGATCCTGGCTAGGCTGCTGATCAACTGAACGCTGTCCCCATGTCATTCCTTCTTCGCCGACTCCATCCACGGCTTTGGGGACCCCTGGACCCGCTGGGGTTGGACCCCGTCACTGGCTGTGGGCTGCTATGACTGGTCTAAGAGTAAGGACTTCTTCTTAAACATATATTTGTATTGGTTTCAGAGAGGAAGGGAGAGGGAGACACCAATGATGAGAGAGAATCATGGATCGGCTCCCTCCTGCACGCCCCACACTGGGGATCGAGCCTGAAACCCAGCCACGTGCCTCTACGGGGAATAGGACCCTCTCCTCCTGGTTCCTAGATCAACGCTGAACCACTGAGCCACACCTTCCAGCCGCCAGGTGCTTTCTGGAACCCCATCCTCTCGGGCAGCTCTGGGAGGTCTCCCCACTTCACAGGTCAAAGTTCAGGCAGCCCGAGCCCACGAGACTACAGAACTCGCCCAGGCCTCAGACCCCAGCCAGGCTCTCCTGGTCGCAGCCTTGTCCATCCTGCGGCTCCACCGCCTCTGGGAGCCGGAGAGCAAGCGCAGGGCCAACCTCCGCAAACCCATCCCCCTGCCCCAGGGCTGCCGACTCCCCGGATCCTGGGTCCCTTCTCCAGGGTCATGGGCTCCAGGACGAATGAGCTGCAGGCAGGACAGGAGCCACGCCGGGTCCTGGCCACATGCACCTTCCGGAAATGAGAGTCCGTCTTTGTTCTGGTTTCCTCTTTTCAGCCACAAGAGGCTGATTGTGAACTCGGACATGAGGGACAGGAAGAAGCTTATGACGTCAGTGGGGCTGGAAGGAAGTGGCTTTGAGACGCGAGACCACGGAAGCCCGGATCTGCCCCGCGCGTGGTGGTGCGATGCTGCTCGGCCGGAAGGACCCGCTGGGAGGGAGCAGCCGTTCGCGCTCCTGGCAACCTCCACACCACGGACGCTCCCAGACCTATTGGCCAGAGGAAACCTCTCAGTTTGGCCCTGGCCAGTGCCGCTCAGTGGACAGAGCATCACCTGCGGACTGAGGGGTCCCAGGTTAGATTCCGGCCGAGGGCACAGGCCCGGGGTGCGGGCACATCCCCAGTGGGGGCGGTGCAGGAGCCGCTGATCAGTGATTCTCTCTGATCACTGATGCCTCTCTCTCCCTCTCCCTTCCTCTCTGAAATCAATAAAAATATATATTTTTTAAAAAACCTCTTACATCAAGCCCTAACTGGTTCAGTTCAGTGGATAGAGCATCGGCCTGTGGACTGAAGGGTCCCAGGTTCGATTCTGGTCAAGGGCATGTACCTTGGCTTCGGGCACATCCCCAGTAGGGAGTGTGCAGGAGGCAGCTGATCGATGTTTCTCTCTCATCGATGTTTCCAACTCTCTCTCTCTCTCCCTTCCTCTCTGTAAAAAATCAATAAAATATATTTTTAAAAACAAAAATCTCCTGTGTTGGCATTCGGGCGGAGCCCACACGAGGGGAGGTCTGGCCCTGCCGTGACCTTGGCGGGTGTCTGAGGTCACAGCATCCAGTTCCTCACTGGGGTCCATCCCTTTGGCGCCTCTGTGATCCCCAGATGGGCCCAGCGCCTCCTGCTCTGAGGAGAGTCCCTGTAAAGCTTCCCGGGGGGTGAGGGGATCAGGGCAGGCAGGAGCGTCACTGCCTGGGTCTCAGGGGCCCTGAGCTGGTGGGCGGGACCCGCTGAGGGTGCTGGGTGGCCCCCGTCCCCCAGGCTCTTCCCAGGCGCTGCACCCCGCGGGCTGGAGGGTTGTCTCTCTGCCCCCACCCCCTCCCCGGCTCCTTGGTCTCTGAGTCCTGGGCTGCCCCCTTGGCCAGGAGCCGGGCGTGGCATGAACTGGGTGACATGTACGAGCAAGTGGAGGACAGGCACCCAGTGGCCACTCTGAGCTGTCATTTCTTCAGCTGGAGGAGGCCTTTCTTTTTCTTTTTCCTTTTTTTGGTTAATCTTCACCTGAGGATTTTTGGTGAGAGCGAGAGGGAGGGGGAGGGGGAGGGAGAAACATGGATGGGCTGCCACCTGCATGTGTCCCAACTGGGACCAGAGAGTGAACCTGCAACAAGGCACGAGCCTTGAGCAGGAATCAAACCCGAGACCCTTTGGGGTGCAGGCTGGTGCTCTACCCACAGAGCCACACGGGCCAGGGCTCAGAGACGTGGTTTCATTTTATTTTTTTATTGATTTCAGAGAGGAGGGGAGAGGGAGAGACAGATAGAAACATCCATGATGAGAGAGAAGCACTGAGCGGCTGCCTCCTGCACACCTCCTACTGGGGATCGAGCCCACAGCCCGGGCCTGTGCCCTTGACCAGAATCGAACCCGGGACCTTCAGTCCACAGGCCAACGCTCTATCCACTGAGTCACACTGGCCAGGGCTGGGCTCTACACTTTTTAAATAAATGCAGTTGCAATATTTTGGGCAGCACCTGGCCTCAGTTCCTGCGTCCAATGCCATGTGTGTGCATATGCCCGTGTGTGCGTGTGCGCGTGTGTGTGTGTGCATGTGTGTGTGCGTGTGTGCGTGTGTGCATGTGTGTGTGCGTGTGTGCATGTGTGTGTGCGTGTGTGTGTGAGCAGCTGCACAGGTGGCTACACACCCAGCCTTAAACTTGGGTGGCCGTGCCCTCGGAGCTGATGGCCTCATTTTCCAGACTTTGTATCCATGTTCTTGTTGTCCCCCCACCCCATTCGGGGACACGTCTGTGCTCCTTTCCTTGAAATAAAGGCGCACACACATTGCGTGGCGTCTTGTTGAGAGATCCCGAGGCCCTGAGGATGGAGGGGGGCCCAGGGCAGGGTGGGGTGCCGTTTGCGGGGAGCCCTGATCAGCAGGCCCACTCTGTGAAGCGAGAGCCAGGAGGGGGGTCCCACCAGCTGTGTGATGAGCCGGCGGAGGACAAGGTGGCACCGCCCACGGGACACTGCAGGCGCCGCGGGACTGGGGGGCCCACTCTGCCTGGTCTCCGCCCCCTGGCTGCGCCCTCCCCGCCCTGCTCACCGCCGGCCTGGCCTCGGGCGAAGGCGGGAGATGTGCTTTGGCGGTTTTCTATCACAAACACCTTTACTGTGTCTCTGGGAAATACAGTCTGTGTCTCTGTATGCGGGTAAGTGTTTGCATTCTAAGTCGCTCCTCCCATGGTTTAAGAAAAAGAAGAAAAAATGGGGGAAAAGTGGGGGGAAACCGTAGCCCCCTCCGCCCCTTCCTGGTTCTGCAAGCGCTCCCCCTCCCTCGGCCAGGGCGCCCCTTCCTTGGGAGCCAGCGGTGTCGCTGGCATGTCGCTGGCATGTCGCTGGATGTGGCAGCCGCTGCCTCTGTCAGGCTGGCCACATCGGGGAGAAGCAGATCTGGGTGAGTCGCGGCCCCAGCTCCCCGCCCCCCCCCCCATGCCGCCGCCCCCCCCCCCATGCCGCCGCCCCCTCTCCCGGAAGCGGTGCGCACGCTGCGGGGCGAGGTTGCGGGCGCTCCGCTCTGTGCCAGGGACTCAGCCGGTGCCTCCAGTGCGCCCCCTGCCGGGCGCAGCGGGGGGAGGTCGGCACGTGCTGCTGCACCGGAGCCGGAGCCGCAGGGCCGGGCGGAGAGGCCGGGGCGGGGAACAGCCGGGAAGGGCGAAGGGCAGTGCGGGCCCCAGCGCCCGGCGAGGGGAGCGTCTTCAGTGCCCCGCGCTCTGCCCGCCGCCGGGTCCCGGTCCCCGGAGGTGGGTTCGCTGCATCGATGGCGGTCTGTTCTGCGAACAGGGCAGACCCACAGCGCTCACCAGTGGCCGCGGGACTCCCTCCGGAGCAGCCCCTGCCGCCAGGCCAGCAGGCGCCAAAGGTGGGCGCGAGGCTGCCGCGGGCCTGCATCTCACAGGCGATCCCAGGCCCTCAGCCGACGAGCCACCATGGCAGCCAGCACCTGCCAGCTCCAGGCCACTGCACCTTTGGTCTTCATGGCCCTTCCTGCAGGTATTAGTGCATGAAAACGACTGCCCTGGCCGGGGTGGCTCAGGGGATAGAGCGCCAGCCTGCGGACTGAAGGGTCCCGGGTTCAAATAGGGTCAAGGGCACAGGCCAGGGTTGCAGGCTTGATCCCCAGCAGGGGCCATGCAGGAGACAGCCAATCAGTGATTTTTTTAAATATATTTTTTATTGATTAAGATACATATGTGTCCTTATCCTCACGTTACCCCCTACCCCACCCCCCAGCCCGCACTCATGCCCTCACCCCCCCTCCCCCATTGTCCATGTCCATTGGTTAGGCCTATATGCTTGCATATAAGTCCTTTGGTTGATCTTTCCCCCTTACCCCCACCCTCCCCTACCTTCCGTCCAAGGCCCGACAGTCCCATCAATGCCTCTCCATCTCTGGATCAGTCCTTGTTCATCAGTTTATGTTGTTCATTATATTCCACAAGTGAGTGAGATCATGTGGTATTTATCCTTCTCTGACTGGCTTATTTCACTTAGCATAATGGTCTCCAGTTCCATCCATGCTGTGGAAAATGGTAAGAGTTCCTTTTTCTTTTTCTTTCTCTTCTTAAAGGATACCTTTCAGCATTTCATATAATCCTGGTTTGGTGGTGATGAACTCCTTTAGCTTTTCCTTATCTGTGAAGCTCTTTATCTGACCTTCTATTCTGAATGATAGCTTTGCTGGGTAAAGTAATCTTGGTTGTAGGTTCTTGGTATTCATCACTTTGAATATTTCTTGCCATTCCCTTCTGGCCTGCATGGTTTCTGTTGAAAAATCAGCTGACAGTCGTATGGGTATTCCCTTGTAGGTAACTGAGTTTCTTTCTCTTGCTGCTTTTAAGATTCTCTCTTTGTCTTTTGCTCTTGGCATTTTAATGATGATGTCTTGGTGTGGTCCTCTTTGGATTCCTTTTGTTTGGGGTTCTCTGCGCTTCCTGGACCTGTAAGTCTATTTCTTTCACCAGGTGGGGGAAGTTTTCTGTCATTATTTCTTCAAATAGTTTTCAATATCTTGCCCTCTCTCATCTTCTGGCACCCCTATAATTCAGATGTTGGTTTGCTTGAAGTTGTCCCAGAGGCTCCTTACACTATCTTTGTATTTTTGGATTCTTTTTGCTTTTTGCATTTCTGGTTGGGTATTTTTTGTTTCTTCGTATTTCAAATCTTTGACTTGATTCTTGGGATCCTCTTGTCTGCTGTTGGATCTCTGTATATTATTCTTTATTTCAGTCAGTGCACTCAGTAAGCAACTTAATTTCTAGTTGGTCTTTTTTCATATCCTCCAGGGTCTCACTAAATTTATCGGCAGTTTCCATAAAATTCTTGAAAAACCTTAAAAGTGTGGTCTTGAACTCTATATCCAGTCGTTTGCTTTCCTCCATTTCTGTCATTTGTGACCTGTTTCTTTGTCTCCACATTTTTTATGCTTCCCTGTGTTGGTAGAATGGCTTTCTGTGCTTGGTGTCCTGTAGGGCCCGGTGGCTCAGCCTCCCCAATTACCTGAGGTGGACACTCTTGGTGCACCCCCTTGTGGGCTTTGTGCACAGTCTTGTTGTAGTTATGCCTTGATTGTTGTAGGTATCAGTGGGAGGAATTGACCTCCAGGCCAATTGGCAGTGAGAATCAGCTGTGTCTGCAGTGGGAAAACTTCTGTGCTGAAGACACCCTTCTGGGGCAAGACTTGCTTCAGTGGGGCTTTGGTGCTCACTGAGTCTGCCTCCTGAGTGTGTCCCTTATGGATCTGAGGAGTTGTAATCTGGATGGTCCCACTCTGACCACTGGGCACACTGGCTCTTGTATCTAAGGAGGTGCTAATTTAGTCTCTGCCTGAGGTTACCCAGCAGGAGCTACGAAAAGATCTGCAGATTCCCCTTCCTTTTTTGGAGTTTGGAGGTGCCCAGATGAGACCTAGCTGTGAAGCAATGCAAGCTGCTGTGGGGCCTTGGGCCTTCTCTTGGAAGTTCTGGGTCTGTCTGTTAGGTAATTTTCAGGTTGCAAAGGGCCAGGGCATTCATATGCAAAAGCCTCTGCCGCAGCCTGGGTGGGGCTGGGTCTCAAGGAATCAACAGGGCGGAGCAAGCAGCTATGGCAGATCCTCAGCCCTGCCCTAAGGGCCCGTGCGTCTAGGTGTCCCGGTAATTTAATTGCTGCAAGCTCCTCTGAGGGAAAGCCGCCCTGGAGTTCCGAGTTCCTCCCGCTGCCAGACAGTCCAGTTTCTCCCCGTATGAGTCCTGGGTCCCCGGAGACTTCCCGGAACTGGAGTTCAGAGCAGTCGGGAGCTTGTGTCTCTCTCCCGATTCAAAAAGACAGCTGGGTCCTCAGTTGCCAGCCCTTTCCGCGTGCACCTCCGTACCTCTGCACTTCTGCAGCTCCTCTGAGTCTCCGTGTGCTTTTCTCTTTCCTTCTAGTTGTAGAATTTCCACTCAGCCAGCCTTCCTGTGGTTCTGGATGATGTCCGTTCCGTCTTTTAATTGTATTTTTGAAGTTGTTGTGGGAGGCAGCAATTTCGGTGTTTACCTATGCCACCATCTTGGTTTCTCCCCACCTGTCGCTTTCGTCAGCTGCAGCTGTTCTGGAATGGATCTTAGTAACACTAACCAGTAGACCAATACTGAAATCTTTATCTTTGGAGCATAATTTTGTTTCTTGGCCAGAATGTGGGACACAGAGTCCCTGCAATGTCACAGCAAGTCTCCATTCTTCTCTATAATTCTAAACAATGCAGCAAAGGAATGTCCAAGTCTGTAAAATCAATTTAACGTTCAGCTCAGCGTGTAAAGACAGCTCTGAGAATTTAGAAGGCACCCGAGTCAGAACATTTCCATGATTGGGGCCCTGTGGCAGCATTTTAACACATCTGAGTGCAGCGGGCGGAGGCTGGAGCTTGCTGGCCCCCGATCAATGATTCTTATCATTGATAAGATGTCTCTTCCTCTCTCTCTCTCTCTCTCTCTCTCTCTCTTCCTCTGAAATCAATAAAAACAATAAAAATAAAAATGAAAGAACTAAGTGATGAAAAAAAATGACTGAATCTGAACATCCAGGACTCCATGAACCTGGGCTAATGGGAGACTGTAGAGAAAATGAAAAAAGTTCCACCAGAGGGATCTTGGGGGACGTGGGGAGTCGGGTGGGAGGGGTGGGAGGGAATGAAGAATGAAGTTGATTGAAAGAAGCACCGGCCAGAGTTGGTACCTGTGTTTTACCTTGACAACATTCTGTTTGCACTTTTCTTAAAAAAAAAAAAAATATTGATTTTTTTTACAGAGAGGAAGGGAGAGGGATAGAGTTAGAAACACGATGGGAGAGAAACATCGATCAGCTGCCTCCTGCACACCCCCTTCTGGGATGTGCCCGCAACCCAGGCACATGCCCTTGACCGGAATCGAACCCAGGACCCTTCAGTCCGCAGGCCGACGCTCTATCCACTGAGCCAAACCGGTCAGGGCTCTAGTTGCTCTTTATATATTTTATGTTGTGTAAGGAAATGTGTCTCAATCAAAACCGAACGAGATAAAGGAAAGCGAAGTGGCTTTTGCGATATTCCATCACAAACACTTCCATTGTGTCTGGAAAATACGGTGTATGTGTGCCTGTGTTTTCATCCTGATGGTGCTGCTCCCATGGTGAAGACAAAGAACAAAATGGAAAAAGGTTTTTTGGGGGGGAAAAAACAGGCTCATAGCAGCTACTTGGTAAAAATTTCCCCTACTTCTAATTTGCTGAATGAAGAAATCCTTTATTTGTGATATTTGCAGACATTTGCTCCAGTACGGTGTATTTAAATAATAAAAATTTAAAAGAAAAAAATACAAAAGTACCACAGCAAACAAACAGAAAAGTACAAGAGCAAAGAGGAAGAGACTGGGCCATTTGGGGGGGGGGTGGTAATTGAGTGCCTTGGCAGTGTGGGCGGGAAGGCGGTGTGGGGAGGCGGGGTGTGGGCAGGACGGGGGTGTGAGGGGCTCAGTCTTGACGTTTGGAACTTTCCCCACATTGTTGCCTTCTGCTCCTGCTGTTCCTTTTGCTCACCACCCGCACTCGCACCACTAGGACCAGGGCCGAAGCTCCCTGGGCGCCCCGCCAGGGCCTGGGGTCCGGGCGTCCGGGCGTCCGGGCGTCCGGCCTGGGCTCCGGGTTCACAGGCGCTGCAAGCTCAGCTTCCAACACATCTGGACCCGCTCCCGGGGCAGGACTTGGGGGTCTCCCCAAACCAGTGTGGGCGCTGGGGGTGTCCTTCCTGCTTTCAATCCTCACCTGAGGATTTTTATTTTCCATTAATTTTCAGGGAGGGAGGGAGGGAGCGATATCGATTGGTTGCCTCCCCACACCCTGACCTGGGCTGGGGATCGAACCTGCACCCCAGCACATGCCCTGGACCTGAAATCGAACCCGAGACCCTTCGGTGTGCAGGCCGGCGCTCTAACCACTGAGGCACCGGCCAGGGCAGAAGCTGAGATTCAGAGCAGACGGACATCCCGGGTCCTGGGGGAGTCTCTGCGCCGGAGGGGCAGCTCCTGCCGCGTGTCCGTTCCTGCCCCTGACCACGGCTCAGGGCGGGTGGAGGGTCCTGACTGCGGCCACCCCAGGGGACCCCCTGGTACTCCTGTGAGAATGAATGGAGTGACTGGGCTCCGGCCCCAGGATAACAGCCGAGAGGGGGGACCCCGCCCGCCCCCCACTGCTGCTCCCCGGGGAAAGGCAGACCGGAAACACAGCCCTGGCTGGTGCGGCTCAGTGGGCAGGGCGCCGGCCTCTGGCCTGAAGGGCAAGAACAATTCCTTTTGTTATTTATTTATTTATTTATTTATTTTTTAATTGTTTTATTGCTTAAACTATTACAAAGGGTATTACATATGTCTCATTTCTTTACCCGCCCTTGACAATCCCCTGGCCTCCCCTACCCCCCAGTGTCTTGTGTCCATTGGTTATGCTCAGATGCATGCATACAAGTCCTTCGGTTGATCTCTTACCCCCCCCTTCCCGCCCCCCAACCCTCCCCGGCCTTCCTGCTGCAGTTTGACAGTCTGTTTGAGGCAGCTCTGCCTCTGTACCTATTTTTGTTCATTTTTTAAAATATATTTTATTTTAGTCACAGCCAGGTGACTAACAAGTTCCAGGGCAGGGCAGGTTGGCCACGAAAAATCTCTGCAGAAGTTGCCCAACTTCTAAAAAAAAAGTCCTGGGGTGATTAACCAACAAAAGAAATTTAGAAATAAAGGAAGGAAGGAACGAAGGGAGGGAGGGAGGGAGGAAAGGAGGAAGGGCAGAACACAGAGAGGAGAGGAATGAAAGAAAGAAATGAAAGAAAAGAAAGAAAGAAGCCCTGGCCGGTTTGGCTCAGTGGATAGAGCGTCGGCCTGCGGACTGAAGGGTCCCGGGTTCGATTCCGGCCAAGGGCATGTGCCTGGGTTGCGGGCACATCCCCAGTGGGAGATGTGCAGGAGGCGGCTGATCGGTGTTTCTCTCCCATCGATGTTTCTGACTCTCTACCCCTCTCCCTTCCTCTCTGTAAAAAATATATTAAAAAAAAAAAAAAAAAAGGCGATCTTTAAAGACACTCACGGAGACCACCCGGCCCGTCCCGCGTCCGCGCTCCACCGGGGCGCCTGCACCCCTCCCAACCCGGACCCCTCCTCTCCCCCCTCCCCCCCACCGCACCCCCTCCCCGCACATCCCCCTCCCCACCCGGACCCCACCCCCGCCAGCCGCCCAGGTGCCGCGCCGCCCGGGAAGAGTTGACGCTCCCGCCCCCGCTACACCCCGGGGCTCCCTCCCGCCCCCACCCTGGGGTGTCCTGCTGCGGCGCACCCCGTCCCGGTGCCATCTGGGGTGCCTCACCCAGGCCCGCAGAGGGGCAGCAGCAGGATGAGCCACCACAGCTTATGCAACCCCGGGGCAGCAGGTCAGCACCAGAAGCCTCGTCTCTCCCGACGCGGGCGGGTCGGCGGGCGGGTCGGCGGAGACTCCCATCCTCAGAAGGACTTGGCCCAGTGTGAGCAGGAAGTGGCGCGCGCACCCCGCAGCGGGAGAGGCCCCCCCCCCCCCCCCCGGGCCCGTCGGGGGGCAGCCAGGGCCCAGGCGCCAGGCCAGCACCCAGGGCCCTGCTGGGGCGCCCTCAGCAGCGAGGGGGGCAGTCAGGCTGCTCCCCCCGCCGGGCCTCCTCTCTGCCCCCTGCCTGTCGCCCTCTGACCCCCAGCAGGCCCCCCGTGGGCCGCGCCGTGTCCCTGCCCGCCCTCCCCGATAGTAGAGCGGGGGGCGGGGCCTTCAGTTGCCATAAAAGGCGGAGCGCGCTGGCCGGCCATGAATGAGCATCGCCACAGGATGGTCTTCTCTCGGGATTCCTTTGCTGCTGCGGCCGCTGCTGCTCATCGGGACTCAGGTGGGTGCTCGGGAGAGCGAAGGCTCCCAGCCGGCAGGGGCCGGAAGCGGGGCGGGATCGAGTCTGACTTTGGGAGTCGTGCACCCTAGGGCGCTCCCCAGGCCCCGCTCAGCTCCAGGGAGGTCAGCCCCCCGCCCCCGCGCAGGCCGGGCGCACCGGGCAGCCCTCCGCCAGCGTGAGTGCGCGGAGCTGTGCGCGGTCCGGCCTCCCCTGCCCCAGGCTCCCCGGTGACTGATGGGACCCCAGGGGCGGGGAGGGCACGGCCAGACCCCCCTTCCTCTCACCGGGGCGCGCAGTTCACTTCCCCGGGGCGGTGGGGCGAGAGGCCACTGTAGTTCCTTTTTAGCTGGAGGCGGGGGTGTACGGCGTATGGAGGCGCATGTAGTTGGCACACAACCAGCGCCCAGGCTTAACGTGTGCAGCTTGCTGTTTTGACATGTTCACGGTGCGGGAAACCATCCCCGCAGAAGAGTGGGCGCAGCCCTCACCCCCAAAAGTGCCAGCCGGCCCCCAGGGAGCTGGCTCCCAGAGGTTCCTCACCAAAGCGTGAGAGCAGGGTCCAGAGTCTTTTTTAAAAAAATGTATTTCTTTAATTCTTTATTGTTTAAAGTATCACGTAAGTCTTCTTTTCTCACCATGGATCTCTCTGGGCCGCTCCCACTCCCCCCCCCCCTCCGCCCCCAGCACATGCCCTCACCCCCTTATTGTCTGTGTCCTTGCTTATGCTTATATGCATCCATACAAGTCCTTTGATTAATCTGGACCAAAGTCTTTTAAAATCGATAGGAACCACAAGCTTCTTCCTGTTTGTCTGTGTCGGGCGCTAAGCCCTCCAGCCGGGAACAGTTGCATGAAACCTGCACCTTGGCTGACAGTGGCCTCGGGGCCTGTGCCTGGGTGAGGAGCTCAGTCCTGGGGTTTAGGACATCGTTGCCTTTCGTCGCGTCTGCTTTGGAGGGAGGCGAATTTAACATTCCATTTGCACATACACATCTGGCCTCGCACGACTTACAGTGAGATGACCGCGCTGAAACAGACGTTTTTTAAAGCGCTCGAACGAGAATGGGCTGCGGCCTTGACTTCGAGGTGCCTGTTCATCCTCACCCGTTTCCCGCTGACTTTCAGTGAGAGGGGGAGGGAAGATGGAGAGAGACATGCATCCATTGGTTGCCTCCTGCACGCGCCCAGACCAGGGCCGGGGATTGAGTTGGAATCGAACCCGGGACCCTTCAGTCCACAGGCCGGTGCTCTGTCCAAACCAGCAGGGGCCCATCGCCTCACCTCTCACCTCTGTGGCTCAGGGCCATCTCTGTCCGATGGGAGAGTTGGATGCATTTGCAAGCAGTTACTGGAGGAGGGACTTGCTGCCAGAAGCCAGTTCCAGCATGTCATAATGGCAAGCGATTCATCAAAAGATTGATGGAACTGGGGGACACAGCAGGGCTGAGTCACAGATGTAGGTACAGCAGGGCTGAGTCACATATCTATGTAGTCACACCTTTTATGAATGGCTGATGGCATTTCTCCAAACCTGAATAGGAACTGATTGTGGCTGTCAGACAGCTCAGGGCATCTTAATCTACATGTTATTGCCTCCTCCTGGCCAAATACCTGAACAGCCTTAGGCTAATTCTCCCCAATCTGACAATGGACTCTGTAGGAAACCTGACCCTTTGAAGTGTATACCTCTGCCTCGCCTCAGGACAGATTGTGTTCATAAAAAGCATGGGGTCCTGAGACAGGAGATCTGAGATCTTAGTTCCCTTTAAACTAGGCTCCTCTGACCCCCAAATGCCTTTCAAAATTATGCTTTGTCTCTGGACTCCTATTTAATGTACGCACAGCCTTCTCCAGATTGCGGAACCCTTCTCGATGGTGGAACAAGAACCCCGGCAGCACTTCCTTCTGCGGCGTTGCTGTCTGGGGTTCCAGGTGCTGCTGGGCACCCCCCTCCCCCCACTTTCTCTCCTGAAATCAGAGTCACATGCCCTCAACAATTTGGTCACATCACCGTCGCCGCCCTGCCCCCCAATCTGTCAGCCGCCCCCAACCCAGCCTGCTCTCTCTGCAGGGGGGTCGCCAGGGCCCCGACCCGCTGAGGGGCTCAGCCTGCCTCCGCTTCTGCCGGGTCAGGCGCACCCCACCTCCTCCAGGCGCCCTGCCTGCTCCTTAGAGCTGCTGGCCGGGTGGGCGGCCACTGTCCAGCGTTAGGCTGGGCCACCCCAGGTTCTGTCTGTGCTGATGTTGATGTTGTGACTAAATTCTTCTCCCGTGTGAAACCTGTGCTGGTAACAGCGCCCCCCAGAGATGGGATGAGGAGGCCGTGGGCCCCGCCTGTGGAGCCAATGCGCACATGACCCCGGTTCCTGGGCCCCTGGCTGCCTTGTTCCTGAGGCTGCTACGTGCAGAGCAGTGACCGTGACCCTCCCGTTCCAGGGCGGCGGCCCAGGCGGTGCTCCGCGTGGACGGGGCGGGCTGTGGACCTGCCGGGGTGACAGTGGGAGGGATGGGGGGCGAGAACGCGGTGAAACATGGTTCCCGTCTTTGCAGCTGACCCTCAGCACCTCCAGCAACCTGATATGGAGCCGTGCGCGGCGAGCCTGAGCCCGGGCAGCAGGTGCGGGCCCGGCGAGTACGAGTACGAGTACTGGTCTGGGAGGCGCTGCTGCCAGCGCTGCCCCGCAGGTGAGTGGGGGCGGGTTCTGTCCGCTGGGCCCGACCCAAATGCACGTCGAGCCATGGCTCTGACGGGGTGGCAGGGAGGAAGCGGCCGGGCACCGTGCTGGCCAGCGGAGCACGTGTCCACCTCGGGGCCTTCCGGGCTGGGCCCTGGGACCCCCAAGGCGACCGGGACGCTGGGATGCGCCCCAGCAGTTGGTGGCGAGCCCTGGGCCGGGGGGCGGAGCTCTGGGCTGGGGTCCTGCCGCCTTGACTGACCCTGGACCAGAGGCGCGTCCTGGGGGCCTCAGAGGTGTGTCCTGGGTGGGGGTCGGGGTCCCGGGTGCCCCACCACACAGCTGTCGGGGAGCAATTGCTTCGTCATTTCCACGACCTGGTGACAGGCAGAGATTACTCCAATGCTGACGCCCAGGGACAGGGATTTGCATTTTCTCCCCGGAGAGGGCAGCCCAGGGCCTGGCGTGGAGGCCGCACAGCGGGGCGCCGGGCGTGCCTGGTGGGTCTGACCGCACCCCGACCTCTTGCACAGGCCAGTATGTCCGCAAGCCGTGCAGCAGCCCCCACAGCCGGAGCGAGTGCAAGGCGTGTGACACAGGGACCTACACGGGACACGCCAACGGCCTGCGGTCCTGCCTGCTGTGCACCACCTGCCGCAAGGGTGAGTCCCGGCCCCTTGAGTCTTCACCTTGACCTCGAAGTCCTTTTTTTATTTTTATTTTTTTAAAATATATTTTTATTGATTTCAGAGAGGAAGGGAGAGTGAGAGGGAAACATCAATGATGAGAGAGAATCATGGATCAGCTGCCTCCTGCACGCTACCTACTGGGGATGGAGCCCACAACCCCGGGCATGTGCCCTTGATCGGAATCGAACCCGGGACCCTTCAGTCTGCAGGCCAATGCTCTATCCACCCAGCCAAACCAGCCAGGGCAAGAATACATATTTTTTTAAAAATTAAAAAAAAAAGCATTTTCCAAAGGTCTAAACTAGAAGATAATTCAAAACAGAAAAATCAATGGGAAAAATATCCTGGAGTGATGATTAACTAAATAAAGAAACAGATAAATAAGTAGATAAATGAATAAATAAATAAAATCAATAAAAATATAATTAAAGAAAAGGAAAGGGTCTCTGAGAGTGAAGAGGCGGACTGTCCTACGTCCGCCAGAGCCGGTGCCACACGTGGGGGCAGGGCTGTGGGGATCCTGGCCCGACGGGAGACGTGGGATCAATGCCAGCCGCAGAGGAAACACTGGGTGTAGTGGGTGACGTTCCCACGGGCGTACCCCACTCCCCACCGCCTGCCTCTGTGTATACCGGGGCCCGCTCCCCCCTGTGTCAGAGCCCGGCTGGTGTGCAGTGGCACCACCAGAAGCCACCCATGTCCACTGGCAGAGAAGGCGGGCAAAGCGACATGTGGGGTCGGGGCCGCAGGCGAGTGGGTGACGGGCTTGGTCTCGGGCTGGGCTGTGGCCCCACCTTATTCCCATCTCACCTGCAGTTCAGACGCTGGGCAGAGGGGGTTGGAGGGCCCGCCCCCTCGATGGAGCCGTGCACCCCGAGAGGCTCCAGGGCCCGGCCTTGGTGGCCATCGGGCGGGTTGTGGGGGTGACCGCCGAGCTGACTGCCAGCAGGTGGGGCCAGGGGCTCTCTGCGGCCCCCATTCGCTGTCTGCTGTGTCACTCACAGGTGCTCCCTGCACCCCCACACTGAGGGTGTTGACCTGCCCTTTAGGGGACGAACACGATGAAAGGGATAATTTGGGGGTATCTCTGGGGACAGAGCTGGCTTTGTCCTCCCAGCCCACATCACAAGGGCACCTGCTACCCCTCCACAGACAGCCCAGGTTTCAGGGCCCCCCTCTGGCCCCTCCACAGACAGCCCAGGTTTCAGGGCCCCCTCTGGCCCGTCCACAGGTGCCCCAATTGCTGGAAATAAGAGTCTAGTCGTCACCTCGTCGTCTGTAAGTGTGAGGGAGGGAGATTGTGGATTCGGTGCCTGTGACCGGCAGCCAGAGGGGCCGGTATGGGTGGCACAGAGTCCCAGCCCTGGTGTCTGACCCCGCCTCCCCTCCCCCTGCAGACCAGGAGGAGGTGAGTGACTGCACGCCGACAGGGGACAGGAAGTGCCAGTGCAAGACTGGGGAGTTCTACTGCGACTCTGAGCCCTGCCTGGAGGGCTGCCACCCCTGCACCAGGTAGGGCCTCTGGGCGTGTCTGCCTCGGGTTCTGCCGCGGCCCCTCGGTTCTCCATCTGTGACCTGGTAGCACCTGCCACGTGGAGGCGCCTGCAGATGAAATCCAACCGGTGGCCTGGCTGTTCCCACCGGGGCCGCCCTGGGGCCAGGGCTCCGTCTACCCAGAGCCACGACCTGCTCATCCCACCAAAGCACCCACCAAAGCCCCACAGAAGCCAAAGCACAGAACCTGCCCGGGGCCCCGAGGGCTGGAGGGCGGGGGCTGTGGGAGACACAGAGGCCCGAGGAGGGAGGAAGGTGGGAGCCATAGCCCGGGAGCCAGGAACCAGGTGTGGGCAGGGCCGGCCCCGCGGGCTCTGGGAGGACCCTCCTGCCTCCTGGGCTCTGGGTGGCGGCGCCCCTGGCGCTCCTCCTAGACCTGCCGCCCATCGCGCCGCCTCCTGTCTGCGTCTCTGGGCCGCTCCCTGCGAACAGGCTCCCCTTAGGAGGACGTGGTCACGGGAGGCCCGGCTCCCCCGCGATGGCCTCCCTTTAGCGCCGTCACACGCACAGATTTCCTAAGAAGGTTCATCCTGAGGTCCCGGGTGGGCCTTAAAGGGGGGACCTTCTGGGGAGACATGACAGCGGTGAAACCCCTGGCAAAATAGCTCCCTTTTGAAAGGAAATAGATTTTTATTGATGTCAGAGAGGAGGGGAGAGGGAGGGAGAGAAACGGCAATGATGAGAGAATCATGGACCGGGTGCCTCCTGCACGCCCCCCACCGGGGATGGAGCCGCAACCCGGGCCTGTGCCCTGACCGGGACTCGCACCGTGACCTCCTGGTTCCTAGGCTGACGCTCCTCCCCTGAGCCCCCCGGCGGACAGAGCAGCGCACTTTGTGAGGCGCTTGTGGGCCCTTCAGTGCAACTCAGACCATGTGAACTGTGGCCCTGGGACCTGACAAGTCCGAAGTAGGGGCCGCCTGCAGGTCCGGTTCGATCAGGGCTCTGCTTCTCTCGGTTCCTTTGCCCGCCCGTCTCCATGGGCTTCCTCTCGGTGCGGCTGTGGCTCCCGCAGGTGCCGTCCTCAGAGCCGCACCCCAGGGGCCCCGAACTCCCTCGCTGGGCTCTCAGCAGCCCCTGAGCCGGGTGGGCCGATGGTCTGGGAAAGCCCGGCACAGGCTGCCGGAGCCCGGGGCCCTCTGGGGCGGGGGCCGGCCTGGCCGGGAAGTGATGCTCGGGGTCCTTCACTCCTTCCTCTCAGCTGTCCCGGCGCCACCCTCCTGACCTGCAACGCCACGAGGGACACCGTGTGCGCCCCAGCAGCCCAGCCAGAGCCAGGTAAGCGGCCCCGCCTCTTCCACGGCAGCCAGCCTGTGCACAGAGGGCGCCGTCGGCTCTGGGCCGGGGTCAGTGCTCAGCTCTGCCCCGTAGAAAAGAGGCTGCAGGCAGGAAGGGGTGGGTGTGTGTGGCTTTATTTTATTTCTAATATGTTTCTATTGATGTCAGAGAGGAAGGGAGAGGGAGAGAGAGAAACATCCATGATGAGAGAGAATCATGGACTGGCTGCCTCCTGCACGCCCCCCACTGGGGATGGAGCCCACACCCCGGGCCTATGCTCTGACTGGGAATGGAACGGTGATGCCCAGGTTCATAGGTTAAAGCTCAACACCTGAGCCAGGCCGTTGGGGCTTAAAGTACAATGCCCATCCCCCCAAAAAAGAACATAGTTCAGACCTAATCTGTGATTAAACACAAGTGGTCAGAGCACTGGCCGGGTTGGGTCAGTGGTTAGAGTAGTCGTGGGCAAACTACCGCCCGTGAGCTGGATCCGGATCCGGTCCGTTCGGCTGTTCTATCCGGCCCGCGGAGCCGGAAGAGCGGAGGGTTCTCTTCTCTCCCCTCCGCTCCTTCACCAGCAGCAATGTTAACATGTATTAGTTCACACAAACACTCCATCCATGCTTTTGTTCCGGCCTCCGGTCCAGTTTAAGAACCCATTGTGGCCCTCGAGTCAAAAAGTTTGCCCACCCCTGGCCTAGAGCCTCAGCCCGTGGACCAAAGGCTGGTGGGTTCGATTCCCAGTCAAGGGCACGTCCCTGGGTTGCAGGCTCCATCCCCAACCCGGTCGGGGGGTGCGGCAGCCCATGGATGTGTCCCTCACACTGTCACATCCACGCTCCTCTCTGTCTCTCCCTCTCCTCCCTCCCCTCCCTCTCTACAAAAATCAATGGGAAAATGTCGTCGGGCGAGGATTCAGGAGAAATAAACGCACTTCAGGAAGCTGTCGGGGGAGCAGCCCCGTGGCAGGGTCACTGCCGTCCCTCCGCCTCCTGGGCTGGCCCGGCGCCGGGGCCACAGCTCTGATGGGCCTGCCCTCGCCCGGGTCCCTGTGGAGGTTCCACCGGGTGCTGTACTGTCACCAGGGAGACCAGCCCCCGAGCGGCCTCAGCAGCTGGCTCCTGGGTGGCCCTGCCCCGTCCCTCGGGCCACCTGGCCGGGCCTTCCCGCAGTCACCATGGGGTCCTCTCCCTCGTCCCCACCTTCGGGGGGGGGCTGCCTTCCGGGCCGGGAGTCCATGACGCTCACCCCAGAGCCCCACCCTGGGGCAGCGGACCTTCGCCCTCTTCTGGGAGGGCGGACCCTGCGGGCAGCGAGTCCTTCCGCGAGAGACCTGCTTACCCGCTACCTCGCTCTGTGCCCCCAGGACCCCCAGCTGGTTCCCTGGCTGACAGCGCCTTGGCTGTGCCTGTGGTTTGCATTGTCATCGCCATTTTCATCGCCTTCGCCATCGGCATCGCCATCGCCTGGTGGAGAAGACGAGGTAAGCGGAGGAGAGTGCTCCGGACGGGAGAGCAGCACCCAACAGGCTCTTGACCGGCGTTTTCCATTTAAAATACAGCTGCGCTCACTTCCTTATTCATTTTTAATATATTTTTATTGATGTCAGAGAGGAAGGGAGAGGGAGAGGGAGACATCCATGATGAGGGAGAATCATGGATCGGCTGCCTCCTGCACGCCCCCAACGGGGGATCGAGCCCGAAACCGGGGCCAGTGCCCTGACCTGGAATCCAACCGTGACCTCCTGGTTCACAGATGGATGCTCAGCCACTGAGCCACGGGGCCGGGCTGGGCTCACTTTCTCACTCGGGGCCCCTGTGCCGTGTGCTGTGTGCCGCTGACCAGGTGCGGGGCTGCAGACCACGGCTCTGGGGCGGCTGCAGACAGCGCACATGGGGGGGGGGGGGCATGGTGGAGAAGCAGGGAGAGCCTGGGGCTGCTCCGCCTGGGTCGGGGGGCAGGGGAGTGCACCGAGGACACTCGAGTCCCTCCGTGTGCCCTCAGGGGCGCTGCTTCCTCAGTGGCTGTGCCGTTTCAGGACAGGTAAGTGCTTTCCCTGCTGTGAATCCCAGGCCTTGGCCTCCGAAGTCCGCGTGCGGTTCACGTCAGGGGCAGCCCCGTGCCCTGTGGGTCGTATTTCGGATCTCTCCCATTCTCCCCGCGCCCTCCTCCCGGCCCCCCCCCCCCCCAGGCCTTCACCGTGGTGGTTCACTGTTCCCCAGTATCCGGGGGTGCGTGCCTTTATCTGCCACATGTCTGCCCTGCTGGCTGTGTGGTCGGTTTGCTCGCACCGGCATCGCCAGGAGCAGGCCTGTGCCGCGTGGTGGCCCAGGATGCGATCGTGTCACTGGTGATGGGAGTCCAGCTGCACTGCCCTCTGGTGGGGTCAGGGCCGGACAGGTGGCCCCTCAGTGACCGACGGCATCAAGCGCGCTGACTGTGTCTTCACTTGCTTTTCTTCTGTCTGATTTTCAGCGACGTCGGGGGAGCCAGGCAGCCATGTAAGTGTCTCCCTGGGCTGTTCCCGGTGGGGGCCTCGGGCCTGGAGGGCCGGGGCGACAGCAGGGTGGGGGAGGCCGCCGGGCCCCATCTGCATGCACAGCTCAGCTTCCGGGCGGCGTCTGCACCCCTTTACTCGAGCCCCAAATGTCTGCTGGAAAGAGACCCACACTCCCCTGGTAGGGCCCGTGTGGGATCGGAGGCGCAGGGGCCAAGGGCTTTGTACGGGTTTCCCGGGGCTTAAAAACCGCAACTTACTGCCCCCGACCCGGGGCCCAGAAGCCCACAACGCAGGGGCCGGGGGGCTCCCTGGGAGGCCCTAGGGGGAGGGGGTCCTCCGCCCCTGCCCGCCTCCCCTGGGGGTGCCGCCTTCTGGGGCGCTCCTCGCCCTCCGCACTCACCTGGCCGCCTCCAGGCGTCACTCTGAGCAGTCCTCACAGGGACACTCGGCCGTCACTGGTTTGGGGCGCGCTCTCACCCGGTGGGGCCTCTGCCGCAAAGACCCCATTTCCAAATGAGGCCCCTTCACAGGGCGGGTAGGCTGGGGACACGTCTTTCTGGGTCACCATTCAGCCCTGTCTTTTAAGAAATAATGTTCTTACTGATTTCAGAGAGAGGAGGAGGAGGAGAGAGAGAACGAGAGAGAGAGAGAGAGAGAGAGAGAGAGAAGCATCGATGATGCCCTGGCCGGTGCTGCTCAGGGGATAGAGCATCGGCCTGCAGTCTGAAGGGTCCCGGGTTCGATGCTGGTCAAGGGCAGGTACCTGGGCTGCAGGCTCCCACCGGCCGGGCCCTGATCAGGGCTGGTGCAGGAGGCAACTAATCCATGTGCTTCTCTCACATCAGTGTCTCTCTGTCTCTCCCTCTCTCTTCCACTCTCTCTGAAAATCAGTGGAAACATATCCTCGGGTGAGGCTTAAAAATTAAAACAAAAAAAGGTGGAAGCATCGGTGATGACAGAGAATCATGGACCGGCTGCCTCCTGCCCGTCCCCCACTGGGGATGGACCCCGAAACCCGGGCCTGTGCCCTGACCTGGAATCCAACCTGACCTCCTTGTTCATAAGTTGACGCTCAACCACTGAGCCACACTGGCCGGGCGCCACCCTTGTCTTGGGCCAGAGCTGGAACCTGAGCCCATGAAGTGTTTTTCTCTCAACGCACAGCCCAGGCTGACCCTCAGGCACTGCGGCCTTTCCCCATTCACCCCTACGCCAGAGAGGCTTGCGGGTATTGGGGGGCTGTGCTGCGGCTCCTGTCACCACAGGAATGGCTTTGTCCTTTAGGCGATACTGCGACCCACGGACCCTGAGAGGGGGCCCCTGGCCCCCGGCGCGGAGATAACGCCGCTGCTGCAGGAGGAGGCCGATGCCCAGACGCCCAGTGCCCTGACCCGCCCGCGACCCTTAGCTGACCCCGACCCCGGCCCTGACACCGACCCTGATACCGACCCTGATACCGACCCCGACCCTGACACTGACCCCGCCTCTGACCCCAACCCCGACCCTGATACCGACCCCGGGGCAGGAGTGGAGCTGCAGGTGGAGGTGACGGGAGGCGGCCGGGTAGCCCCAGAGCCCACGCCCCCGACTCCTGCTGCCGCTGCCCCGGGGGCCCAGGCCCAGGCTGAGGCGGACGCCGGCCTCCGTCATCGAGCAGGTGAGGGCCGGGGCCGGGGTGGGGGCCAATGGGGGGCAGTGAGGCTCGCTTGCTGAGCACCTGCTGAGTGCGCTCCGTTAGGGCTCTTGTCAGTGCTTGTCTGCGCCTCCCGGGCCGCCCCCCCCAGGCCACGGACCAGCCGCTGGAACCACAGACTGTCTCCCGGCCCTGGAGGCCATGGCTGAGGTCACGGCGTCCGTCCGTGGGCCGGTCCCCCCGGGGCTGTGAGGGGCCTTGGCCTCCTGCTGCCCGTGGTGTCGGGCGATCTGTGGGCTTCCTGGGCGTGTGGAAGTCCCCGCTCCGCCCTGCAGTTCACGCTGCGCCCTCCCTGCCAGCGTGTCTGTCCATCAGCGGGACCCGTCCTGCTGGACCCGGGCCTCCCATTCACTCCTCCACCTGCGGCCTCCTCTCCACATCCGGCCGCGTCCACCGCTCGGGGTCCAGACCTAATGTCTTTGGGGACAGGACTCAACCCATTGCAGTCCCCCCCAGCCTGTTGTCCACGGGGACAGTGACCCCGAGGGGCACAGACTCAGCGAGTGTGCCCGCTGGGTGCCGCCCTGGGAGCCACGGCAGGCGGGGCCCCGTTGCCAGGGCTGACGCCTCCGCTGCCCCCACCACCGCGCCCCCACGAGGCCGCCAGGCTGTCCTGGGACCACGCTCTCTTCCCTCCTCAGGATCATAAATGAGGATTTTGTGACGGACACGCCCCGCCCTGACGGTGAGTCCTCCGGCTTCTTGCTCCGCGGTGACGTCCGGGCTGAAGGCGGGACGTTCTGTGGCCTCAGCACTCGCTCACCTTCTCTGATGACCTTGGGGAAATGGGCTTCTTCAAGGATAAGTTTTGGTCCTAAAGGAAGGTCGCGGTGCTTGGTGTGAGCGGCTCGCGCCTTTCTGAGGAAACACGCGTGGCTGGTAGGGATGCTCTGTCCCCTCGGCCGGCAGGGCCCTCCTGGCTGTGGGCTGCTATGACTGGTCTAAGAGTAAGGACTTCTTCTTAAACATATATTTTTTTTGGGGGGGGTGTAGGGGGTTACGTGGGGATAAGGACACATATGTAATATCTTAATCAATAAAAAATATATTAAAAAAATAAACATATATTTGTATTGGTTTCAGAGAGGAAGGGAGAGGGAAACACCAATGATGGGAGAGAATCACTGATCGGCTCCCTCCTGCACTCCCCCTACTGGGGATGGAGCCCACAACCCGGGCACGTGCCCTTTGACAGAATCGAACCCGGGACCCTTCAGGCCACAGGCTGACGCTCTATCCACTGAGCCAAACCGGCCAGGATCAGGGACCTTTTTTAAGTGCCTCCTAAATGTTCTTCTAGCCAAAGGCTGTGTGACCTAATACACCCTTCGATACCTGAAACTCCAGTGAGAGAGAATGTGCGCAGCCCTATGTTCAGAGCACGTGCCCCCAGCCGTCGCGTGGGAAAAGCCGGGGCACGTTCCGCCTGGAGAACATGCAGCCGTTCGGAAGGAGGGTCTCTGACCCTTCGCGACAGACGGAGGGACCTGGAGCGGATTCTGCTGAGCGCACGGAGCCGGTCAGAGAAGGACAAGCATCACGTGATCTCACCCACGGGGACTCTAACGAACAAAATACACTGATGAACAAGTAGATCCCGAGCCATGGGAGCAGGGACCAGACCTGGCCTCTCAGAGGAAGGGGGTGGTCGGGGGGGGGGGGGGGGGGGGGGGAAGAGACCAACCTAAGGCCTGTACCGGGAATCATGCTTTCCCAGCAGAAGGTCGTGCATTGAATTCGCCCTGCAGCCCCCAGGGGACGCCCTGCTCCGACCTTCCTTATATACAGCCCGCGTCGCTTTACTGTTTAATCTGTAATAAACGCTTTAAAAACAAAAAGGGCATAGAATGCGACAATTTAACAAAAAGGAAGGGAAACATACAGTAAAGAATGAAAATTGAGCAATAATGATAAGCAGCAAGAAAGGCAAAAAACACCCAAAATGTTCACCGGACAATCCCCTGCGGCGGTAACAGGGAAGCTGACTCCGCGGCCCGTTCGCCTGAGTGACTTTGACTCATCATACAGGTTCCTGCATGAAGGGTTTTCCGGTGGAGAAGCGAATTGTTCAGATGGGAGACGGTGCAGCATGCGGTTCCGCTGTAACTGGGTCCGCTGTAACTGGGTCCGCTGTAACTGGGTCCGCTGTAACTGGGTCTGCTGGGCCCTGAGGGGGGCGGTTTGCGCTCTGCCCTCTGGTTGCGGAGGAGAAGGGCCGACCATTCGCTCTTAAGTGCCCTGGCTGAGGGACGCTGGGGCTGAGTAGGTGGCTGAAGCCGCTGGGCATCTAGTCTTTCCAGCTGCGAACCGCGGGTTCCCTGTCTGCCTTGTTCCCTGTCCCCTGGACCGGCTCTGCCCGCGTCTCCCGCCCTCGGAGCGGCCTCGCCTCCCTGCAGCCTGGCGCTCTGTCCAGCACCCAGCGTGTCCAGGGGACGCAAACTCCGGCCAGGCAAGTCAGAACTACAACTCCCAGAATGCCCCGGGCGGCTGCCTAGTGACCGGGCGCGGGGCGGGACTTCCGGCAGTTGCATCAGATTCTGGGAAGCTGTGCCGGGGACCGGGTCGGGATCCCTAGGATGGCAGGTTCCTCCGCGGAGCAGAGTGAGTGAGCGCGGCGTGGGTCTCCCTCCGGGCCTGGCGGGGGACACGGGCCGGGGGCTGGTCCCGGCGACAGCGGCGGGTTCTGGGCTGGGCGGGGCGGGGGCCGAGGCGCCGGGACGCCGTGGTCTGCGGGGCCGAGGGGAGACCCCGGCCTGGCGGGGTGACGCGGACCCGGGGCGGGGGCTGCCCCTGGTCACCGGGTGCGGGACGATCCCCGCCGCGCCCCGCCGACCCGTCCCGCCTTGGGTTGAGCCGGGTCCCCGCTGCCCCCGCTGCCCGGGGCGGGCCGAGCTCCCCGGCGTCCGGGGGCGCGCGGGGCTGGCGCTCGGGGAGCCGGGCTGGACGCGGGGGCGCGCGCCGCACCGGACAGGCCGGGGTTCCGAAGGCTTTCCCCCCGGCGGGCACACGGCGGCCTGGGGTGCGCCCGGCCGGGGCGTCCCGACTCGCTTTACCGCCCGGGAGGCTCCGCGAGCAGCTGCGCGCGGCCCCTCGGTGCCTGGTGTCCCCGGGGCGGGCCGGGGCGTCCGCCGGGACCTCCGGGAGCCGCGCTGTCGGTGCGGAGAGCGCCGTGTGGGCGGCTCCTGACCGCGGGCAGCCCCGTCCTGTGCCCTGGGCTGGCGAGCGGTGCCGGGTCCTCCCGGGCTGGGCTCCCAGGCCCGGAGCTCGCTGAGTGGGCGGCACCGATGCCAGGGCTGCGGCGCCACAGCAGCTCCCCCCGACAGGTGCGCCCGGATTCCAGCCCGTCTCCACCCGCGGGAGCCGGGCAGCCTCAGATCCACCCACACACTCCCCGGGGTCGCCCTGGCGGGCGGGCTGGGCGCAGCTCTGCCCCCTCCTGAGGACCAGCCTTAGGTGAGCCCCCGCCTCCCTGCGGGTGTGAGCGCCGTGGATGGAGGCCCCGCCCCCCAGGCGGTAGGAGCTGTCCAGGCGGAAAAGTGCAGCCTGGTTCTCCTTGTCTTTTAGAGGAAAAGTGTGTTCTTGGCTCATTCGTTGTCCTTGTTAATTCTCACCCGAGGCTATCTTTCCCATTGATTTTTAGAGAGAGAGAGAGAGAGAGAGAGAGAGAGAGAGAGAGAGAGAGAGAGAGAGAGACATCGATGTGAGAGAGAGACATCGATCGGTTGACTCCTGCACACGCTCCAACTGGGACTGGGGATCAAATCTGCAACCCGGGTACGTGCCCTTGACTGGGATTCGAACCCTCAACCCTTGGTACTTGGGCCGACGCTCTAACCACTGAACCACCGGACAGGGCTTGTTCGTTTTTGAACGTAAGTGACATTGTTTTTGCTTTCCATTTCTTTCTTTTTATTTTTTTTAACTAGAGGCCCAGTGGATGAAATTCGTGCACTCGGGGCGGGGGGGGGGGTCCCCTCAGCCTGGCCTGCGCCCTCTTGCAGTCCAGGAGCAGTCAGTCGGACAGGCTTAGTGCTCACCAGCCATGAGCCCGGCTTCTGGCTGAGTGGTCGGCCCCCTGGTGGCCAGCGCGCGTCATAGCGACAGTCGTTCCACCGTTGGGTCGATGTGCATACTAGCCTTTTATTATATAGGATAATAAGAATTAAGTTTTATTTTAAGCGGTAAAATTTACACATACTCGTTTATAAGAGAAGTGGTAACATTAGACCAGGGTAAAACATCACAGAATTCAAAATCACAATTTGGACCTTCAGGACTCCAGGTTGTCTGCCTTTCAGTCCAACGCGGTCAGTGTTCAGAGAAAGTTCCCCCTTGGGTGCCCTGTGCTCCATCGTCTTCCTTTATCACCGGCATCTCACCAGGAGGATAGCTGGCCGTGGGGCGACTCCACAGTGTGGCTCCGGTCTCTGGCCGTCGTTCTGTAGCCGTCCTTGCCCAGGCGTCACCCTGGCCGCTCTGGACAATCTGGGTTTACTGTCCCTCAGCTCTTCTCTTTCAAAGCCGTAGCCGCCACCAGGACGCCCTGACCTGGACCTGCGCCCCTGCAGCGCCGGCCCCAACAGACGCCGTCCTCACGGAACTGGAGCCAAGGTGGCTGCATCTGTAGCAACAGAGGGGGGCCCCGCAGAGCCGCTGCCTGCAGAGGGCACCTCCTGCTGAGGGTGCCCACGGAGCTCCACATCGTTGGCAGCAGAGACCACGGGCCTGAATCTGCAGGGTCCGACCTGTGCGTGATGGGGATAGGACGGAACCTCCTGGAAGGCCGTGGTCCTTGGGCCGGAGCCTGGGAGCAGCGCACACGCTCCGCTCACTCCGGGAAGCGCTGGCTGGTTCCCCGGAACAGCTGTCCTTCTGGGCACCGGTTGCGCTAAATGCCCTGCAAGAACCACAGTGACCCCGGTCTTCACGGGAGTTACAGGCCGACTGCTCTCTAGCCCGCCGCTGGGGGAGAATGAGGTTCCCACACTCTCTCCTTCCCTCGGGCCTCTGGCTTGGATGGCTGTCCAGCCCCTGCCTGCGTCTTCACGGTCCTGTCATCACAAGCCTTCGTTGCTATGGCGAGGCTGTGTCCACGGGGAGGCTGTGTCCACGGCGAGGCTGTCCCCACGGGGAGGCTGTGTCCACGGCGAGGCTGTGTCCACGGGGAGGCTGTGTCCACGGCGAGGCTGTCCACGGCGAGGCTGTCCCCACGGGGAGGCTGTGTCCACGGCGAGGCTGTGTCCACGGCGAGGCTGTGTCCACGGCGAGGCTGTGTCCACGGGGAGGCTGTGTCCACGGCGAGGCTGTCCACGGCGAGGCTGTCCCCACGGGGAGGCTGTGTCCACGGCGAGGCTGTGTCCACGGGGAGGCTGTGTCCACGGCGAGGCTGTCCCCACGGGGAGGCTGTGTCCACGGCGAGGCTGTCCATGGCGAGGCTGTGTCCACGGCGAGGCTGTGTCCACGGCGAGGCTGTGTCCACGGGGAGGCTGTGTCCACGGGGAGGCTGTCCACGGCGAGGCTGTGTCCACGGCGAGGCTGTCTCCACGGCTGTGCAAGTCCGTCCTCGTCATATTCTCCCAACTGCGCTCCTCCATCCTCTTCGTTCTGGAGGCACATGTGTAGCCTGCCTCTCTGTTTCCTTTACCACCAAGTCACCTTCCCGGTGGATTCCCAGAGAAGGGGAGAGAACCCAGACTGTGGCTGGAGGTCTGCACTTGTGGAAGGTGTTCCCAGCACCACCCGGCAGGGGCCGCCGTGGAGTCATTGCTGGGAAGCGTGCCCCCCAGAGCGGCTTTCTGCTTTAACCCCCAGAGCCTGCCCTTCCCTGAGGCCCCTCTGGATGGTTCGATGTTGCCCACCGAGCCAGGCAGCTTCTGCGTGTTGCCCCCACGGGTGCCGTCGCGCCTCTAACCCTCCTTCAGCGGCTTTGGAGCCGCTGAAGTCTCCCAGGTCCAGGCCCGAGAAGAGGGAGATCCACGTTCCAAAGCCCGCGGGGCCACCGGCAGGCCAGGCAGCAGCGCAGGGCCCGTCTCTCACCCGCTCTTCGTTCCTTTCTGTTGCCTCCGACCCTGGGGTTGGGAGCCTTGGTGAGTGCGGCCTGGTGTGGAGGCTGGTGCTGGGCCGGGATTAACTGCCCAGGATGCCCGATGCCGACAGGTTTTCCTGGTCCTTGACCTCAGGGCATCTCCAGCCAGGGTTCGCCCTGGGACTGAGCCTCCAGCACTTGCATTGCCGCCACCCACACAGCCCGTCCCCAGCGTCCCCTCCTCGGGGGGGACTTCTGTGAGATGCCAGAGGCTCCCCAGAACCAGCGGGGGCTGGGCAGTCTCGGTTCCTGAGGCTGATGGTTCCCCAGCTTGGAGTCCTCCAAAGTGACCATCTTCCGCCGTGGCCGATGTGGCTCAGTGGATAGACTGTCGGCCTGTGGACGGAAGGGTCCCAGGTTCGATTCCCATCGAGGGCTTGCACCTCATTTGCAGGCTCCTCCCTGGCCTGGGCCCTGGTTGGGGCACGTGCAGGAGGCAACCCAGCGATGTGTCTCACATCAGTGTTTCTCTCTCTGTCTCCCCCCTCCCACTCTCTCTAAAAATCAGTGGAAAATTTTATAAAAAGAAGCGAGCATCTTCCCAGCCCTTTAAGGAGGCCCTCGTCCCGTTCCGGGCCCCTCCCTAAGTTGACTCAGAGTTGGTCACCAGCTTCTCCTCGCAGCCCCAGCATCTGCTGGGAGGGTGGGCGGCAGGCAGGGGCGGGGCGGGGCGGGCTGACCGGGGCAGAGAGGAGTGGGGTCGGGCGGGGAGCTCTGGCACTGGGCCCTCAGTAAGGGCTGCGTGGCTTCCGGCAAGTTCCCGAGGCTGGGGGGGGAGGGGGGCGCGTTCAAGGTCGGGTCGGCCCCTGGGCCGGGTCTGCTGGGCCTTGGGCACAGTCCCCGGATTTCGGTCTTGCCTTTGGCTTTGGAAGTTTCTCTGTCCCCTCCTCGGGGAGGGCGAGGGAGGAGAGGCGCCCAAGGCAGGGAGGCCAGGAGGGACCAGGACAGTGGTGGCCTGGGCCGGCTGCAGTGGGCAGGCCTGGGTGGGCGCAGGTGCCATGAGGGAGGAAGAAGTGGAGGTGCCCAGCTTCCGCCCCATGGGGAACGCGGTCTCCCTGGGACCTGTGCCCAGGTTTGGGGTGAGACATGAGGCCCTGGGGCACCCCAGGCACAGGTGAGGGCTGGCGCTCGGGAGGGAGGTGGGCTGGGAGGGCCCCGGGGCAGGAGGCCTGCGGGAGGAGGCCTGGTCCCCAGGGGTGGCCGTGGGCTCTCGGCTGCCTTCCAGCCCCTTTCAGAGCCCCGCTGGTGGGCGTCCAACTTGACGGGGGGAGGGAGTGCCCTGCTCAGACGCCCTGCCCACTCGGAGCTGACCTGCTTTTGCTTCCGCCCGACGCGCTGAGGGCAGCGGCTGCAATTACCCTGTGACTGTCTGCCCCACCGACGGGCTCCCGGCCTCAGTGCCCTCCCAGCGGCCGCCCTGCCCTCTGGCACCAGCTGCCCCAGACAGAGCACCGCGTGTGACGCGGGGGAACCCCTCGGGCCCCATAATAACAGGTGCAGCTCGGGCGGTGCCGACGGAGCTGCTCGTAAAGGCCGCGCTGGCGCTGCTGTGCCGGGCGGGCGGGCGGGCGGGCGGGCGGCTACGTGTTGGCTTCACTAGGCTGTGCGGCCGCGTGGTGCTTAGAGCGGTTGGCGTGTTTTCATTGTTATAAAAAACGTGTTTATTGAGGAAAACGTGAGGGGGAGGGGACAGGAGGGGATGAACGTTCCTGTGTCGCCCATCCAGGACCCCACCCCACAGGTGGGAGTGGGGGCTGTCCTCCCTGGGCGGGCGGGTTGGGGGCACTGAGTTACAGGCTGCGCTGCGGTCTGGCCCGGTGGCCGCGTGTGTGCTGGGCGGCGCCTCCTGCCCCACGAGCCGTGTCCAGTGCTGGCACGTGTGTGCGTGTGTGTGTGGGGGGCACTGTGTGAGCGGGGTGGGGGCCCGTGTGAAGGGGGGAGGGCTGGTGACCCCGGGCCCCGCAGGGGGCGAGCAGAGCCGAGGAGGAGCGGTTGCTGGACGCAGCGGCGCTGGCGGATGCGGATGCTCACTGTGTCCTGTTCCCCTGGGAGCAGTGCCTCCCGTGAGGATGGGGCCGGCGGGTGAGACCAGCTCTCTCTCTCCCGCAGGTAAAGGCCGGCGCACGCAGCCCCCATGGACCCCTCCGGCCGGCACCGAGCCCTGCAAGCTGCGCCTGTACAACAGCCTCACCCGGAACAAGGTCAGCCCGGGGCCCAGGCGTGGGGTGGGGACGTGTCGTCAGCCTGTTGGGCCCGTGAGTCCTGGTGGGAGACCTCGCTGCTCACCGGGTGCCCTCCTTGCGGCCGGGCAGCGCTGTGCTCTGAGGCCGGGCATGCTGGGCACGCCTGGCAGGAAGCCCGCCCTCCGCCTGTGGGTGTGGAGGAAGCCCCGGTCGTTCAGAGCCGCCGCGTGTCACCAGTGACAGGCCTGTGCGTGTGGCCTGCGGGACAGGAAAGCCGGTGTGTGCGGGGTTGGCTCCGTGGGGATGGCGTGGCCCAGCGGTCAGGCCGTGGGGTTCCCACCAGCGAGCGCACAGCGGACGGGCCCCTGGGGATGCCGGGCCCCTGGATGGCCTGAGGCTGCGGGGGGTGAGGGCCAGTGGGGGAGGGGGTCCCGCTTCTAAGCTGCTCCCTCGGGTGTGGGCCGGGCAGGTGCTCAGGTCTCCCCTGGGACAGGACAGCAGCGCCCGCCTCCCGATAGCTGCTGGGAGCCAGACCAGGGCCATCCAGGTGCTCAGTGCGGCCGGGCGCACAGAGGCCCCATAACAGCTGCTGGTTTTGTGTGTTTTTTATTGATGTCAGAGAGGAAGGGAGAGAGAGAGAGAGAGAGAGAGAGAGAGAGAGAGAGAGGGAGAGAGAGAGAGAGAGGGAGAGAGAAACCTCAATGATGAGAGTCCTGGACCGGCCGCCTCCTGCACGCCCCCCGCTGGGGCCAAGCCCACAACCGGAGCAGGTGCGCTGACCGGGGATCGAACCCTGACGTCCTGGCGCGTAGGCGGACGCTCACCCCTGAGCCAGGCGGCGGGGCAGCCGCTGTTGGCCGGGAAGCAGCATTTCAACAGGAAGCACAGTGTTCGCTTCCTCTCCCGCCTGCGCCCGGGAGCAGCGTCGGGAGGAAGAGGGCGACCACCGGCCTCTCGCTCCCAGGAAAGTCGCCTTCGCGTCTCGTTGGCCCGCGGCCCTGCCGGACGCGGTGGCTGCTCAGACCGAGCGGTCCTCGTTGAGCTGGGCGGGAAGCGCGCACGGGCGTGGTGGCCGCTGGTCCGGCTGGTCCTGCCGGGGCCGCTGCGCTCCCTGTGACGGCCGCGCCTCCGTTTCTGCCGCAGGATGTGTTCGTACCTCAGAACGGGCGGCGAGTGACCTGGTACTGCTGCGGGCCCACCGTCTACGACGCGTCTCACATGGGACACGCCAGGTAGGCCGCCCCCAGGCCTGTGATCTGCTGCAGAGCCTGACATTTGAAAGGAAAGTCAACCCAGCACTTTTTTCTCTTGTTTTTTTGGATATATTTTTATTGATTTCAGAGAGGATGGGAGAGGGTGAGAGAGACACACATCAATGATGAGAGAGAATCATGGATCGGCTGCCTCTTGCTCGCCCCACAGCTCTGGTGGGAGGGGGTGGGAGGAGGTAGGAGGGCCCAGGCGCTGGGTTTCCTGCCTTCTGACCTGAGGCGGGTGGCCCCGGCAGGGGTGGGCTGTGGCAGTAGCAGCTGTGGCAGTAGCGGCCTTGATGTACAGTGGCCGCCGTGGCTGGGGCGGGCAGTGACAGTGTCCGCTGTGGCAGGGGCAGCTGTGGCTGGGGCCGCTGTGGCTGGGGCGGGCTTGGTGTGCAGTGGCCACCGTGGCTGGGGCCGCCGTGGCTGGGGCCGCCGTGGCTGGCGTGGGCTTGGTGTGCAGTGGGGAACGGCCTCTCTCTCCAGGTCCTACATCTCTTTCGACATCCTGAGGCGGGTGCTGAGGGACTACTTCCAGTTCGACGTGTTTTATTGCATGAACATCACAGACATCGATGACAAGGTAATGGGGTGCCGAGAGCACATTTCATTTTATTTATTTACTAGATGCCTGGTGCAGGGATTTGTGCACCGGTGAGGTCCCTCGGCCGGGCCTGCAACATCCCCTGAGGGGTTCTGGATTGAGAGAGGGCACAGGCCAGGCCAAGGGACCCCAGGAAGGGACTGCGGGAGGGCTCCAGGGTGTGTCTGGCCTGTCTCACCGTCCTGATCTGCCGGACCCCAGCAGCAAGCTAACCTACCGGTCGGAGTGTCTGCCCTCTGGTGGTCAGTGTGCATCATAGGTTCCGGCCGAATGGTTGCTTAGGCTTTTATGTATATAGATTTTGTTTTTAGTTTCTATTTTTTGTGAATCCTTGTCTGAGGATATTTCCCTCCCCTCCTCCCCATTGACTTCTAGAGAGAGAGGAAGGGAGGGAGGGAGGTGGGGAGAGAGAAACATTGATGTGAGAGGGACACACCAATTGGTCGCCTCCGTACTCGCTCTGACCGGGCCGGGGATTTAACCTGCAACCCAGGTACCTGCCCTTGATTGGGAATCGAACCCAAGGCCCTTGGGTGCACAGGTCAGTGCTCTAACCCCTGAGCACTCCGGCCAGGACAAGATAACATGTTAAAGAAACGACGAGGTCGGCCTGAGCCGGTTTGGGTCCCGACCTGCTGGGCGTGAAGGACCCCCTGATGAGTGAGGGTCACAGTCCATGCAGATGGCAGTGCCCAGTGACCAGCCCTGTAGAGGCAGGTTGCTCAGGACCGGGCAGGTCACATGATCACGGAAGGGGCCTTGGGGGGCCGCTGGGGCCACATTGGAACTGGCTCGGGCCGCCGTTCGGGTGCTGGAGGGGGTGTTTGTGGTCATGGGGGGCCCTCACCCCGGAGCACCTGCCGCGGGGCGGACGTGGGCTCTGAGCTGCGCCTGCCTGGCCTGTTCCTGGCAGATCATCCGGAGAGCCCGGCAGAACCACCTGTTTGAGCAGTACCGGGAGCAGCGGCCCCGCCCTGCCCAGCTCCTGCAGGACGTGCGCACCGCGCTGGAGGTGGGTCCCTGGCTGTGCTCCCCGACCCTGGAGTAGGGGCTCCTCGGGCTCGGTGCTGAGGCCAGCCCATCGGTGGGCGGGTGTGGCTCCTGTGGGAAACCAGAGCCTCAGCGCCCTCACCTGCCCCCACTGGTGTGCCCGTCCCTGCCGTGGGCCCTGCCCGGCCGGCCCGCTGACCCCCAGCGCCCCTGGCCCAGGGGCAGAGCTGCACCAGCTCTAGACTCAATCCCAGGACCTGCAGGGTTAGCTGAAGAAATGGGTTCTTCCCAACTTCGTGTTTTCGTTTTGAAGAAACAGCGTTAGAAACCACTGCGCTACCCAGTGAGCGTGGCTTACACCTTATGCCCTTTAACCATCACTGTCTGTGATAATTAGAGGAATAATCGCTGGTGCATTGTATCTGTGGATAAAAACCTGGAATAAAACGACAGCTTAGCTGTCCTTTAGGGAAGGGCCATGTGGCTGTGGCACCCGTGTAACCCCGGCACAGCCTTAGGAGGCAGCTCTCGCCCATTGTCTTTTTTTAAAATATATTTTTATGGTTTCAGAGAGGAAGGGAGAGGGAAAGAGAGAGCAGCATCAAACCCTACACTGGGGATTGAGCCCGCCACCCGGGCATGTGCCCTGACCGGGAATCGAACCCGTAGCCTCCTGGTTCAGAGGTCGATGCTCAACTCCTGCACCTGGCAGCCAGGCTCATGTCCATTTTTTATAGAGAAACAGGCACAGGGGCGAGGGTGGTTCAAGGTCACATGAGGTGACTGCATTTTTTAAAAATAGATATTACTCTTTCCATTTTTAAAAAATAGATTTTATTTTTTAGAACAAAAAAGATACACACTTACAGAAAATGGGAGGAGCTAGAACCATGAGTTCCTGTGTACCCTGCTGCTTTTGTCTTTAACATCTTGCCTTACTGCCTAGGGACTGACTGACGCTGTTAAAGCCAGGGAGTTAACTGATACATGGTTGCTGACCGACATCTAATGGGGATACGTGGTTGCTGACCGACATCTAACGGGGATACGTGGTTGCTGACCGACATCTAACGGGGATACGTGGTTGCTGACCGACATCTAACGGGGATACGTGGTTGCTGACCGACATCTAACGGGGATACGTGGTTGCTGACCGACATCTAACGGGGATACGTGGTTGCTGACCGACATCTAACGGGGATACGTGGTTGCTGACCGACATCAGGGTCTATTCCTTTCCTTAGTCTTCCCCACACGGCCTTTTCTGCCCCGGGCACCGAAGGACGCTTAGTGGTCCTGTGTCTCAGGCCCCTCTGATGGAAGTTGATCAGACTTTCTTTTTTTTTTTTCTTTTTTTTTGTTTATTTTTAATATGTTTTTATTGATTTTTAGAGAGAGAGGAAGGGAGAGGGAGAGAGAAACATTAACGATAAAAGAGAGAAACATCATTGGTTGGCTGCTTCCTGCACGCCCCCTACTGGGGATCAAGCCCACAACCCGAGCCTGTGCCCTGGCCAGGATTTGAACCGGTGACCCCCTGGTTCATGGGTGGAAGCTCAGCCACTGGGCAGACTGTCTTTGTTTTTAATGATCTGGGCAGTTTTGAGGAAAGCTGGTCAGGCACTTTGTGGGACGCTCCCTGCTGGAACGTTCCCGGTGTCCGCCCACCCCCGTGGTTGGATTGGGGAGGACATAGCCCCATATAGCCATGGCCGTGGGGAGACGGCCTCTGTGGGCGGGGCTGGGGGCGGGGCTGCGGCCTCTGGGGGGCGGGGCTGGGGCGGGGCTTGGGCATCTGGGGGCGGGGCTGGGGCGGGGCTGTGGCGGGGCTGTGGCCTCTGGGGCGGGGCGGGGGCGGGGCTGTGGCCTCTGGGGGCGGGGCTGTGAGCAGGGCAGGGCTCAGGGGCGCCCTCCTGTTGCAGCCGCTCGCGGTGAAGCTGAGGGAGACCGCGGATCCCGACAAGAAGCAGATGCTGGAGCGCATGCAGCGCGCAGTGCAGGTCGCCGCCGAGCCGCTGGAGGAGGCCCTGCGCTCCGACCTCGCCGCAGAGGAGGTCGACCGCCGCGCGCAGGTGAGAGCCGGGCCGGGCCGCTGCCCTGCGGGGCTCCCACGGGGGGATCCTGCGTCCCGGCACTTCGCGGGCAGTGCGCCTCCTGCCCCCCCTCCTGCCCTTGTTCCCCACCCCTTCCCCCCACGCCCCTCGGATGAGCAGGAGGCCGGGTCGGGAGGTGTGGGGAGCAGCCTTCCCTCGGAATTATCTCAGGTGGACCCTCCCCAGCATTTCTTTTTCTTTTCTTTTCTTTTTAAAAAAATATATTTTATTGATTTTTTTTACAGAGGAAGGGAGAGAGATTGAGAGAGAGAGAAACATGGATCAGCTGCCTCCTGCATACCCCCTACTGGGGATGTGCCCACAACCAAAGTACATGCCCCTGTCTGGAATTGAACCCGGGACCTTTGAGTCTGCAGACCGAGGCTCTAGCCACTGAGCCGCACCGGTCAGGGCCTCCCCGGCATTTCTTAACGGCAGCACCTGCAGAGAGAGGGCGAGAGATTCAAGTTGCAAAGAGCTGGGCGGGTACCTGCCCACCTGGGCCCTCCTGGCGGCTCTTCTGCCTCTGGAAAGGCCTTCCTGCCGACCCAGTGAGGGCACCGCTGCCCAGGGCCCTGGCCCCTTCCTCCTGGCACTCCCTGCCCGAGCTGCCACACGGGGCTGTGCTGCCACCTGCCACCCTCACCCTGCAGAGCCCCCCTCCCTCCCCCCATGCCCTGCAGATGCCTCCCCCAGAACCCAGCAGAGGAGCGAGATGGCCCTTTTCCTTCACACCTGCGCCCCCTGCTGGCCGCCCTCTTCAACCTGTGAGACCTCCTGAAGGGCAGCGTGGCCTGCCCCGCCCTGTGGTTGGCTCTGGGGTCACCGGCTGTGTCCTCACACGGCAGGTGGCGGGGGTGCTGGGTCTGAGCTCCAGGCCGAGGGTCGGGCCCTGGTCTCGGACGAGGGCTTCCCTCAGGTGTGCGAGAGGCCCCGCGTGCTGGGCGTGCTGCGGGGATGCCTGGGCGCCGCCCCTCGGCCTCCTCCCGCCCCCCGGGCGTTTCCCCACGGGCTTCCCGAACACCATCCAAAAGTCTGTTTGTATTGAGGTCAGAGAGGAAGGGAGAGGGAGCATCAGTGACGACAGAGAATCATGGGTCGGCTGCCTCCCGCGTGATCGGGGATCGAGTCTGCAACCCACACGCGCCTTGGCCGGGAATCGAACCGTGACCTCCTGGTTCGCAGGTCGATGCTCCCCCTCGCCGGCCGGGCCTGACTTCTGTTCCATACGTTTGTTCAGCCGTTGGTTACGGCCCAGCGTGTGGCTGGTCTTGCTGGCTGTTCCGCGTGGGTCTGGGGGGCGTGTGCCGGGTGAGGCCGGCTGTGGTGCCCGTCACCGCCAGGGGCTGACGGGGCTGAGTTTCCCAGCCCAGCGGCCCGTTCCTGCGGGAGGCGTGAGGTCTCCGCCTGTGACCGGCCCGTCTCCCGCTCCTGCAGCTGCGGGGTCTGGCCCGGGTGAGGCGCGTCCAGGTTAAGGCTGTGAGCTCTTCGCGGCGACTCAGCTGTGTCACTGCGCGTTCTCACCATTCGCGGAGCATCAGCCACGGGAGAGGCAACCTCCCGGCCAGGGGCACACGCGTGTGGGTGGGCGCAGTCCTGTGAGGCCTCACGCGTGTGGGCGGATGTGACCCCGCGAGGCCTCACGCGTGGTGCCCTGCTCCCCCAGGCGCTGCTGGAGGAGGCCCGGGATGTGCTCTCTGACTGGCTGGACGCTGCCCTGGGCAGCGGGGTGACCGACAACTCCATCTTCTCTGAGCTGCCCAGGTTCTGGGAGGCGGAGTTCCACAGGGACATGGCGGCCCTGAACGTGAGTGACCCGCTGCCCCGGCCCCGCTGCCCCTGCCCCACCTCCCGGCCCCGCTGCCCGGCCTCGGCTGAGGGCAGGACTGACCGGCTGTCGCCGCAGGTCCTCCCTCCCGACGTCCTGACCCGGGTCAGCGAGTACGTGCCCGAGATCGTGCGCTTTGTCCAGAAGATCGTGGACAACGGCTACGGGTGAGCTCAGCCCTGAGCCCCGGGCTCCCGGGAGGGTTTCCCGGGCGAGCGTCTCCCCATCCGAGTTGGTTCTGGGGGCGGGACCAGCGCTGTCAGAGCTACCGCTGGCAGGGGCCATGGCTGGGATAGCACAGCGGGGTGGCGCCCAGAGGCCGGGCTGTGGCTGGGATGCACAGCGGGGCAGCGCCCAGCCCCAGGCCCGAGGGAAGGTCTGGGCCAGGCGTCCTCCAGGCCGCAGGTGCCGTGGCTCTGCGTGCGCCCGTCTCCCTGAGCCCCGTCTCCTCGGGTCAGGACACTGTCCTGCTGACGGCCGCCTGGCCCGGCGCCCCCTTAGTCGCCTCTGGGAGCTGATCCAGGCACTCAGGTACTGGGCTCAGGACTGCCCCCTACACATCTGGGGGCGCAGTACCCACCGCCCCCTTCACGCTGGCGCTCCCCTCGCGCTCCCCCTCGCGCCAGCTGCGTGCTCTCAGGAGGAGGCCTGGGCCTCTGCGTGTGACTGTCCTTGTTGTGTCCGGCGCAGGCCGCACAGCGCCATGGATTTGAGCCCCTCATCTCCGAGCTGGCAGCGGCGGCCCCTGGGTTTCAGGGTGGCCAGCGGCGGCCCCTGGGTTTCAGGGTGGCCAGCGGCGGCCCCTGGGTTTCAGGGTGCCCAGCGGCCGCCCCTGGGTTTCAGGGTGGCCAGCGGCGGCCCCTGGGTTTCAGGGTGGCCAGCGGCGGCCCCTGGGTTTCAGGGTGCCCAGCGGCGGCCCCTGGGTTTCAGGGTGGCCAGCGGCGGCCCCTGGGTTTCAGGGTGCCCAGCGGCGGCCCCTGGGTTTCAGGGTGCCCAGCGGCGGCCCCTGGGTTTCAGGGTGCCCAGCAGCGGCTCCAGGCCGGCATCGGGTCTGCCACACTTGCCCCGATTTCTGCTCGTTTCCAGCTACGTCTCCAACGGGTCCGTCTACTTCGATACGGCGAAGTTCGCGTCCAGCGAGGGGCACTCGTACGGGAAGCTGGTGCCCGAGGCCGTGGGGGACCAGCAGGCCCTGCAGGAGGGGGAAGGTGAGTGGGGCGGCGCGGGGTGCCGACCTAGCAGGGGTTTCAGGGGTTTTCCACATGAAGGCTGTGGGAAGTTTTATCTTATTTATTTTTATTGATTGATGGGGGGGGGGGCATCGGTTTGCCGCCTCACTCGTGTACTCACTGGCTGATGCCCGTGTGCTGGAGGGGGAGGGAACCGCAACCTTAACTTGCGGCCTGTGGGCCCCGCGCGACGGTGAGGCTCGCAGGCGGCGGGCTCTGGGGGGTTGGGGTCAGAGCCCTCGTGCTGGGTTTTCCATGGGGGCGTTGGCGCCCTGACTGCTGCGTCATAGATGCTGTGCTGCTCGAAAAGCTGGCGACCCTGGGCCGCAGCACAGGCCGGCGGGCGGAGGTGGGGCCGGAGCTTCCCGGGTGGGCTGTGGGGCTGCATGTGGGCAGCCTGGAGCCGGGCGCAGGCGGGACGAGGTGGTGCGCCGCCCCAGGGCTGGGCAGGAGCTCCCTTGGGTCCGAGTCCCACTTGTGGAGGCGAAAACCCCGGCCGCGGAGTTAAGGACGTGTCCACGTCCACGTCCACATCCACGTCCACGCCCACAGCAGCCCCCCCCCCCCATCCTGATCTGAGGTTTTAAACAGACGTCAGGCTCTTTCGGGACCGGTCGGGGCCTCCTTGGCTCTCAGTGTCTCTCTTCGCGCCCTGAGGGATGGGGCGGGGCCACGGCAGCACCCCAGCCAGGGCCCCCCACGGCCCCCCAAGGCTGGTCGTACCCATCACCTGTCGGTGTTGCCGGAAGGCTGTCTGGCCTTACAGTGTTCGTACGTTTGGCTCAAGTGACTTCCCCTCTAGGGCTCTGTCCTACAGAAACTCCAGACCCGAAATGAGACAACAGGGAAACTCGCAGGAAGAGACTGGGTGACCATGAGCCCGATGGCACTCAGGCGAGTTCATGAGGCCAAAGTCCCCCCTGCCCCCGTCCCTGTCCCCCAGGGGGACCCGTGTGGACTCCGGCCAGACAGCTGACCTCCTGGTCCTGGCACCCAGCAGGTAGACGCATCCCGTCCATGGGGGCTCCTCCTCCAGGAGGATGGACCGGCCAGGGCCCCGGGGCCGGGACAGGATGGACACGCGCGGCCGTGCCTCATGGGTCACAGGTCACCCCAGGAAGCTGGGCATGTCCTCTCCTAGAGAGACCACACACGGGGCCGCACACACACGGGGCCACACACGGGACCACACACACACACACACACACACACACACACACACAGGGCTGCACACACACAGGGCTGCACACACACAGGGCTGCACAGGGGGACACACACACACACACACACACACACACACACACACACACACGGGGCCGCACACACACAGGGCTGCACAGGGGGGCCGCACACGGGACCACACACACATGGGGCTGCACACACACGGGGCTGCACAGGGGGCTGCACACGGGACCACACACACACGGGGCTGCACACACACGGGGCTGCACACGGGGGACCACACACACACACACACACACATACACACAGGGCTGCACATGGGGCCGCAGCATCAGGCACCGCAGCCACATGAAGGCGTCCCTGCAAGTCCCGGAGTGGCTTCCCGTGGGGCCGGACCAGGATGAAGGCGCCCCGTCCCTGTCCGCACCGCAGGGACACAGGCCACACACCTGGAGGCGGTGCCCCTCCTGCCCCGACCCCCAGAGCCAAGGAGGCCGCGCCCGCCACAGGGAAAGGCACGTCACCCGCGGCTCCCGGGCGGCCCCAGCTCCTGGGAAGGGCGCCCCCGGAGAACAGGCCTCACGTGCGGACTGAGGCCAACAGAGACAGGCAGAGAGGGCGTGTGTGACTGGTCATCAGGCTGAGGCCGGCGGTTACAGCGTGTTCACTGAAAAGGGAAATACAAACCCTCAGCCCCGTGGAACCATCGAGTCTCCAGGAGGGCGGGGCGCCCCCGTGTGGACAGGGCCGGCATCTGCAGCCAAGAACCTGGGCGAGAACCAGAAGGAAAAACGGGCGAGGTCCCGTGTTCCCTGAAAAGCAGGCGAGAGGAAGGACAGACAAGCAGAGAAGGAGACGGAAGTAACGGTCGACAGCGGGCTCTACACAGACGCACAAGCAGGACGGTTCATGGGGAGATGCCGGTGCGCGAGGACCGTCAGGCCCACGGTGGACACGGCGGCGCGGAGGTCTCAGCCCCCCCCCCGACTGTCAGCCCAGGCACCGGCCGCCGTCCCTCAGACCGACCCGTAGAGGGACCCCGGCCAGCATGGCCCTGGCCGTCCCTGGACTGAACCAGAACCAGGGCTGTGCCTGTGCTTCCGTCGGGTCGGGAGGATGCTCAGCTCCTGAGCCGGGAGGGGCGGCTGCTGCTCTGGAGGAAGAGGCACCAGTGGCCGGGCTGCCTCGAGAGTCCGCGGCAGGAGGGGCAGGAGGGGCCGGCAAAGCCTGAGGGGCCGCAGGGCGGGAGCCGGACCCCCAGGTCACGCGGAGCAGCGCCCCGGAGCTGGGGTCCCGGCCTCTGGGCCGCTGGCCGTCCTGTTAGGCAGCCTCGTCCTGGGCCTGTCCTCCCCCGGCCGACCTCAGAGTCCACGTTCCAGAGACGGGAGAGGCGTCCACAGCAGACGGGCGAGGACGGACAGGCCTCCCGAGGGACAGGCCCACCCCCCTCGCGTCGCATTCGGCCGCGTGGCCCCGGCTGCAGGGCCGCCGGAAGCGCCGTCCCCCGCTCCGCGATGGGCTCCCCATCTCCGCGAACAACGGGCGTGGGCGACAGCGACAGGCCCCCGACACGGGCCGTGTGCTTCTCTCACTGAGAAACCTCCGGCAAAGCCTCGCCTCCCCAGTGGCCGCATTGGGGGGGAGGGGGGTGGAGAGCGAGACCCCTCCCTCCGCTGCAGGGTTCGTTCAGAATAAGCTCTTAAAGGTCAGGAACACCGCGGGTGAAGCCACGGACCTAAGCGCAGTCGCCTGTCAGCGGGGGGCGGGGCGGGAGGGTGCCAGGCGCCCCGCGGCCTTGAGGCTCTGGGAAGCAGACAGGACCCAGCTGGGTGAGCGTGTGGGTGCTGTTGTGCTCGCATAGATTTAAAACCCTCAGACCTGCAGGTCAGTCGTCGGGGCGAAGAGGAGCTAGGCCTGGCCCTGATTCCCGCCTGTTCCCAAGCGCCTCCCGCGTGCCCCTCCCCCCCTCCCCCCCCAGCGCTGGTCTCTGGGCAGCCGACCTGTTCTCTGAGCTGGCACCTGGCGTCTGTGAGGTCGGCTGCCTGTTCCGGAGCCTTCCACCAGGGGGCAGCCGCTCCCAGGACAGGCCCACTCTCCCAGCTCCTCCCGTCACCATGGGGATTCTGCGAGGCCGCCCGGCGGGTCTCACTGTCACCGCCCCGTGTGTCCCGCGGGCGCCGTGTGGTCTGGAGGCCGGTGCCCACGTGCCCCTCCCCGGGGAAAGGTTCCCCCCCTCGCTCCCGCCAGGCCAGGCGCAGCCCCTCCCGTCACCTCTGGCTGTGACCACAGGAGGTGGGCCAGTGTCCCGATAGGCCGCCCTCGGCGAGAAGCCGCCCCCGGGCCTGGCTGGGCCTCACTGTGTCCAGGACCACAGCTGAGGGGCTAACACGGCCCCACCTCGCAGGCCGGGTCCCCCAGGACACCTGTGAGCTGCGCCCACGTCGCCTCACTTAGACCAGAGCAGCCGGACGTCCAAGCTCATAACCAGGAGTTTGTAAACCCGGACGCGGAGCCACCCCAGGGCCTGGGCACAGGCGCAGCCAGGGACGCGCAGGGAGGTGGTCCCGGCCGCGCTGACCGGCCCCTCTGTCCGCACAGGCGACCTGAGCGTCTCGGCTGAGCGCCTGAGCGAGAAGCGGTCCCCCAACGACTTCGCGCTGTGGAAGGCCTCGAAGCCGGGGGAGCCGTCCTGGCCGTGCCCGTGGGGGAAGGTGAGCACTGCGGGGCGCGGGCAGGGCGTGGCACGGTCACAGGCAGGCCCTTCGCTGGGGCAGCGTACAGGCCCCTCCTGGGCCCGGGCGCACTGAGCCTCGCGGCCTGTGGGCCGGTCACCCCCTTCCTGGGCCTTGGCCCTGCGTGTGGGCCTGTGGGCTGCAGGACCACCCAGGAGGCTGCACCCGATGGCTCTGATCCTGAGTATCCCGGCCGAGGCCACCTCTGAGCTCCCTGTGACGCCCCCTCCGCCCAGAGCCGCGGGGAGCCCGGGAGGGCGCAGCCTCAGCAGGACGTGGGGGCCTGCCGGCGGGTCCCTCGCTTTCCGAGTGCGACTCAACACCTGCTCCCGGAAGGCTCAGGCTCCGAGGGTCGGGACGTCGGGGGGGAGGGCAGCCCGAGGGTGGGCTGGCCGGTCACCTGGTCACTGGGTCGTTGGGTCCCTAGGGGCGCCCGGGATGGCACATCGAATGCTCGGCCATGGCAGGCACCCTCCTGGGCGCCTCGATGGACATCCACGGAGGTGGCTTCGACCTCCGGTTCCCCCACCACGACAACGAGCTGGCGCAGTCGGAGGTAGGTGGGTTCCAGGGGCCCGCCCCGCAGGGGCTGGGGGAGGAGGGCCCCCCACGGGGGGGGGGGCAGGGAGTAAAGCCCTTGGGGGCTGGACCCTAACTGTTCAGGCTAGTTTCCCACAAGAGCACCTGGCCTTGGGCCGAGAAAGGCCTGGACTGGAGCCCCCGGCTCCCTCCGCTCTCCACCAGGCGGCCCTCTGCGCCCGGGCCACCTGGAAAAGGCAGCACCCCCACGAGGTGTGCACGCAGGGCTACCCGCGTGGCACCTCCCGCCAGCAACCGCCTGTGTGCTCAGCGCCCGCCCCATGTCTGCGCAGGCCCACTTCGAGAACGACTGCTGGGTGCGGTACTTCCTGCACACGGGCCACCTGACGATCGCCGGCTGCAAGATGTCCAAGTCGCTCAAGAACTTCATCACCATCAAGGACGCCCTGAGGAGGCACTCGGGTGAGCACAACACTCCCGAGGCCGCTGCCCCTCTCAGGCCCGGGGACTGGGTGGGGACGGGGCGTGGGACAGGAAGGGATGGGCACGGAGACGGGATGGGACAGGGATGGGCGTGGGGACGGGACAGGACGGGGATGGGGATGGGGCACGGGACAGGACGGGGATTGGGCACGGGGATGGGGACAGGGATGGGCGTGGGGACAGGACGGGGATGGGGATGGGGCACGGGGATGGGGACAGGGATGGGCGTGGGGACAGGACCGGGATGGGGCACGGGGACAGGACGGGATGGGCACGGGGATGGGCATGGGGACAGGACAGGACGGGGATGGGGCACGGGACAGGACGGGGATGGGGCACGGGGATGGGGACAGGGATGGGCGTGGGGACGGGACAGGACAGGGATGGGGATGGGGCCCGGCGACCAGGCGGGTACAGGACAGGATGAGGATGGGGATGAGGACGGGCCGGGACCCTCAGGCTGAGCGGGCAGCGGTGCCGTGTCCCTGCAGCGAGGCAGCTGCGCCTGGCCTTCCTCATGCACGCCTGGAAGGACACGCTGGACTATTCAAGCAACACCATGGAGTCGGCCCTGCAGTACGAGAAGTTCATGAACGTGCGTTCCTGGCTCGGGGCGGGGGCGGGGGGTGTGGGTGAGTGTGCGGGCGAGCGTGTGGGTGAGCGGACCCGCCGGCCTTGAGCTGCACGCCTGAGCGCCCGGGAGCAAGGAGCCGCGTGCCCCTGGGGCCGTGCGTGTGGTGCCCGGGCCGGCCCGCGTGAGGGCTCCGTGCGGCCGCTCTTGGTCGCGAGTTCTCGGAGGGGAAGGCTGTCCGCCTGCTGCTGACCGGCTTCTCTGCCCCCAGGAGTTTTTCCTCAACGTGAAGGACCTTCTCCGCGCGCCTGTCGACGTCACCGGGCAGTTCGAGAAGTGGGAGGAGGAGGAGGCAGCGCTGAACGAGAGGTGAGGGGCTCTCCTAGGGCTGCAGGCGCACCGGGACCTGTGCCCCCGGCCAGCAGGCGCTGAGGCTGTGGGCTCCTGTCCCGTTCCCTCCTCCGCCTGCTCAGCTTTTACGATAAGAAGACGGCGGTGCACGAAGCCCTCTGCGACAACGTGGACACACGCACCGTCCTGGAGGAGATGCGGGCTCTGGTCAGCCAGTGCAACCTGTACATGGCCGCCCGGAAGGCCGCCAGGAGGAGGCCCAACCGAGTTCTGCTGGAGAGCATCGCACGGTACCTCACCCACCTGCTCCAGGTGAGCCCCGCCCCCTACCTCACCCACCTGCTCCAGGTGAGCCCCGCCCCTACCTCACCCACCTGCTCCAGGTGAGCCCCGCCCCTACCTCACCCACCTGCTCCAGGTGAGCTCCGCCCCCTACCTCACCCACCTGCTCCAGGTGAGCCCGCCCCCTACCTCACCCACCTGCTGGAGGTGAGCTCTGGGCCCTGGCTCTGAGCGATAGCACCTCAGTTTCCCCTCCATCTTGTGTGGGAAGGAGAACCAGAGGCCTTGCCCTGCGCCCACCTCGTGCTCAGGGTCCTGGGGTCTGTGCCGCAGCAGCCCCTGCGGGCACCCTCCCTCGAGCAGCCGGGGTCTGGCGGGCCCGTCAGCACTGCGTCTCAGGGCCTCTGCCCCCCACACACCTTTCTTCCCTAGATCTTCGGGGCCATCGAGGAGGAGAGCTCCCTGGGGTTCCCTGTCGGGGGGCCCGGAAGCAGCCTAAACGTGAGTACAGCCCCCCTGCCCCTGGGAAATGGTGCCCACTGCCAGGCCCCTCCTGTGTGCACGGCCATCCCCTCCTGTCTCCCTGCTCCCGCAGGGTCAGCCTGTGGGCACTGGGGAACCGGCATCCGGCCCCACCTGACCTTCCTCAGTCCTGGGGATGGCCATGGAGCGCAAAGCCACTGGACAAGCATCGCAAGCCTCGGTCACGGCCGACCTGGCTGGGGGCTGAGTGGTTGGCCGCCCTCCCGGTGGCGACGGTCAGCCGGGCAGCCCAGCCCTCCTCCCTGGCCACCATGCTGTCATCTGAGCTCGCTCCCGGGAGACGAGACCAGAGGGACGGTGCCCAGGCCTTAGGGCGCAGGCACCTGGGAGTGGATTCTCACTTGCGCCCCTTGCCGTGTGGCCGTAGTCAGACACTCTGCTCACGTGAACATTGTCCAGCGGCCTGTGCGTGTGAGAAAACTCCCCAGCAGACACGCGGTTCCCGCGGCGTGACAAGCGTCACGTGACCGGCACCAGGTCAGGCTCATCTCAGGGACCGCCCCCCCCAGGAAGGCGCTGTGATTACATGTTAGAACAGGTGGAGATGCTTAGCGCTAACGACGGTGACCTCAAGGAACAGGCGGGGAATCGGCGGGAAGGTCAGGGAGCAGCGGGAAGGGCAGGGAGCGGCAGGTGGAGCTTGGACGCCCCCTAGCAGCCCCAGAGCTCCCCTAAGCAGCCCCAGAGCTCCCCTAAGCAGCCCCAGAGCGCCCCCAAGCAGCCCCAGAGCGCCCCCAAGCAGCCCCAGAGCTCCCCCAAGCAGCCCCAGAGCTCCCCTAAGCAGCCCCAGAGCTCCCCCAAGCACCCCCAGAGCGCCCCCAAGCAGCCCCAGAGCTCCCCCAAGCAGCCCCAGAGCTCCCCTAAGCAGCCCCAGAGCTCCCCCAAGCACCCCCAGAGCGCTCCCAAGCAGCCCCAGAGCTCCCCCAAGCACCCCCAGAGCGCTCCTAAGCAGCCCCAGAGCTCCCCCAAGCAGCCCCAGAGCTCCCCTAAACAGCCCCAGAGCTCCCCCAAGCAGCCCCAGAGAGGGGCAGCGGGCGCCTTAGAAGCCCTGTGAGACCCACGCCCGTCCGCCGCGGCCCCAGAGCTGGCTGCTGACGTCACCGCCTGGAACCTTCGTCAGTTCTTAGAAAAGCCACAGCCGCCCAGTGCTCGTGCATGTGACCCTAGACATTCCTTTCCTCCCACAGAAAACCCTGCAGACGGCCCACCTCTGACCTTTACAAAGAGCGCCTTGCACGTTGAATGCCCGAGGTGGTGGGGCCTTCAGGGGTGGGGGGTGGGGGGTGGGGGGGCGGGTTCCCAGGACCCCCGTGGCCACAGGACGTGGCTGGGTGAGCCTGCCGGGCCCAAGGATGCCGTGCAGTCCACGCCATTTGAAGTTCAGGGCTCACTTCCAAACCCGAACAGTCTCAGGAGCCGGGTAGGCAGCTCAGCACCGAGCAGTGCCCGGCGCCGGGTGGTCGCTGCCCTGGCCCAGGCCCAGCCGTGAAAGCCGCCGCCCTCCCTGCCGGGGTCTCCCCGACTGCTGGCCTGGGGGGTGCAGAGAAGTACCTGAGACCCTGGAGCCTGGCTCCCCCGCCGGGGCACGGCCCTGGGCCCGGTGCCAGGGGCCAGAGGTGTAGGTGGCATGGAGGGCAGCCCCTCACCAGCCTTGGTGTTGGATTGTGAGCTTCTGGGTGGAGGAGCTGGCGCGGTGACGGCAGCTGGAACACAGATTTCCCAAAGCCCTCGCTTGTCCAGTTCTGACCCGCCCGCCGCCCGCGATGCTTGTCCAGTGGCTTTGCCTCCATGGCCGTCCCTGTCTGCCCCGTCTGCCGCGGGTTCGAGGGACAGCAGGGCGAGCGTGTGTGGCCTGTCAGGGACAGGCCCTCCCTGAGTGAGTGAGCAGCAGGCCGTCCTCACCCCGATCCGGCCTGGGACGCCTCCAGGCCCCCCCCCCCGCCCCCCAGGGGCCTGTGTGGGCCTTGCAGGGTCTGGGCTCCCCGGCCGGCCGCCCGCGGGGGGCCAGCACCTCAGGACCCACCTTCTCCCCGCAGCTCGAGGGCGCCGTCATGCCGTACCTGCAGGCGCTGGCGGAGTTCCGGGCGGGCGTGCGCACGATCGCCCGGGAGAGGCACGGTGAGGCTGCCGCCCTGTCGGCCCGGCGGGGGCTCACGCGGTCACACTGCGGGCATTCGGGCGCCCTTCTCTCTCGTGGGGACGTCATGGGCAGTGACATGCCTGGCCCTACTCACGGGACCTGGCAGCACCACTCCCCCGAGTTGTGACACCCACCAGTGTGTCCAGGCGCCTCGTGTGCCCGACTGGCGGCCTCCGGGCACAGCCCAGAGCTAGTGGGGCTCGGGGCCTGGACCGGAGCTCTGGGGCCGCGGGTACACGTGGAGCCTCGCTGCCACCTGGCAGCATCTAGTTCCGTGGACCTACCGGCCCCCCCCATCTGTTCCCCGCGTGGCACCCCTGGGCCGGTCCCTCAGCCTCAGACAGCACCCTCCGCTGGGCAGGTCCTGAGGGCCCCTGGGCCCTGGAGGTGCGGACCCAGCCTGGTGGCTGCTCTGGACGCTTCTGCCTCCCATGGCGGGTCCGGTCCCGTCCGGTCGGGTCGAGCAGTTCTGCACCCTCCGGAGGCTCGGAGGCGCCCGTCCTGTGGGTCCCGGGCCTTCCCTGACTTGGTCCTCTGCTCCCAGTCCCCGAGGTCCTGCAGCTCAGCGATGCCCTGCGGGACGACATCCTGCCGGAACTTGGGGTGCGGCTCGAGGATCACGAAGGTGGGTGATGCCCGCTGTCTCTGGGGACGCACTGCGAGGAGCTTTCGCCAGGACTGAGGGTGGTGGGAGGACGCTGGGGGGAGGACGTGGAGGGGAGAGGACGTAGGGGGGGTGGGAGGACGCTGGGGGGAGGACGTGGAGGGGAGAGGACGTGGGGGGGGTGGGAGGATGCTGAGGGCGTGTCAGAGAGGCACCACCGTCCACTCCTGCGGCCGAGGGCCCGGCCACCCCCTGTGCTTGTCCTTGGGGGGCGGCCTGTGTCACGTGCTGTCTGCGAGGTTCAGACGGCCGTAGGGCTCACAGGTTCAGGTGACATGTGACCCGTGACTGGTTTTCTCTCCCGAACAGCGAGGAAGGGGCCCACCTTGCTTTTCCCCAGGGACCCTTGGGGGCGGCGGCTGTGGGCGTGGCGGGGAGGCAGGACAGACGGGCACCAGGCCTCAGTTCTCTCTGGGCCGCTTGGGTTGCAGGCCTGCCGACCGTGGTCAAGCTGGTGGACAGAGAGACGCTCCTGAGAGAGCGAGAAGAGAAGAAGAGGGTGAGTGGAGCCACGGGGCGTTTACCTGTTTCACACTTTAAAAATGTATATATTTTTACTGATGTCAGAGAGGGAGGGAGAGGAGAGAGAAACATCCACGATGAGAGAGAATCATGGGCTGGCCGCCTCCTGCACGCCCCCCACTGGGGACCGAGCCCACAGCCCGGGCCTGGGCCCTGACCGGGAATCGAACTCTGACCTCCTGGTTCTTAGGTCAACGCCCAACCACTGAGCCACACTGGCCGGGCTTCGCTTTTATTAAAACGCCAGGATTTATACGTGAAAGAAGGAAACACTAATGAGATAGGTAGCTGGCAACTCGATAACAAACGAAGGCGACCCTCCCTTCTCGCGAGAGGCCCCTCCAGACGGGGAGACGGGTCCGTTTGGGTAGTGGTGGAGCCGCCCTGCTCAGTCACACCGTGCTCCTGCCTGAAGGGGTCTCCCTTGTCACCGGGTTAGAATGTGTCACAGTTGCAACCGCCCCCTAAGAACCCATCCCCCCACGTGCCGTGGGCAGCACTGAGCCCCCCATGGCCAGGGGTGGAGCCAGGCCGGGGCCCCTCGAGGGAGCGGCAGGGACACAGCTGGTGCCAGAACTGCTGGCACAGCTCAGGGTGCCCACGGGGACACAGGCCGCACGGGCTGCCCCTGGTCACCACGCGGGACCCGGCCAGCTCGCCTGGGGCTGCCCTCAGACCCTCCGGCCGGCGTGGTGTTGGTGCAGAGCAGGCCGGGCACCCCGAGGCCCACCGGCCCAGCTCGGCCCGGGGCGCTCCTGGAGCCCATTTCACTCGATGGCTCATCTCCATGCGGGTGGGCCGTCCACACCCCAGGGGCCAGCAGGGCCCTTGGGTCCCACCTCCCATCCAGGGGGCCTGGGCAGACCGGGTCACGGGGCGTGTATGTGCCGTAGGCGGAGGAGGAGAAGAGGAGGAAGAAAGAGGAGGCCGCCCGGAAAAGGCAAGAACAGGAGGTACTGCCCGCGTGCGGGGCTTCAGCCCTGTGCCTCGTCCCCCGCCGCCCCTCCCGGCTCCCTCACACCCCGCGGCTGGGAGCTGCCCTGCGACGGCGCGCGCGTAGACGAGCCACTGCCCCCAGAAAGGCCCTGCCTCGTCCCCCGCCGGTCGGGTCGGCAGCATTGCACTGGGGGCGGGGCTGGGGGGGGCGTCCCGGCGTGGGCCGTGTGGGCTCTGCACAGTGGCCCGTTCTGTGTCCCAGGCGGCCAAGTTGGCCAAGATGAAGATCCCGCCCAGCGAGATGTTCTTGTCCGAAGGCGACAAGTACTCCAGGTTCGATGAAAACGTAAGAACCACCTTCCCTTCAGACCGGGGTCACCGGCCCGGTGGTGCAGGAGCTGTCACCTGGGGAGCAGATCTTGTTTGGGCCGCAGCTGGGAGGGGGGCGGGGTCCTCTGGCGCCTGTGGCCCAGGGTGCCCGGGGCTGAGCCGCAGATGACCGCTTGGGAATCAGTGGGGGCCCGAGCGGGTGGGGCGAGCGCTGCCCTTACGTCTTGGCTCCGCGCCTGGCTGTTGCTGTCAGCACGGGCCCGGGGGGCGGGCGGGTGAGCCGGCCGCAGGCCTGGGGCCCTCGGTGACCTCGCTGTGCTGCCCCAGGGCCTGCCCACACACGACACGGAGGGCAAGGAGCTGAGCAAGGGCCAGGCCAAGAAGCTGCGCAAGCTCTTCGAAGCCCAGCAGAAGCTGCACGCCGAGTACCTGCAGACGGCCCCGTGCGGAGGCGCCCCGTGAGCGGGGTGGGGGCAGTCCGGCCACGGCCGCTGGCCCTCTGCCCGCGGTGCCTGTCCCTGCTCTGCTCCGTGACTGTGGGGATGGAGGCCCAGCCCCAGGCGCTGTGCCCGGCTGTGCCCCGCGTGCTCTGTGCGTGTTCACCGCGTCCTGCGGCTCTGGGCCTGCTGCGCGGCTCAGGCGGCGGAAATAAAGTCTTCCCACAGCGAGGCCTGCGCTCTCTGCCCGCGCCACGTGCTCAGGCCACCCCGGTGCCCACTCAGCTGAGCCGCCCGGCCAGCCCAGGACTGTCCTGCAGGCAGAGGTGCTGCTGACCTCTGGGTGTGGGCGCCCGGGAGGCGGTGAGCAGGAAAGGCTGCTGGCGGCCCCCTCTGCTTCTGATGAGTAAACGCTGCAGCCTGTCGCAGCCGCCCCCCTCAGCCACCACCACCACCACTCCCACGGCTGGCTCACAGGACCCTGGCTGCTGCCCAGGGCGCCCTTCATGGCTCGGAGGTCTCCACGCAGCAGGGCAGCCCCAGGTCACCAGCCCCTCGCCTCCCTGCTCCCGCGTCCTTGCTCACCAGGGCTCCAGATCACCCCGGAACCCGAACGCACTAAGCTGGCCCTGACGGCAGAGCGTGCTGGCCAGGACAGCTTGGCCATGGGCAGCTCTGTAACCGGACAGTCAAGGGGTCCAGCTGCCTGTCACCCCTTCAGCCGGTTCAGCAGAGACAGGGTTGAATCCTAGGAGCGTTTATGCCGATCCTGCCGGCTGCCCGGGAGAGCAGCAGGTCATCCACAGACATCTGCTCCGCTCCCCCGCCCCCTCCCCCTTCCAAGCCAGCTGCTTATCTTGGGCAGAAGGACAAGGATTCCATGGGAAAGCAGGAATTACAGGCATGGGGAAGTGGGCACGGGATCATCGTTACAGGCACAGGCATGCGGGCTGGGTGGGGGGTCACGCGGGGCAGGCACCCAGGACCAGATTGCAGGTAGAGGGGCCAGGGCTGAAAGAGCAGGTGCCTCTGGGCTGATGTGGTTTCGGCCACGAGGCTGTAAATCTTTCCATGACGGTAGGCAGGTCTTGGGACAGGAGGATGGACTGCATTCCGATGTGGGCGCCCCTGTCCCAGGGCAGGCAGCTCCCAGCCAGGTGCTGTCTGTAATCAGAACAGAGCGATCGCCCATAATAGCAGGATTCATGTTTCTTCTCATTGTCGCTGGTCCCCAATATTCTGTTTTTGCCCCTAACAGCTCTCAGGACAACGGTAAAGTCATCACATGGGAAGCCAGGTTGGGGAAGCCAACCAGGGCTCAGGTGTGAGCGATGCCCACTGGGGACAGAACCCCTTAGGTGGCCAGGGTGTCGGGCTGGGCGGGCCAGCACCACGGCAGGCAGGGCTGAGCCTCTGGGACAGGGTCGGGTGGGTTTTCCTCACTCGTGTGACGCTAACTCCCCCGTGGAGAGTTCGTGTGCAGGGAGCCATTTTCCAGACAAGAGCCAGGAAAGCCCCAGGCTACAGCCAGTGTCCCGTAGAGCCTGGCACCGGCTGGGGACGACTCTGGGCTCCTCTCTGAGGGGTGAGGATGCCAGTCCCCTCTGCCCCGTGCGTCTACACGGGATGTACTGATCCCCCGCCTACCTACACCCCACAGGGCTGGGGCTTGGGCAGTGCTCCCGGACGCACACGCAGGTGGGCACAGAGCGCGGGGCACTGGGAGGAGGGTCTGTGTGCGAGTGCATTGCCTGGAGAGGCCTGGTGAGGCACGGGGAGACGGAGGGCACGGTGTGTGTGTGTGTGTGTGTGTGTGTGTGTGGAGGCCACAGCCCAGGAGTGCCTGGAGCCCGGCAGCCGGGAGAGCAGGATTCCTATCCTAGCCTTGGAAGGAGAGCCCCCTTCCTGGCACTTGCCGAGGGAATTAACGCAGCTCCCAGCACCTGGACAACTGGAGCGGCTGTGAGCTCACCTCCCACCAGCTCGCTGAGGTGACCCCAGGGGAGTCCCCCCTCCTTAGATCCCCAAGACCAGGACCAGCTTCCTGCCTCCCAACCAGGGGGGAGGGGGCGGCTCCCACGGGGGCTCCACCACCGCTGGGGATCGTGCGCCTTCATTAAACGGGAGGAAAGGCCTCCGAACCTGAAAACGCTCCTGTCTTTTCTGTCGTAGAGTCTGTCTCCTCCCCCAGCTGCGCCCCAGCCGCGCTGATCGCAAAGCCAGGTCATCACAGAAAGTCCAAGGCTGTAGGAACCCGCCTCCCCGCCCAGTGCCCAGCCAGAGGCTCGGATGTGGGGTCACGCCTGGTGCCCCGGCCACCTTGACCTTATGCCCTGCAGGGCCCCGCAGTCGGGGGCCTCTGGATGGTGTCATGCCCCCCCCCCCCCCCCCAGCACCATAGGACAGACACACCTTGCTCAAGATACGTTAGACACTCTCCCCCGCAACCCCACGCAAGAAACTAAAGTTTCTAAAGAAACGACCGAAAACCCAGCTCAGGTGCAGCATGGACACGAGGCCCCGCGCAGCCCCCGCCTGGGGACCAGGTTTTCCAACCCAGTTGTCATCTCCGTTGGTTCAGTTCCATTATGTTCTGCACCCCGGGAGGTGCCCAGCCCCGGGGCCGCACCCGCACCTCCCGCGTCCTGCCTCCTGGCCGCGGGGTCCCCGTGTGCGTGGGATGCAGGGGGTGAGCGGGGGCTGACCACGTGCGAGGCCCCGGGGGCAGGAGGAGGCCCGGGTTCCAGGAGGGAGGCCGGTCACGCGGCCACAGGGTCGTGGGAGGTCGGCGGGGTGGAGCCGAGCTGGCGGGCGCCATCCCGGGGGCAGGAGACCCGGGAGGAGGCGCCCCGGAGGCGGAGGGAACGCGGCCGGCCTCGCACCCTGGATTTGCATAGGGCTCCCGGGTCTTGCGCGACGCAGCCTCTGATTGGTCGTCTTCGACGGCGCCGAGGCGTATTGACTTGCGCCGAAACGGTCCAATCGCAGCCCGCCTTCCTCGTGGGGGGCGGGGCCAGTGGGCTCGGCCAATAGGCGGAGGCGTTGTTGGCGGCCACGGCGGCGCTATCAGAGGAGCAAGCGAAGCCACGGCCGCCGCCACTGCCTCAGGAGGCGTGAGGTGCGGACGCGCGTTCTCGGCCGGGTAACGGCGCGCTGGGGTGGCCATGGGGCCGGGGGCCGGGGCCGGGGAGCAGGCTGGCCGCCCTCGGGAGGCCGCGGCGGCTTGGGCGGGGCCGGGGCGGCGGCGGCTCGCGGGCCCGCCGGGAGGCCGGGCGGCGGCGGCGGGCGGCGGACGTTCCTCTCCGCTCAGCCCGCCCCGGCGCGGCCCTGAAGGTCAGGAGGCGCTTTGTTCCCGCGCGGCGGCCCCGGGAAGGTTCACGTCGCGGGCCGGGCCCCGCCCGTGCCGCCCGAGTGAGCCGGGGCCGGGCGGGCTGGGCTCGGCTCCCGGGGCGCGGAGCCGCCGACGGGCCTTTGTTTCCGGGACTGGCGCTGCCGGCGCCGAGCGGGCCCGGACCCCGGCGGCTCGGCTCCCGATGCCCGCGGGGCGGGGTGGGTGTGTTTACGAGGAGACACGACCGCGTGGCTGGCGCCGTGTGGGGCCCCCGCCCACGAAGGACTCGGGGTGCCGGCTGCGGGGCCGCTTCCCGCCACCGCGCACTTCCCGGGCGGGGAAGTCCCTGCCCTCGCGCCCTTCCCACCCGGCGGCCTCGCTCCGTGTCCGCGTGCCGGGTGCGCGGCCGGAGGGCCTGTCCGAGCCCGCGCGGCAGCCGCGGGGTCCCCTGCCGCCTCCCCGCTCCCGCCGCCAGCGCGCACCCCACACACGGGGGGCCCTTTCCCTGTGCAGGAGCCTCGCGTGAGGCGGGACCTGGACGTGCGGAGCCTGTGCCCCGAGTGCCTGCCTCCCGGCGCCCAGCGGCCCCTCCGGGACGGGCACCGGGGCGCCGTCGCCGCCGAGTCTCCCGTCGGGGCCCGGGAGCGGCACCTAAGCTCGGCCCCGCCGTCCGGCCTCCGCGGCGGGAGGGAAGTTTTCGCGTCGGATCCGCGCGCCGAGCCCCGCTGGCCCCGGTGGGTCGGCCGTGGCGCCGCTGATAACCCGGCGCGGCTCCTGGCCCCGCCGCGGACTGAGCTGGCGGGCGGCGGGTGCCCTGGGCCCCGGAAGGCAGGCGGGGGGCGCGTTCCCGGGGCGAGAGCGACCTCCCGGCGGCTCCCGCGCCCCGGCCGACCCGGGAGAGGAGCCCCAGGCAGGGAGCGGCTCTGCTGGCCGGGGACGAGGAGCATTGTTTCTTCCTTTCCGGCCGGTGCGAACAGAGGTGCAAAGCCCAGCCCCCTGGAGCGCCGGCCGGGAGGGGGAACTGGACTGGACCTCCCGGGGCGAGGAGAGCGCTTCCCCTGAGGCGTGCGAGTCTGCGTGACTGGGCACCGCAGGCCTTCCCTGGTCCGGCCGGTGCCCGCATCGCAGCCCCTTTGTGAGCCGTTATTTCACACAACACGCAGGATGTGGCCGGAGAAAGTCAGTGGTTTGCAGGAGCCGACTTTGTCGTATGTGGTTCGATGGCCTCAGTAAACTGGGCTCTGAAAGGGGTTCTGAGGGCACAGGCGTGGCTGGTGATGGGCCTTTGGGGTGATGGACTCCCGGGGGTGGGAGGAGGCTCTGTGTGCGCGGTGGGTGGTTTGTGGTTGAAGGGCCTGGAGTGGGGGGGGTCCCCCCTGGCCTGGGAGGGTTTGGGGGCCTCTCCCACCAGGAGCTGTCAGCTCGCCTCTTCCATTGCCCTTTCCAGCAGCAGGAGGGCGGCCTCGTGCACAGAAGGCATCGTGGAGCTCGGAAGTGCTTGTTTCTTAGTTTTTCCCTTTCCGTGGTTTGTGGGAAGCTTTCCAGTGTTTTAAAGCTGTTTTGGTAGCTCATGTGGGGCGAGGGCCTAACTGATCTGGTTTGTTTGGGGAGAGTAGGCTGTGGGCAGGTGAGGAGCTGGAGGCAGGTGGAGGTTGCCGGTGAAGGGCCTGCTTGGCTGTGCCTGTGGTTTCTTGTTTGTTTGGCTTGTCATCCTCCCCGAGGATGTTTAGAGCGAGTGGAAGGGGGGGAGAAACAGGAAGAAACATGGATGAGAGAGACGCAGCGATTGGTCAGGCTGGGATTGAGCCCGCGACGGAGGTGTGTGCCCCTGACAGGAACCAACCCGGGACCCTTCACTCCGCGGGCCAGCGCTCTACCTGCTGAGCCACCAGCAGGGCTTC